AATTAAAAAATGTTAAAATAAACAAAAAAATTCTCAAAAAAAAAGAAAGAAAACACGCACATGCACACACACACACGCACACACACACACCCAGACACAGACACTGCAACTCTCCAGGAGACCTGAGGGAGGAGAGTCACAGTTCTGTGAAAAAATGGGTTATGCCCAATTTCAGTTTCCTGATTGGTTCCTGTAACATGTCTCATTAGCATATCATTTAAGTTCTTTGATTAGCTGTAATTATTGCTCCCTGAATGGTTATTTTATTTATGTATTTATTTATTGGTGGGAAGAGAGCATGATGTCTATTTTTAAATTTTTATCGCAAAGTCAGATATACAGAGAGGAGGAGAGACAGAGAGGAAGATCTTCCGTCCAATGATTCACTCCCCAAGTGAGCGCAACGGCCAGAGCTGAGCCGATCCAAAGCCAGGAGCCTCTTCTGGGTCTCCCACACGAGTGCAGGGTTCCAAAGTTTTGGGCCGTCCTCCACTGCTTTCCCAGGCCACAGGCAGGGAGCTGGGTGGGAAGTGGAGCCGCCGGGATTAGAACTGGTGCCCATATGGGATCCAGGCAGTGCGTACGAGGTGAGGGTTTTAGCCACTAGGCTACTGCACCAGGCCCATAACATCTATCTTTAAGTGATTATCAGTACACTAAATAATGATGTAATAAGCTCTTGAGTTCTATCAGGTAATTTTTTAAAAAGATTTATTTTTATTATTTTTTTATTGGAAAGGCGGATATACAGAGAGGAGAGACAGAGAGGAAGATCTTCCATCCGATGATTCACTCCCTAAGTGAGAGCAACGGCCGATGCTATGCTGATCCGAAGCCTGGAGCCTCTTCCGTGTCTCCCACACGGGTGCAGGGTCCCAAGGCTTTGGGCCGTCCTCCACTGCTTTCCCGGGCCACAGGCAGGGAGCTGGGTGGGAAGTGGAGCTGCCGGGATTAGAACTGTGGCCATATGGGATCCCGGGCGTGCAAGGCGAGGACCTTAATCACTGCGCCACCGCGCCGGGCCCTATCAGGTAATTTTAAGAAGCAAAAAGCAGACTAAACAACTGTACAAGTCACCTTCAAAGAATTATGTTTTTCCCTATTAGATCTAAGAAAGAAAAAAATCAACACTGATATATATGTATATATATGTATGTATGTATGTATACATATATATGTTGCTTAGACGAAAAGACACAACATATACTTACTTTGGCCCCAAGAAGTGGAAAGTAAAAAGGATGAAATCTTTGGATCAGTTTTAAGTCTGGATGAAAAGGCTAACAATCAAAGATCTCTCCTATGTCACAACTCAGAAATAACTGAATGCCTTGACATAGAGCAAAGTGTGAACTTTGTTGAAGTTTCATATTCTACGGGAGCATCTAAAACGCCTGTCCATGGAAAAAGTGCCGCCCTCATCGAGGTGGTGGCTTTCGTGGCTTTCTGGCTGGATGTCACAGAAAAGGCCAAGAGTTTGGTTTGCAGGATAACTATCTCCTCCTAGGACTTTGCCCTTGCCACCTTATCTCTCTGCAGGCTGCACTGCTGCTCTGGCTTGCAGCAGCTGCTGTATCCCCTGCGACTGACTGACCCCTACTTTGCATTGTTACCCTACTCGTTGTTTGATCAGATCTGTGCTTGCTTTTCAGAAAGGGGCAAGTCAAAGAGAGAGCTACGTTGTGTGTAAAAAAGGTGGCACTGACACGCTTTGTTGGCAAATCCTCCCTTGGCGCCTCCACCCTGACTCCTGTGGCAGGGTGTCTCACTTTGCTCACCGTCCCCATCTGCATGGAAATCCTTCTACCTGTGACAGGAATGGAGATTGGTCCCATTGTCTTGCAACAGCATCAATTCTTTCTGAAACATTTACAGCAGAGTGGCGTAGGGAAGTGCCAGTAGCTGAGCCTCACAACAGCTGCATGACTGAGATGTGTCAATCACTAGTGAGTAGTTTAGTCTTTACTTCTGCCCAGCCATTTGAGAGTAGCAACTGACCAGATCTTCATAGAAGAGAAGCCAAAATTGCAAATCCTTCTAGTGCAATTGTCTTGCTGACAATCACTTAAAGGATATAGAATCAGATATATGGAGATTCCAGTTGGGCTTCTTTAGTTGATTATTAAGTATACTAGTCAGGGTAACACTCAGCGGGTTTATCAAATATTCTTGAGATTTTAGTTGTTTAACACAATAAAATTTTGTCTCTGGTGCATGACTCATTTCTACTAAATGATTCTGGGATCCCAGCTCCTCTATCATGTGATTCCACCACCATCATTTTTCTTTTTTTTAAAGATTATTCATTTGAAAGACAGAGCAACAGAGAGAGACCAGAGAAAGCTCTTTCATCCACTGGTTCACTCCTTAAAAGGCCACAACAGAGTCCAGAAGCCAGGAATTTCATCCTGTTCTCCCATGCAGGTGACAGGCAACCAAGAACCTTGGCCAGCTTCTGCATTAATAGAAGACTGGATGTTGATGGAGCAGCCAGGATTTAAAAAGTGTTCTGACATGGCATTACAATTGGTGTTTAACCCACTGCATCACAGTGTTGGCTCTGTGGCTCCACCATCTTGTAGGCTTTCATTCTAATCCATGTATGTATGAATGACCAACAGCCTAGACAGCTGTTAAGAGATGACAAGGTCTGGAACTGTCAGAGTTGACATTTGTTCACATTTTCCTGATCAAATCTCAGTCCCATGGTCCCAGCGTACGAGGAGGCTGAGACGAGATGCTCCTCTGTGAACACAGCCACCCACATTACTCATGATCAAAGGCGTTGTTTCTCTAGTTTTTGTAGGTGCTGTAGGCAAAGAGCCTTTAGTTGTTAGAAAAATACAAGCAGACTCTGCCACAGTCTGTCTCTCTGCTTACAAAAGTCCTGACTGCTGGCACATCCTTTCCTGAAGGTTCGATCCCACTCAGCACCATGTCCCAAAGTCCAGAGGACCTTGGTGGTGTTCGCCTCTGTACTTGATCAAATGACCTATGAACTAAGCCAAGTTATCTTCGGAGCTCCACACCCTAGATCAGCGATAGAGCAGAAGGAAGATAATCATCACAAATCACCCCATTTGGAAAGAGGAAGACTTGGAGACAAAGTAGACATTGCCCTGTCAGTATCTTGGGATCCTGTTGGGCAGACGGGGGTTGGGCTCAGTTCTTGCCTTTCGAGAAGAGCTCCCTGGCCTGTTGTTGACCATCAGGGAGGCTCTTCCGGTTCCTTATTCTCTAGGGCTTCGTGTAAAGCAAATGTTGGGGAGCATGCCTTCCTAACACCCTGGAAAGTTGCTGTCCTTGTCATAGAAGGGCAGAAGTTTAAGTACAGCACTGTTTACACTTGAGTTCCTCCTTGTCGTTTCTTGGACAATAAGTGTCTCTGAAAAGCTGAGTTGGGAGCGTTTAGTTTAGTGGTTAAGGTATTGGTTAACAGATCCAAGTTCAGTATTACACTACCTGGGTTCAATTCCTGGCTCCAGTTCTTTTTCTTTTCTTTTCTTTTCTTTTTTTTTTTTTTTTTTTTTTTTGACATTGATTTATTTGACAATCAGAGTTACAGAGACAGAGAAAGGGAGAGAGAGAGAGGAGAGGTAGATATGGAGAAAGGTTTCCATCCACGGGTTCACTCCCCAAATGACTAGAACAGCCAGAGCTGGGCCAGGATGAAATCACGAAGCACGACCTTCATTTGGGGCTCCTATGCAGGTGCAAGGGCCCAAGCACTTGGGCTATCTTCTGCTTTTCTCAGACCATAATCATGGAGCTGGATCAGAAGTGGAACAACTATGACTGAACTGCTGCCCATATGGAATGCCAGTATCATAGGCAGAAGCTTAACGTACTACACAACAACACAAACCCCCTGGATCCAGCTTTTGACTCAACCTTCCTAGTAACGCAAACACTATACAGCAGCAGCAATGGCCCAAGTGATTGGGCCATGTTACCCATGTGAGAGACCTAAATGGGGTTTCTTGGTTCCAGCTTCAGTCTGATGCGCATGAGTGCGGCTGTTGTACGTATCTGGGTAGTGAATCAGGATACTGAGTTTTTTTCTCATTCTCTGTTTCTCTGTCTCTCTCCTATCTCATTCTCTGTATCTCTGTCTAAATAAACACTTAAAAATAAGCTTACCTGCCTCCTAACATATCTGCTTCCAATCATTAGTTTTGTCTTGTTTTTGATCCTGCTATCATTTTGAGGTTATCCAAAACCAAAAGCTGATGTTTGCCCCCAGCCACAGGGGAGTTTGAAGTGGCTTGGATTTTTGAACCCTGCAAAAGTCTGCATTTCTTTTCAAAATTTTAGAAATCTAAAGCCAGAGTTAGAAGCTAGAGCCCTCAAAGCCAGGTACTCTATAATATGCAGGTGCTCCAGGCAGTGTTTCAACTACTGCACCAAACGCCCTTCCCCAAGCCCCAATTTCTACTCTCTACTCCCTGTTATCTATTCTTGCAACTTGACCAACAACTCCTGTACCTCATCTTGTCCCTCTGGCTTTTACTCTGACCCAACTAACTTGTGATTGTCTTACTTCTCTGTCACCACAGCAACCAGCACAGAGAAGTGCAATTAGTTGTCTGTTGGGAGATTCGTTAAATTTGATCTAACAAAATTTAATTGTTTTTTCCCTTGGAAATCTTGTTGTCTTAGTACGATAAATATTCTGGCAGTTTTTCAGGCAATTGAGAATGGCCAATGATACACCATATGTAGTTCCTGAGCCAAAGGGAAGGGAAATTAGTATTTAATAGAATAAGTGAAAGAAATGATGAGTTGCAAGTACTGGTTTGAATATCCCCTGTCAGTCTTTGGTAATAGATGGGTTGGAGGGGAATAAAGAGAGAGGGAGCTATCTAAAAGGAGACCACACACCTTTTGAATTTTGCTCCCCAGAATCACCTTTCTTAAAATTTATCTTGCTTACAAATGTGCAGATTGGTGTTTCTGCCCCTACCCCCTTCACATTCCCTCTCTCTTCTTCCCGCAGTAGCTTACGTGAGGCAGCAGAGGATTCCCATTAGTGTTGAGGTGATAAAAAAAGCAAAAATGGCTGCTGGAGGTAGGGAGCTCTTGATGAGATCACACAGATAATTTCTGAAGTTGCTAAGCCAGGACCTGTGCTTTCCTGCAGTAAGAGCATAGACATTCATTGAGTAGGAGACTAGGAAGCAATGGGTTGTGATTTACATCCACATTCAATTCAGATCCTTGCCCCAGATGTCATGTTCTTACAGTTGTCAAAACATAAAAATGCCCTCTTTGCAGTGTTGCCTCTAAGATGTTCAAAGGCTTTATATATTTGAAAAATACATCTTCAGGTGGATATTTGTTCTGTCTCCTTGCGAGTCAAATAGGAAAACTAGTGTCTGCCCAATATACCTTATGGATTGTTTTGAGCATATGAGGTATTCGTAAAAGAGGATCTTACCCTTTAGGAGGTGAAGGAGGAGAAGGTACCATGATTTGACTCCAAGAAAAAAGGAGCTTTGAGAGATTTACCATTTATCAGTGAAACATTTTCCAGAGCTAGAGCTCTCAAAAGAACCTCCCAAGCAACTCTGATTATCCCCTTGCATGCACTGGCTAAGATGGCCTTATCCAGCTTCGCACTGCCTAGGTTTGATACCTAGCTTCAACTTCTGGTCCCAGCTCCCTATCAGTGCAGACCCTAGGAGGTAGGAATGATGGCTCAGACACGTGAGTTCCTGCCTCCTATGTGGGACACTAGAATTGAGCTCCTGGCTCCGACTTTCAGCTTGGCCCAACTTCTTGTGGGCATTTGGGGGAGTGAACCAACAGATGGAAGATCTCTCTTTACTGGTTTCTCTGTGTGTCTGCTTTTCAAACAAACATTTAAAAAATTTGCCCCCTTGTTCTCAGAGCATTTCTGACACTCTGTGGAAGAATGGCATCTACGACTTTGTTTGCCTCTGAGATGCTTGATAAGGGGCTTGCTCAACTCCTAACCTATGTGCTTCAACAAAGGGCTCACTGCATCTAGTAGCTTGTTGAATCAAACCCAAACAAACCACTTTACCAAGGTATTTCAAAAAAGTTCATGGAAAATAGAAATTAAAACTAAGTTCAATTTGGTGCAAGAAATTTTAAGACTCAATTCACATTCACAATATAAATTCTCCATGAACACTTTGCTTTTTTGTGAGCATTATTTTTCAACATTAAATGACTTTTTCCTGACCTGAGACAGGAATCTTATCTCTTTCATTCTAACAGCAAACATACCCCTTGATCGTGGTTTCCACCCTGTTTTCCATCTCATTTTTTCTTGTATTCCAAAGGCAGATAAAGGTGAAGTAGGGGAAGCCACTGTCTCCACCAAGAGGCAAGTCAAAGAGCACAGCAGAAATCCAACGCTCAGTAGCTTCTGGGCTTCCATGGACTCCCACCTTCGCTGGGGCTGGCTCTGCCAAGGGGAGATTTCTTTGTCCTTTGCTCTTTCCACGGGAATTCAGTATGAAAAGTTAGAAAGCGGTGGTTTAGCTTTCATTGCCAAAAACTCCTTACTTATCACACATGCAAGGATAATTCACTGACTTACATGAATGAATCCTGTGATCAGTTTCCAAAGCAGAACGTATCTCCTTTCCAAAAAGCAAAACAAAGCGAATCATTACCTTACATTCCCGCCTACATTTTTTTGCTCAACTAACTTAGTAGAAACTCTTTCTGCTCTTCGAGCCAAAACCAGTGACATCATCTTCATTTCTTTGACTCCTACACCTCACTTATCAGGGAAAAAATTCATTGAATTTGCAGATGTATCTAAAATCTTGACACTTTATTCCACCCCCAGTGCTACCCACAACCATCTCTGTCTCCCTGCTTCTATTCTTGCCTCCACTGAACAACCAACCTATTTTGTCCGAGCTACTTCTCTGCTATTAGTCTTCTTTATGCTCACTCCAACTCAGCTTCGTTTCCCATAGAACAAGTTAAGCGTGTTCTTCCCTCGCAGTTTTCCCACTCGCTAGCTACTCTCCAGGGGACGCTTACCTTCAGATGCTACAATAACTTTAATGAGGATTTTCTTGAGATCACTTTTATTAAAATTCTATCACTTTCCAAAAAACTTCCTAATCGTCTTACTTACTTGATCTTTCTCCATAAACGCCATCAAAACTCAGTATTACATATAGTTTAACTCTTTCTTTTGTGTCAAACCTTTCCTTACTGTAATATAAGCTCTATAAGCGCAGAAATTTTTATTTTATTTATTCACTGCTGAACAATATTCAGCAATAGGGCATTAAGGCAGTCAGTAAATATTTTTTCTAATAATTGGGTGGTGAATTTCAGAAGATGCTCATTACATGACTCATCAGTCATCCCGACACCCTTTTTTTTTTTTTTTTTATTTACGAAACCCACATACAGAAGCTGGAAAAATTGAACTCTTACTTTCCCAGCCAGCCTTGCAGCTAGGAGTAGCTATATGACACAACTTTGGACAATGAAACATAATGGAATGTGATAGATGCTCTGGGAAAGGCTTTTTGCTACCTTGATGAAGGAGTATCATTTGGCCTTTGGGCTGCTTTGAACTGTCTAAAGAGTGTTCCCTGAAATTGTTGCAGTCTTCTTGTTACAATGAAGTGACGGCCACGAGGAAAAGTTCAACGAAATGACCTGATTCAAGGAAATGATTCTGATTCTAACAATTTCAAGCCAATAAAATGACATCCATGTCTGTTTTCTTCTAGACTGCTTGTTATAAAAAAGCGCTTCCATTTAAGCCATTGTAACTTGGGTTTTCTATTATTTAATATAGTTATAACATACACTCACTTATGGTTTCATGAGTCTAAAGAAATCTATGTCTGGTAGAAAGCCACTTACCTGAAAATTGACTTAGCACCAGGTATCCAAAGAAACAAGCATGTTAGACATTAATCTTGAGAATACAGCAGTCTTCAGTGGAAGCGGATCTGCATCTTGCTTTTTGGTCTTCAAAGTTCCAAACAGAACACTACTTCTTATGATATCATCTGCTGCATTTGATTCTTTGCAGTGTCTCTGATAGCTGGGTGTACAAACATCTTCTCATGCTTATGCATAGACATCTGTATTGCTATCAAAAGCCATCCTCACAAGTTGTATCCTCTTGAAGAATTCTAAGAAAAACTTTATTTTTCACATATCTACTACATATTAAAAAATAGTGTATATTTTTACACACTGAAACATTGATAAAGGTGGTTTTCTGTATCCACACAGTAAAGATTATGTAATATGATGAAATGGTTGTTCATTTGTATGCATTGAAATGACAGAGCAAGAAACTGAGCAAAAAAGTCCTAGTCTTTCTGTAGCTTAATCTCGGAGAACATCCTTTAGGACTGCCACGTTCTGTGTGTTAGAGATGCCTTCCTAGTTGCGTCTGACACAGGACAGAAATGTCACAAGAACATCAGAAAGATACCTATATCTCACATACTCCGTAGTCATCATTTCATGGGCAGCTAGGCAGAGTTTACACCTTTGCCACTGTGAATTGAACTGCAATAACCGTGGGACTACAGCTATCTCTTTCACATGTGGTTTTCACTTCTTTTTGATATATTTCCAAGAATGGTACAGCTGGGTCAAACACCTTTAAATTATATCTTTTATAGAAAATTATTTTGTTCACTTCAAGTTTCAAACTATATTTGTTGTAGCAGACTGATTTTGCTTGGCAATATCCTGATAATTAACTGGTTATGCTTTCATAATTAATTAGCATTATAAGATCATATACATTTTTGGAGTTAGCAATGATATTATGTGCTTTCACATATGATTATGCTAGCAAACAATATACAATCCTATTCTTCCACAGTATCTTCACTCCCCAAGTGAGCGCAACGGCCGATGCTATGCCGATCTGAAGCCAGGAGCCTCTTCCAGGTCTCCCATGTGGGTGCAGGGTCCCAAGGCTTTGGCCCGTCCTTGACTGCTTTCCCAGGCCACAGGCAGGGAGCTGGATGGGAAGTGGAGCTGCCAAGACACAGACTGGCACCCATATCGGGTCAGACATGTGGAAGGCAAGGATTTAGCTGCTGATTCACCATGCCGGGCCTGCAACTCCCCACCTCTCCTCCAACCTCTCTCTACTTTGTGCTCTGCTCCCAGATAAAATGCCATTTTTTCTTTGACAAATTTTATTTCACCTCTCATAAATCGTATCAGTTTTTACTCAGTTCAGTTTATTCTGTTATTCAGTGCCTCTGTTTTAAAAAATATTATTTTTATTTTAACTTATAGTATGAAAACATAGTCCTTAAAGGCATTCATCTCTATGTATAAATATTTTATTTAACTAATTACTGAGGAAAGCATCAGGAAAGCAAAATAGTTGGTTCCAAGAGCATTTGGGAAACAGAATTAGAAAGCCAAACTGAGATTAAGTTAGACATAAAGTGGTTAACCTTTTACAAGAAAGCAAGCTTTATTGCTTTTATTGCTAATGCCTCTTCCAGGCTATAAAACAAAACTACTTATTGATTTCTGTGAGTTAACTGCTAACCTTGCACAACTCTGTAATTCTCCAAACCACTTGTTCCTGTATCAGTTATACATTGTGTGCATGACTGTCCCCAAAGAAGTCAGATCAAAGTCAAGAAAGATCATTAGAACATGCTCCAAAATGGAAGAAAAGCTATCATCTTGTTTTTCTTTTTCAAGGAACTCCTGCTTACCTTAGCTGTAAGTACTGCACGTTTCCTGTAACTGCTCTGTGGCTATCTTTTAAAAAACCTTGAACCAGTAGGAAATGCTCTTCCACACGGCCCTAATGAAGTGGCAGGGGTGGAAGAAGTGGACCCTAGACTACCTTATATGAACGAGAGGCAAGGCAGGGCTTAGGCAGCTCAGCTAAGTACATGGAGCTGCAGTTTCCAGTCATGCTATAAATCCCCCGGTACATTTTTACTGCAAGTTTTGAGCAGGAAGTTGGGTTTGAGAGAGTGTAAAAGGAGTGCTTACTTGCTGTCTCATGGCACAGACAGCTGCGAATTCCCCTTATTTTGTTTGGGAAGTATTAAAAATGAACCCTTTATAAACCTATCATTATCATTACTTTTCTTGAACATCAAAAATTTCAAGACAACATTATTTTTTTGAAGTATACTGATAATTCTATATTCCCATCACCCTCATTTTATGTTGATTAAAATTAAGACAAAATGTGTTTATCTGCACATGTTTCTGGAAATACAATGATTTAATTAACACCTTTTAGAAAATATTTATTTTTATTGGAAAGGCAGAGTTACAGAGACAAGGAGAGACAGAAAGACACACAGAGAACTTCCATATGCTGCCTCACTCTGTACCCTGCTGGAGATGAGCAGTGTACAGAGCGAAGCCAATCTGAAGTCAGGAGCCAGGAGCTTCTTCTAGGTCTCCCACGTGGGTGCAGGGTCCCAAGCTTTGGGCCATTCTCTATTCTTTTTCAATTCATAAGCAGGGAGTTGGACGGAAAGTGTGTGTGGGGGGGAGGGCATATAGGGTGCTGGTACTTGCATGTAGAGGATTAGCCTATTGAGCTACTTCACTGGCCCCTTAATCAATAACACTTTAATGGAACTCTTGCATTGTCTCTGTTTTGCAGATCGTCAAAACGACTGAACTTTGATTTCAAAGTTGAGATAATATGAAAACATGTTTTCATCCATGCTGGACAAAGTTCATAAAGAAGTGAGAGTTTCATTTTAAGAGTATGAAGTCTATAGGTTGAGCATTTGGTGCAGTAGTTAAGGTACCACTTAGAACACTTGATGTCCAACAGCATGGTGCCTGGTTTCAAGCTCTGCCTTTGGCTAGTAACTCTAGCTTCCTGCAGTACAGATCCTAGGAAGCAGGGTGGCTCAAGTACTGGGGTTTCTGCCAGCCATGGGGGAGATCTAGATCGAGTTCTGGGCTCCTGGCTTCAGCCTGGCTCAGCCTTGGCTGTGATGGGCCTTTGGCGGAATGAACCAGTGGATGGAAGTTTTCTGTGTGTGTCTTTCTGTCTCTCTGCCTTTCAAATAAAATGACAACAACGTACTCATTTCATGTAGTTATTCTGTCAACTTCCAACATGTAACTTCTGCAACAGAGGAAGTGGTGTTTCTGTGAAACCTAATTTTTGAATGTGGCTTGGGCCTCACTTCTGTTTGCTTAGTCACATTGGGAAAAAAAAACTCAGCAGATGTGTAAGAGTTCAGCTGCATGCAACACCCCCAGGAAACTACTTTAAGTGATTTCAGGCAATGTCTGCTAGGGTTGGGCAGCTTAGACAATGGGAAAGGATGATGCCATGGGCAGTGTGGAGAGGTAAGTACCCAAAAGCCAAGTACAAAAGCTACAAGGCAAGCCTGAGAAGGACACTGGGCCTGGAGTTTGGGAACAATGTGGATCTGTGGAGGAGCAGCAAAGTAGAGCTAAGTGCCTCAGAGTTGCTGTGCTTCACAGCCAATAATCTCCAGTCTCAGAGCAATGTGGTGGACCCAGCTCTTGGGGTGAATTTTAAGGTAACGGGCCAGCAGAGGTGGGTCTAGAGAGTTCATCACAGGCAGGAAGGAGTCTTGATTTCCCTTAAAAACCTGAAAAAGATAGCGTTTGTTACTTGTCCAATAGCAAACACATTGTTATACTAGCACTCCCACTGCCCCGTCCCCAACCAGGTTCCTGAAATCCCATCAGTCATTCATTCATGTTCCTACCTTGATACGGTCCTCACCCCTCTTGACATATAATACAGAGTCCACCAGAAAGTGCAAGCTCTTTTCCCACTCCAATAGTCTACAATCAGGAAGTAGAAGATGACTCTAGGATTGGAAGCACCATGTTTGACTGCTGTGGAGCACTTTCTGTACTGACTCCTTACATCTGAAATATTCTTACCCACTTCCCCCAAATCTCAGTGAAACAGAGCACTCTGTATATTGCGCTTTCCAGACACAAAAAATGGCAGTTACTCCAAATACTCATATAAGTTACTATCACACATATTAATAGGTACTTCAGAATGAAAGCAGAAGTAACACATCAGGAAGTATAATCTAATATAGCTGGCTAACTTTGGCAGGAGAGATTGCATCAGGGAGAGAAGTAAGTGGGAAGAGAATCGAAGCTGCAAGGCATCTTGCCATGCTGGGACTTGGCAGCTAAGGCCACCTGTGAATCCCAGTCAACGTCTGAGATAATGAAAGTCTGAATATAAAAAAGTGCCATTCAGGGCAACTCTGCAAGGTAGCATGATTCTTGTGATTCTCTGGTAACTGTGCAGTAGAAATCCCAGCCAAATACTAAGAACAAGCAAGAGTCTGGGATGAAGAAGACCAGCATGAACACATGATGCCCTATCATGATGGGTGCTGACAAATTCAGTATGAGATCACACTGATACTATGGAACATTCAGCTATCAGAACAAAAGAAGTTGAAGCCGTACTCTTTAGCTACATTTCCGTCCCAGATTCCCAACCTTGCCAACTTATCTGAATCACCTGGGAACCTTTTTAAAAATAGGAATGGGTGGCCTAGCTCCTCCTCTTCATGAGATGTCTATTCCCTCCCCTAGATTCCCTTACATAGCAACCAGAATTCTTCCCAAAATATAAATCTGGTAATCCAATGAAAAGTTTCAGGTCATTTAAAATAAAACCTAACTACTTATTCTAGTCTCCAGGAAGCTAGAGTGAGCTTCTGGGCTTAAATTCAGGCTTTTATACTAACTCTTTCATAAGAATCACTTTTTGGGGCTGGCACTGTGGTAAGGCAGGTAAAGCCGCCATCTGATACCAGCATCCCATAGGGGTGCCAGTTTGAGTTTCAGCTGCTCTACTTCTGATCCAGCTCTGTTAATGTGCCTGGGAAAGCAGCAGAGGTTGGACCAAGTGCCTGGGCCCTTGCACTCCTATGGGAGACCAAAAGAAGATCCTGGCTTCCAGTTTTGGTTTGGCCTACATTGCAGCCATTCGAGAAGTGAACCAGTGGATAGAAAATTTCTCTCCTCCTCTCTCTCTTCTCTCTCTGTAATTTCACCTTTCAAATGAATCAACTAATTTTTTAATTTAAAAAGTCACCTTTTGAGGGCATGCCTTCAATGCCCTAAGACCCTCCCATGAGGCCCCACATCGTAAACATGGTGACTGGATTATGTCTCTGTCATCTTAGTACTGTCAAGTTATGCATGAATTTAAAGGCCAACTCATGTTCAACTGAAAGCAAGTATTCTCTAATTTGTCTGTTTATTAACTATTTCTGAGGTCCTTACTATTAAATGTTAACTCCACAGCATCAGAGATCTTGGTCATTTTGTGTCTTCAACATACAAAATATTTTTATGTAACAAGGCAAATTATGCTATCATTATTTAAGTAGTTTCTGTATTTGACAAGTGTTTTGAGAAACATTAACATCTCCTCTCAGAGGTTTATTTTAAATAAGTATTTATGGTATATTTGGAGGATTGTATATCTTTTGTGGACAATTCATATTATTTCCCCTCAAGCTTTTATTTTGAAAAAAATTATTAAAGAAATGGAAAGAATAATATATTGAATAGCCTTAAATATTTTGTCTAGATTCACCAATTGCTAACATATTTTGTTTCCCTCTCATATACACACAAATCTGCATACTTTTTCCCCTAAATTATTTAAAAGAAAATGATAAACATTATGTAATTTTACTGCTAAATACTTCAGCATACCAAGCAGAGTATAAGGTCATCTTTCTACATAATATTATACTCAACAAATACAGTATTAACACAATATTATATAATATTTAACATCATTCCAATCCTCAAAATAATATCACGTAATATACATATATATCCAACTCGGAATCTCATAAATGATTACACATTGCAGTTAACTTTTAAGTTTCCCTTAATCTAAAATATACTCCTAATCGATTATCTTTTTTTGCCCTTTATGACACTGCAATTTTTAAATTATTCAAGACACTTTTCCTGTAGAATTTCCATTAAGATGGTGTTTATCCCATTTCTTTATTATAAAGATAATAATTTTCCTTTCCTAAAACAATAACAACAACAAATAGCAAGCTTTCCTCTAAAGCTTTTAGTACTACCCCGTAAAAGTTCCTAAAAAATCCAATAATATAATCATGGCTGAAAAGTGACTTTCCAGTTTTGTTATTTATTAGCCAGGTTTCTTCTTTGAAGAGAGCCTCCCTCCTTTTTTTCTTTTTTCTTCTTCTCTCTTTTCCTTTTTTCTTTCTCTTTCCCTCTTTCTTTTTCTTTCTCTCTCTCTCCTTTCTTTCTTTCTTACAAAATACTTTTATAATTCTCTATGCTGTTCATATTGCCTCAAATTTGGTCAACAGTAAGCTCTACCAGCCAGCTTTTAGGTTCTTTTCACCCGACTTCACTCACCTTTAACTGTTTCCTTGCATTGTGCTACATTAAGATGTTCCAAGAGCACCAGGCAGTTTCCTGGCCCCACACATGGAATTTCCTTAAGTTCCATTTAGACACCAACTTACTCTGCTTATTGTCACTGTGCTGTGATCACTTATAGGCTTTATCAGTGCAAAGTGCTAGGATTGTTTTACTTCCTCAGTTCTTACTGATATTTATAATTTGATTCTAATATTAATTGTTTATATTAGTTTTTAAGGACTTTCATTGCCAATTACGTCAGACTTGGTGGCATAAAAATAAAAGAAATTCATTCTATCAAAGTTTAGTGGTTCAAGCCCAGTGTGATGGCTTAGTAGCTAAATTGTGACCTTGAATGCTTTGGGATCCCACGATGGCCCTGCTTGTGTCCCAATTGTTCCACTTCCTATCCAGTGCCCTGCTTGTGGCCTGGGAAAGCAGTGGAGGACGGCCCAAAGCCTTGGGACCTTGCATCTGTGTGGGAGACCCGGAAGAGCTCCTGGCTGCGGACCGGCTCAGCTCTGGCCATTGCAGCCATCTAGGGGTGAACCAGTGGATGGAAAATCTTCCTGTCTCTCCTCTCTGTAAATCTGCCTTTCCAATAAAAATAAATAAATCTTTAAAGAAAAAACCAAAATTTAGAGTTTCAAACTCTGAATCATGAATGAGGAGCACAAAAGACTGAATCATACACAGTGACACATTCAAAACTCAAATTTTTCACATTTAAAATGTGTTTGGAAGCGTATGCTCTGTCCACTTACATTCAATTGATGAAAATAAGTTCTACTGTTCTGCCCAAAGTTGATGAGGTTTTCAAGAATCAAGAACAATACAGTGAATATCACATACCTCATATGTCATTTTCTGTTCAGTTAGAAAATCTTAGTATTTTTTTTTATTATTCCAGCAATTAAGAGGTGATATTTATGTGACCAAGAGAGAGCTATTCAGCTAAGTTTCTTAGTTCTGCAGCACCATCTACTGTTAACAAAGTTGACTGCAACTTACGGTTCACAGTCATTGTTTTTACAGGATACTTAATTTTTATTACTTTTCTTCTTTCTTCATTACTGCTAATCATATGGACTTTGTTTAGATCTTCTGTCAGCTAATTCACTCCTTAAGTGGCCACAATGGCCAGAGGTGAGCCAATCCGAAGATAGGAACTAGAAGCTTCTTCTGGGTCTCTCATGTGGGTGCATGGACCCAAGTACTTAGGTCATCTTATTCTGCGTTCTCAGGTGCATTAGAAGGGGATCAGATCAAAAGCAGAACAGTCAGAATTCAAAATTATATCCATATGGGATGCTGGCATCACAGGAGGCAGTTTAACTTGCTATGCCACAATGCTGGCTTCAACATCTGGAAATTTCTAGAGTCAACTTTCTAGTTTTTTTTTTTTTTAAATTTCATTTTAGAGGCAACATAATCCTCATTTAGGGGAGTTACCCCAGTACATTTATCAAGTGATACAAAAGCTGCTAGTTTTGAGTGTGGCCCAGAACAAGAGAAGGTTCAGGATCGTGTTCAGGCCACCATGCAAGCTTTAATCCAGTAGATCCAATTGAACTTGAGGTGTCAGTGGCAGACACAGATGTATCTGTATAATATAATATATATATAGTACCATGTCAGGATCCTATCTGCACATTTCAGTACAGACCCTTAGGATTTTGTAGCCTTCATCTGTTGTGAAGTATTTTCCTTCTGAAAGTTCTTGGCTTGCTACTAGGTCTTAGGAAAAATTAATGCTTGACAACTGGCCACATAGTTACCTTGTGACTTGAAATGCCCACCATGGACTTGATGTTATCTGACCCACTGCACCAGAAGATTGAGCCTGCACAGAAACACTCATCAAGTAGAAATGGTACAAATGTGACTGAACTCAAGCAGGTAGTGAAGGCACAATTACATGAACAAGCAGCCCAAATTGTTGTTTTTACTACTCCATTGCCTTCTCTTCTCGAAGTGTGCACTTCTGTCTCATTGGAGAGGGGTAGACTAATACCTGTCAGCAGAGCAAGAGGAGCCCTCAGGGCTGGTTTACAAATGGCCTGCAACATATGCAGGCAGTATCCCACAGTGAAAGGCTACAGCACTAGGGTTGCTCTTCAGAGCGTCACTGCAGGACAATGGGAAACAGAAATCTTTTTCAGTGGGCAGAAATTCTGTTTTTCTGGTGCTGCACTTTGCTTAGAAGGAGAAATCACCAGATCTGTAATTATGTGCCAATTCATGGGCTGTAGCCAGCAGTTTGGCTAGATTTCCAGTGACTAAATTGGGAAACTGGTGATACATAAATTTGGAAAGGAGACATGTATGTAGACCTCCCTGAATGGGCAAAAAAGTGTGAAAATGTTTGTGTACTATGTGAATATTCACCAAAAGGTGACCTAAGAAGAGGAAAATTTTGATAATCAAATGAATACCAGTCAGCTTGTTTGTGGATACCAGTGGGAATACCAGTCAGCTTGTTTGTGGATACCAGTGGATAGCACTTTGCAGATACTTTGCAGAGAGCAGTCAGTATTGCTGTCAGTGGCCAATGCACTCCTAAGCAAAGGAGCTATTCTTGGTGACGTGGCGATTACATTTGGGCTCAGCAATGTGATTTTCCACTTATTAATGACTGTCTACAACCACTAAGTACACAGTCTGCCAGCAGTAGAGGCCAACACTGAGCTCCTAATATGACATCATTTCCCAACGTGATCAACTCCCTGGTGGCGGCTGATGACATTAGACTGCCTCCATCAATAAATGGGGAGACATTTTATTTTTATTGTAACTGATAGTCAAATATAGAATTGTTTTCCCAGGACAGAATTCTTTTCCAAAATAACCATAGGTAGACTTATGCAATGCCTTATCTACTGTTATGGTATTCTACTCAGCAATGCTTCTAATTAAGGAGCTCACTTCACAACCAAAGTAGTGTAAAAGTTGTCCCACACCCTTGGAATTCACTGGCCCTATCATGTTTCCCAACAATATTGAGCAGTTGGCCTTATAAAATAGGGAATGGCATTTTCAAGACTTAATTACAGAACCAGCTATGTGACAGTACTTTAAGGTGCTCAAGTTATGTTCTCTAGAAAACTTTATATGCTCTTAAGCAGTATCCAATATATAATGCTCTTTCTCCCATAGGCAGGAGTCACAAATTCAACAATCAAGGGAAGGATGGAAGTGAGAATGGTACTGCTTATCATTATCTCTAGGGACTCCAATAGCAAAATGTTTGCTTCCTTTTCCTGTGGTCTTACATTCCAGTGTCCTAGAAATCTTAGATCTAAAGGGAAGAATGCTTATGCTGAGTAATTAACAAATGTTACATTAAACTGAAAGTTGAGCCACTTTGGATTCCTCATGCCTCTGCATCAGTAGATGAAGAAAGGACTTACTGTGTTGGTTGGGTGATTTACCTTGAACATCTAATGGAAAGTTAGACTACTCTATCACAATGGATGTAAGGAAGAGCATTTTGGAATATAGGAGATTCCTTAGAGCAAATCTTAGTATTATCACATAGTATGAATGAAGTCAATGAAAAACTATAATATTTCAATCCACAAAGGACTACTAGTGGTCCAAGCCCTTAAGGAATGAAAGTTTGAGTCACCGTATCAGGTAAAGATCCATGACCCACAGAGCTGCTTGCTTAAGACAAAGGGATTACAGAGTGGAGAATGAAAAGGGTATTATGTCAAGTATTTCATCCTTGCATTGTTATGAATATGTGTATATCCACCTGTTTTCTTCCTTCTAGCCTCTTATAAATTTACATAAGATGCACTGATTTTTCTATCATAGTGTTTAAGAATCATTAATTTTTTGTAATATTTACGTTATGAGATTTCAAGAAACAAAATGAGTTAAAATTCAAGGATATCAATTCTTTTAGGGAATAAGTTAATGCATTTTTTTATTATACACACACAGGCTTTTAACATATTTTGTTAGATGGAATTATGATCTTGTTTTTTACTTCATTTGGATATTAAAAATTGTGTAAGGAGATGCATGTGAGTGCCCAAACAGATGGTTAATTCTATATGTCAACTTTCTGAGCCACAAGGAATCCAGATATTTAGTAAAACATTCTGGGTGTTTGCATGAGGGTGTTTTTGGATGAAATGACATCAAAAATTCATAGACTGAGTAATGTAGATTGTCATCCTTAATGTGGGTAGGCATCATCCAATTCGTTGAAGACCTGAATAGAATAGAAGGGATTGCACTCTTCCAAGCAAGAGGGAATTCCTACCCGATTGCCTTCAAACAGGAACATAAATTTTTTCCTGCCCTTGAACTTGAGCTAAAATATTTTAGCTCTTCCTGTGTCTCAAGTTTGTAGGTCTTCTGACCAGAACTACATCATTGGGTTGCTCATATCTTAAGCTTGTTGAACAATCCCATAGGTCTTGGAACTTAACAGCCTCAGTAATAGCATGGGCCAGTGAAGTCTCTCTGACACATACAGCTCCCCATTCATACATTATATGCATATAATCTCCCATGAAATATATGTTTTCTGTAAATTTCCTATGCATGTCCTATGAGGTCTGTTTCTCTGGATATCCTTCACTTATTTACGTACATAAAAATAATATATTTGCCCTTTTATGTTTGGCTTATCATACTTGGCAAATTTTCAAGGATCACTTATGTAATAACACAAAGCAAAGATGCAACATTTTTTAAATGGGAATTTCCGCTACAGTATCTGTTACATAGACTCTAGACCACCGAAATGCTAAAAGTAGAAGTCTTTAAACACATCTTAAGAAATCAGGTAATTCTTGTTGGGGGCGATGTTGATCTGAGACTTGAAGAACAAATCAGGCAAAAGGGCAATAGAAGGCAGCTAGAAAAATGTTACAGGTGGAGAAATTGTGTGCATAAAAAGTCTGGACATGTTATAAGTTTGCTACATCTAGGAACCTGAGAGCTTCGTGCTGTGGACAGAACTTAGAGAACAATGGAACAAGTTACAAGAGATTTACTGGAGACATTAGTAAGTGCTACACTACAGTTTCTTCTGGCTGAAGTTAGATAGTAGACTAGCTGAACTAGTAGTTTTCGATTATTTAGGGGTAAGACTTTATGTCACATCTTCCAAGCAACATACTTTTTGACTTATCTGTCAACTCAAAGTCAAGACTTGTCTAGACCAAAGTAGTTAAAGTTCAGTAGGCTGGGGAACCTGGGTTGCTGACAAGAATGTAGACATCTTTAAGCATTTGGGAGATAACTCAGCCATCTCATCCCTCTGATTCTAGCCATCATCTTGAATGACACTAATATCCAAAGAGGAGAATCGATTCTAGGCTCTATTCTACCCTACTCTTGGGCTTTTATCTCCTTGTTTAAAATCATCATGTTCTCTCAAAATGCTCCTCACAGTGTCCTGCTACTACAGATAATCAGCATACTTTATGTTGATGCTTAGGTCACATATCAATCTTTTTGTGTTCCTAATGTCAAACTCTAGAAGTTTTCTGTCCTTTCTATGAGACTAGAGTACCTTTAATTTGCCATGCTGAAAAAAGAAGCTCCAGTTATGGCCATCTTGACTGCTGGAGATGAGGAACTCTTTCACATACATGCTGGTAAGGAGAGATTTAACTCCCTGGGTGACGATTCCTGTGACTTTCATAGTCTTCCGGAAGTCTACTTGTAGCCATTCTCGTGGATTATTCACCTGAGGAGAACAACATTGGAGTAGTATCCTCTTTGTTACTACTTGTTCCCTGAAAGCCACAAACCCCTTCTTTATAATCAGAGAATCATTCTACATTTTCAAAAGATTTCTTATTTTTTTTTATATGAAGGGTAGGCAGATTTACGGAGAAAAGGAGAGACTGAGAGAGGGAGAGATCTTCCATCTTCTGGTTCAGTCCCCAAATGGCTGCAATGGACAGAGCTGAACCGTTCCAAAGCCAGGAGCCAGGAGCTTCTTCCAGGTCTCCCACTTGGGTGCAGGGTCCCAAGGCTTTGGGCTGTCCTCCACTGCTTTCCCAGGCCACAAGCAGGGAGCTGGATGGGAAGTGGAGCAGTTGGGACATGAACTGGTGCCCATATGGGATGTTGGTGCCTGCAGGTGAAGGATTATCCTATTGAGCCAAAGAGCTGGCTCCATCACTCTGCATTTCAATGATTTGTCAGTCTCCTTTATTAGCCTCTAAGGAACTTCAGGGCCAAAATTGTTCAAAACTGATTTCTGTATTCTCAGTGTCAGTCCATTAGTAATGCATTAATGACCTATTTTACTTGAGATACACCTTTGGAGGAGAATAGAAATATACTTAATTTTAAAAACAAACAAACAAACAATTCAGTGATTGAAACACCACAAAACTTGCAGATCTAGAAAACATCTGTGCCCAGTGAATTTTATACAACCACAACCCTTTTCTTTGAGATACTGTGAAACCTGGAAATAAAGTTAATGATTGGCATTTGTCTATAAAACTGGATTTATATGTCATAATCCTTTCACAGAGACTAGTCGAGTATTGGATAGAGACATTTTTGTTTTGCCCATGAGATTGTGGGCCTGTACTCAATCTTCTTCACATACTTTTAAAAGAACAGTTCACAAAAATACTGCTTTTTCAGTATTTTTGTTTTTTCATCAAATACATTTAATGAAATAGTCAAGGATTTCTTCTATTTTTACCCAACCTCTGCTCCCTGTTCTGTGTCAGTTAAGTAGTATATCTGTTACTGTTACCTGCGGTCTCCAGGCATTAATCTTGCCCTGGAGATTAAGCCGGGCTTTTGAAGGATACCAGGCTGCAAACATCCTGCTGAAGTAGGATGAGGCAGTAATTTGTGAGTCTGATATTACTTTACTTTCCATTCCCAATGGCATGCTGCAACCTCAAAGGAGAGGAAAAAGTTAGCACAAAGGTAGACCTCAGTGTTAAGTTTCACTGGGCTGCATCAATCAATGTTCTAGGTCTACTGTCATCACTGTCTCATTTCTCAGGAACTAACTTTTGCAAAGATTCTGTCATTGTTAACATGGTCTTTGTTTTATTCTCAGCTCTAACTTTGATTTTTCTTGCTAATAGTAGTGTAGGAGGTGGCAGCCTCTGTAGAACTCCTCAGCTAATAAAACAAATTCTTAAGTTTTCCCAGGACTGTGTCCCAGTCTGTTTCCTGATACTGGAACACCATGCCCAAACCCCGCCTGTCACCAAGTGTCGGGTTAGTTACAACAGTTAGTAACCCTACCTTTGGGTGGGAGAGGTAAGGATATATAATGATGTAGCACTTACTATTTAAATCACAGCCTATCAACTCCATGCGAAGAGTACTGCGGATGCTATAATGAGTTGGGTGTAAACGAATATACTGAGCAATAATTGGAGGATTAAAAGTATTGTGTTTTATCCCAGATGAATCCACATTGCCAAAGAAGACCTGTTGGAAGAGATTAACACAGACACAAGGGAAGTGAATACAGAATGAAGAACAATCTCTTCCAAAGACATGTTCCTTCCTTCTAATTTGGCTTTGTGTATTGCACAACATTATATGATATACAAATAAATTAATTCTGGCTAAACACAGATTAAGATGATACATATGAAAAAGAAAAGCACCAGGCAGAAGAATGGAACAAGGGAGATTAGGCCTGGAGCAAGTGAAGTAATTGTCTACCTTCATCTAAGCTGAGGACATTATTTGGAAGTTTGCTACTATAGCATGGTCCACAGGTCAGCAATAGCAGCATTAGTACATAGGAGTAATTATACATACAGTTTTGGAAGACTGACATCAGAAAATTGATGGAATAAGAAGTTCTTAGTTTTCAGTCACCTACAGAAACAACAATTTGGCAGCCATTTGTAGATTAAAGTCCCTTTGTGGGAGCCTTGGGATCCAACTATAAGGTTGAAAAATCCCAACAGAACTTAAGACCAAGGATGACTGCTTTGATAAGGTAAGCCCACATAACGATGATGGGGCTTCCAGCTATAGACCTGGCTACAGAACCAGAAATAGCTACACCCCAGTGGCTTCACTGTCAGCCCTATATTATTATTATTATTATTATTTTGCTTTTATTGGAAAGTCAGATATACAGAGAGGAGGAGAGACAGAGAGGAAGATCTTCCGTCCAATGATTCACTCCCCAAGTGGCCGCAATGACCAGAGCTGAGCCAATCCAAAGCCAGGACCCAAGAGCTTCTTCCTGGTCTCCCACGCAGGTATAGAGTACCAAGGCTTTGGGATGTCCTCCGCTGCTTTTCCAGGCCACAAACAGGGAGCTGGATGGGAAGTGAAGCAGTTGGGTTTGGCTGTCCTGTAGCACCCAACAACAAGAACCAGAATGGATTAAGGCTAGTCAGGAGAGGTCACTGTTCTTATGGGACAGGAGGTGGACCAAGTAGGGCTGGCCCATAGGAACAGTGGCCTTTCCTGACCAGCTTGGTCCGCACCAGACACAGCTTACACATGCCTCTACAGGGGCAGAGACCTAGCCTAGCCTGTCCTACACCTATCCTGGTTCTCACGAGCACCAGTGGGTGTTAGAGTCTACCCCAGTCCAGTGCATTCCAGACCCAGCCCACACCCATGCTGAAGGACCCTACAGCCATATTCAGACCAGACTGCAGCCCCCACCCAACCTGGCCCTCACGCTCACTAACAGGAATTACACCCCAGCCAGGGCATCCCCTTAGTTCTGCAACCAGGCCTGTTCCCATTTACAGGTCTTGCACATGCAATGATTGCTCTGACCTGGCTTGGCATAGCCCCTCATCTGGCTTAGCCCTCACCTTCGGATGCTATAGCCTGGCCTAACTGGCCTTCTCCCAGTCCCAACTCTTACTGGCAGGTGCTGTAACCTGGCCCTGCTCAGTGTGCTCCCATCCCTGGCTCATGCAAACTGGTAGGTGTGATAACCTAGCCTGGCATGATCTGCACTCCAGCCTGGTTTCTACATTTGCCAGTAGGTTAAGGTGTGCTCAGCCTGCCCAGTCTACACCCTTCCAAAACCAACCCACATACTTGCCAACATATGGGGCTACCCTGCCCAGCTTGCCCGAATCCTAAGTCTGGACCATGTGCTCACCCATGGGAGCTATGATCCTGTAGGGGAATTTCCCAGGTTCCCCTACTCGGCTCACTCCCAGACCCAGGTTTTACATGCACCAGTAGGTGCTAGGCCCTTGCCTGGCATACCTGCCCTTCCGTCTCAGTCTTTGTATGAGCTGGAGGATGTTGTAGGTCCCATCAGCCCTATTTGTATTTAGTCCTGCCACCAGCCTTATATGTCCAGGTGCCTGGGAAAAGCAACTCCCATTGGCACCTCCCATGACAGTCCTACTGACTGTATACCTTGGAACACCCCCTTAAAACCACAGTCTAAGGGTAGCTTTGCCTACCCAGGAACTTGGGAGAGCATGGCAGCCTATGCATCTAAAAAAGTTCAACTAATTGGAGCCAGTTGTGGAAACAAAAGTAGTCCATGATCCAGCTTCAGTCCTGCTCTATCACAGACTTGGGGAGTTTTTGTCTTAAAGGGAACTTGGAAGATCCTATCTATGTAAGGCCCAACAATCATAGGACTAGCTAGCAACACTGAAGCAGCTCCAGGCCCTACGGCATGACCTGCAGGTAATTCTGCTCACCCAGTGCAAGTTTCGCCCATCCACATCTCAATTAACAGGCCATTGTCTGGGGACCTGAATGTGGGTCCAGAGACTAATGAAAGGGTACACTGATCACAAACACCCAGGAAAACATGACCCCATCAAACGAAGCTCTAGTAGTCAACCCAAAAGACATAAAGATTCATAAATTTCTTGACAAATAATTAAAAACAATTATTTAAAGTTGCTTAATAAGCTATAAGACAACAGGTAGAAAATTTTAAATTTAAGAAAACAATATATAAATGATAAGTCAGAAGAGAAATAAAAAAAAAGTGCCAAATTAAATACTGCGCCAAATATAATATCTGAAATGAAAAACTCACCAGACCTTCAATAACAGAGTCAGCCATGCAGGAAACAGAAGCAGCGAAAGGGTGGATGTTTGGCATGGCAGCTAAGGTGCCACTTTGTATGCCCACATCCCAAGTTGCAGTGCTTAGGCTTGAGTTCCATCCCTGCTTTCACCCAGCTTCCTATTAATGCACACACTGGGAGGCAACAAGTGTTGGCTCAAGTAACACGGGAGACACAGATTGAGTTCCAGGCTACTATCATTAGCCTGGCCCAGCTGGCTACTGTGGCCATTTGGGGAACGAATCAATAAATGAGAGTTACGTATTTATCTATCAACTGTAAAGCATTATCTATATATATTTTTTTCGTTTTTTTAAAATTTACTTTTTTTTTAAATTGCAAAGTCAGATATACAGAGAGGAGAAGAGACAGAGAAGATCTGTTGATTCACTCCCCAAGTGGCCACAATGGCTGGAGCTGCACCGATCCCAAGCCAGGAGCCTGGAACCTCTTCCAGGTCTCCCACACGGGTACAGGGTCCCAAGGCTTTGAGCCATCTTCAACAGCTTTCCCAGGCCACAGGCATGGGAAGCAGGGCCATTGGTATTAAAATTGGTGCCCATATGGGATCCAGGGAGTGTTCAAGGCGAGGACTTCAGCCACTGAGGTACTACGCTGGGCCCCTATACTTTTCTTTTTTAAGATTCATTTATTTATATTCGAATGGCATAGTTACAGAGAAAGAATGAGAGACAGAGAGAGAAAGAGAGATGTTCATCTACTGGTCAGCTCTGCAGCCAGAAGCTTCTTCTGGGTCTCCCACAATGGTGCAGGGACCAAGGACTTAAGTAATCTGCTAGTAGGTGGGTCCCAGCCCTCTCCTGGGCGGAGCTTAGGACAATGTTTCCTGACCCACACCTAGGGATTAATTAAGGCCCAACAGCACTGTGCTGGTAAAGTTCCAGAAGGAATTTCACAATTAATGCCCAGAAATCTGTGCACCCAGCAATATCCCACAGAAGGGAAAGTGAGGAGAAACAGATCCACACTCATATCCATAAAATCTCTAATCCAGATATAGACAGGCTCTCAGTTCTTAGTGCCACTGTCTCATGTCTGGAGCTGTCTCTGCTCTTATACATAGAGAACACTGAAGAAGCTACCAAAAATCCAAAGAGAAGATAAAAACAACTCAAAAACAGCTCAAAAAAGTTGAAGGATCCAACATCAACGTGGAATAAACAGATACATGTCTTTATATACACTAGCAATGACCAATTTGAAAATAAGTCAGGGAATAGTTCATTTTATAACAGCACTGAAAGGAATGAGTGAGGAATAAATTTAGCAAAAGATACATAGGACATGTACTCTGAAAGACCGCAAGACATGGCAGAAACAAAATAAGAAGTCTTAAATAAATGGAAAGGAACTCCATGTTAATGGACTGGAATATTTAATATCAAGAAGATGGCCCTCATCTTCAAGGAAATATACAAATCTAATGCAGTGCCTGAATTTTTTGTAAAACTGGACAAGCTGGTGCTAAAATTGCTAAAATGGAAACTAAAGGGGCCCAGACACTCAAACAACTGCAATAGAGAACAAAGTTGAAGGGCTCAGACTGTAAAAGCTTACTACAAAGTTAAAGCACTGCCATCAGGATAAATATATGGGCCAAAGTGATAGGACTCAAAAGTCACTTACTGAGATACAGTTAATTTTCAACAACAGTGCCAAGAATGTTCGATGTGGAAAAGTCTAAACTCATCAATAAAATGGTGTTAGAACTTGGACCGCTAAATTGTGACATGTTAAACTATTTGTGAAATTCAAAATGGCACACAGATTTAAACCTAAAGAGTGAAAACTATGAAACTGTTAGAAGAAAACAAATTTAAGTTTTCACGCCCTTGCATTAGGTGACTGGTTTGTAAATATAACACCAAAAGCACAACTACAGAACTTGTTCTTTTCACAGAATGCACTTAACCCAAATTAAAATCATTGCTGCAGCAAAGGACATTATCTCCAAAGTTAAAGGACCACCCACAGAATGTTAGAAGCACTTTCTAGGGCAAATAACAGAAAAAGGTGTCTTTTACAAAATATAGAGATGCCTTAGATTTCCACAGCAAAAGGGTAGTGAAGACAAGAAACAGCAGGAAAGGTGCACAGTACAATCAAGCATTGGGGAAAGACGAGTTGAAATCATTCAGATCTAGCATTTCATACACACTGGGATGATGACTAGAAGCCAAAGAAAGGAAACAAAAAGAAAATAGGCTTTGTCTAAGACACAGAAAAATGATGATCCTCAAATATTGCTGCTGGGAATGCAAAAGGCTAAGGCTGGGTGGAAATAATTCAGCACATGATGTTTCCATATGCAATGTTACTTGAGATGTGAAAAGGAATACAGGATTGCTTTAAAGTGGATGAATCATAATGAAAACATCAAAGTCAAGGGGTTAGCAGCACGGTACTAGTGGCCTCCCATTCACTGTAAAACTACAGGACAAGATACTGGCACTTGGAGACTGTGGCTAGCAGTAGAGGTGATCACAGGCAGCAGAGGGGACAGCAGGAGCAGACAAGGAGAAAGGGGTGATGGAGAGTGAGTTCTCATGGCTACCGGGGCTTCTGTGGAGTGTGTTGGAACTAGACGGTAGCACCACACTGCGGTTCTCCTTCACGCCACCGAGTTTGCTCCCCTCTTGCCCGGACCCCTTGATGTCTCGAGAAGCCTTCGGCCCCGTGGAACGTGAGAGTTCTCAGGCAGAGATGAGTTGGCTCTTCCCTCGCTGCCACCGCGTGGCCATCCCGTGACCCAACGGCGCACGGCCTCCCAGGGGCCGGCCATCGCCCAGGCCGCGCACAGGAACGCCACCGGAAGTGCACGTGGCCAGGCCACCGGAAGTGCACGTGGCCAGGCCACCGGAAGTGCGCCCTGGTTGCTAGGCTACCGAGAGCCACTGCCTGAGCGGCACGGGCTGGTGGCTTCGAAGGAGGCCCAGTGAAGCGGAAAAGCCAGCGGCCAAGTCGTCACTGCCATCATCTCGCAGAGCATGCCAGGAGGTGGGAGCCGTCGACGGTCGTCATCCTCCCGCCGCCGCTGTCGCCGCCCCCGTCGCCGCCGTCGCCAGCGGGCCCGCTCCCGCTCCCACTCCGCCCGAGCCGAGCTGACCTTCTCCGTGAGCCAGGTGGAGCAGCTTCTGCGGGAGGGCCACTACGCCCAGCGCCTGGGCTGGTCTGCACCGCTCTTCCTGGCCGCCACCCTCGAGTTCCTGACGGCCAAGGTGCTGGAGCTGGCGGGCATCGAGGCCCACAACAACGGCAGCCAGCGCATCACTCCTCGGCTGTTGGACATGGCCATCCACAACAACCCCGTGCTCAGCGGGCTCTTCGGTACCACAACCATCTCCCAAGTGGCCCTGGCCCGGGGCTCCCGGTAGCTGCCGCACCCTGATCGCCCAGGGGCCTGGCCCCCCGTCCACCTGCCTCTCCTGCCTCGCCCCGCGAGGGTCCCCTCTCTCACAGCCAGCCAGGCCATCCCTGGCCTCCAGAGCGCCCCAATATTAAATGGTTGAAGCAGCCCTGGGCCTGCCTCAGTGACGCTGTGTTGTGGCCGTCCAACCGGGCCAGGGAGGGGGCGGGCGGGTGCCAGGGAAATCAGCATGGGGGCGTGGGGCAGGGCAGGGCAGGGAGGGCCTGGAGGCATGCTGGCCAGGGCAGCGAGGGCTGCCCCTCTCCCTGGGACGGTGTATAAGGGTGGGAGGGGCGTAAGGAGTTGGGACGGCCCTGGGTCTGAGCGAGTGTGTGGCCAGCCTGGAGTGCTGGGTAGCGGGCGGCGTCTCGGGGTGGGAGGTGCTGTGCACAGGGTCCAGATACGGAAGACGTCTGCCCGGGGCAAGGCGCAGCCTGCTTGGGGCAGTGCCCAGGGCAGGGGCCTCCCCGGGCAGGCAGCTCAGGACCTGGACCGAGGTGCCGGCCGGAGGCAGCGGGAGGCGACGAAGGACTGCGTGGGCGGGCAGAGGTGGACGTAGCCGACGGTGGGCCCGGGCTCCAAGCCGAGAGGGAACCAGCGAGCGGACTGTGGGCGGGGGCAGGGACAGGCCACCCCCGCGCCCTCGCGGAACGGACAGCAGTCCGGTCCGGATGGCGTCCGGGGGCGCACGCGCCGGGGCGCCGTGAGGGCGCCGAGTGAGCCGGCCGGGCGCCCCGGGTTGGCGCAGGGAGAGCGGGCGCGCGGGCGCTCGGCTAGGTGCCGCCCCATCCCTGGACGCGGCGGGGCCGGTAGGCCCGCCCTCGCCAGGCCCGCCTCCGCTCCCGCCCTCGGCCTCGGCTTGTCCACCGCAGGGGCAGGCCGGCGCGGGGCGTGGGCCCAGGAGGCTGGGCCCCGGGCGGTGCAGAGCCGCGGCGCCGGCGCCGGCGAATCGGGCCGCTGCGTCAGCACGCTGGGAAGGGCCGAGGGCGGCCAAGATGGCGGCGGCCGCGGCGGGCCTGGGCGGTGGTGCCGGCGCGGGGCCCGAGGCCTCGGACTTCCTGGCCCGTTACCGGCTGGTGTCCAACAAGCTGAAGAAGCGGTTCCTGCGCAAGCCCAACGTGGCGGAAGCCGGCGAGCAGTTCGGGCAGCTGGGCCGCGAGCTCCGCGCCCAGGAGTGCCTCCCGTACGCGGCCTGGTGCCAGCTGGCGGTGGCGCGCTGCCAGCAGGCGCTGTTCCACGGGCCCGGGGAGGCGCTGGCCCTCACCGAGGCCGCCCGCCTCTTCCTGCGGCAGGAGTGCGACGCGCGCCAGCGCCTCGGCTGCCCCGCCGCCTACGGGGAGCCGCTGCAGGCCGCCGCCAGCGCCCTCGGCGCCGCCGTCCGCCTGCACCTGGAGCTGGGCCAGCCGGCCGCTGCCGCCGCCCTTTGCCTCGAGCTGGCGGCCGCCCTGCGCGACCTGGGCCAGCCGGCCGCCGCCGCCGGACACTTCCAGCGCGCCGCCCAGCTCCAGCTGCCCCAGCTGCCCCTGGCCGCGCTGCAGGCGCTCGGCGATGCCGCCTCCTGCCAGCTGCTGGCGCGGGACTACAACGGCGCCCTAGCGGTCTTCACGCGCATGCAGTGCCTGGCGCGGGAGCATGGCACCCACCCGGCGCAGCCGCCGCCGCTGCCGCCGCCGCCGCCGCCTCCCCCGGGGCTCCAGCAGCCCGCCCTGCCCGCCGCGCTGTTCGCCTCCAACGCGGGCCCCACGGTGCCCCCTCCCGCCGCACTGGGCGCCTTCTCCGACGTGCTGGTCCGCTGTGAGGTGTCTCGCGTGCTGCTGCTGCTGCTCCTGCAGCCACCACCCGCCAAGCTGCTGCCTGAGCACGCTCAGACCCTGGAGAAGTACTCCTGGGAGGCCTTTGACAGCCACGGGCAGGAGAGCGGCGGGCCGCTTCCCGAGGAGCTCTTCCTGCTGCTCCAGTCCCTGGTCATGGCCACCCACGAAAAGGACACGGAGGCTGTCAAGTCGCTGCAGGTGGAGATGTGGCCGCTGCTGACCGCCGAGCAGAACCACCTCCTTCACCTCCTTCTGCAAGAGACCATCTCCCCCTCGGGACAGGGCATCTGATGCTCCCCGCCCCCCACCGAGTGACTTCAGGCCAGCCCCACGCATCCATCCGCATCCATCCGCATCCATCCTCTCTGGCGCGCGGCGCTGGGGCGGGGAGGGGGCGTGAAGACACCCTGAGTGGCCCCTTCTGCCGCTGGGAGAATCCGCTTGGCCTCATCCCGAAGCCTGTTTCCGCAGGCAGCGCGAAGGGCAAAGGCAGGCATCTGACAGAATCCCACGTGGGTGCCTTCTGCCTTCTCCGAGCGGGAGTGCCCCTTTTACCACCTCCCCTCGCTGCCCTCGGCCGCACACAGACTCGTGCTCTGTCTTCATTCCATAAGCAGGATCCCGCTCTGCACAGCTCTGCCCGAATGTGTAAGCCTCAAGCTCCATAGTGTCCTCGTGGCCCTTCATTTCTTAGCGCCCTTCGAGGTCTCTGAGACCGCCAGATTGCCTTCGTCCCGGCTGCTTCGGAGCTCTGGCGCCGGAGGCCTGCTTGTCCCTTGCCGCCCAGCTGTTGCGCGCCCAAGCTGTTCATTGAGGACTCCCGCCTCACGGCGCAGACTTGCCTCCTCCAGAAGACGTGACTACCTCCCTTGCCTATTTGTCCAGAAGCACAGCTAGGTAGTTAGCTGTCTGTCAGCTCGGGGATGCCGGCCTTCTTTGGAAACGTGCGGTGTGGCAGTGTAGGGCACGTGGGCCACGAGTCTAGGGCGATCTTTCACAAAGCAGGCGCGTCTGTGGCAGAAGTTCCAGTGACACTGCTAGTCTGGTCCGGCTTCACACTTCCGCACAGTTGCGGGTCTCTCCGGAGCGGGCATAGGCTATCTGCCCTAGAGCTTGCGATTTGCCCAACTGTGCAGAATCGTGGCGTGGCCTCTGATGCACTGAGCTCCCGTGAGGATAGGCAAGGCAGGCGTCCCTGTTCCCCAGCAACGAGGTGGTGGCCCACATCCCCAGGGCTTGTAGCTCCACTTGTTACGTCAGCTTGGTTCTTGTCTCATTTTGAGAATGAGCATCGGTACTCTGCAGAACAGAACCCTGCTCTCAAACGTGGGGCTCTGGCAAAATGCATCCTCTAGGCTGAAAGTTGACACAGGTCTGACCTGGGGTCAGGGTAGGGGTGTGGTCTGGCGATGGAGTTTAAGTGTCTTGTCAGGGCAGGCTGTTTGCGGGGTGGGGCAGAGAGGAAGATGGGTGGGGAGCTGCTAGGGCTTTCTTCCCTGCTTCTACCTCCCTCTCAACAACGTGGAGGGTATGAGAAATCCAACAGGGACACCCTGCCGCCTCCGCCCCCGTCTTGTGACGCAGGTGCAGCCACTAGTCACAGTGACCCACCGGGCTCCTAGGAAGGGTACGCTGGAGCCCTTCAGACTCTGGTCCAACTTACTGCAAAGGTGTCCCAAAGCTGCGTGGGCCTTTTCCAGCCGGTTACTCTAGCCCACCTCTACACCCACTATACTGCTCTCCACCTGGGTTGTGGGCTCGGGAAGCTCCCTCTTCCCCTGAAGACCAAAACGCTTAGGAGTCGTGGGGCATGGCTGATGATGTGCTTTAGATTTGGGCCTCAGAAACTTGAGAGCATGGCTAGCTGGAGCAAGGTCGGGTGTCAGGGATTTGGATGCAGTTCTCCCGTGATGCCCCGGGAGAGGGTATTGGGCCTCATGCTTAACATGCATGTCAGGATGCCTGTTCCATCCCTAATTCTGGCTCCTGATCCTAACTTCCTGCACATGGGAACCCTGGGAGTTGGTGGTGGTGATGGCTCAAGTAGTTGGGTTCTTGCCATGCATGTGGGAGACTCTGACTTCTCTGCTCCTGATTATTCTGACTCTTAACCCAAAAGCTGGAGAAGAGAGATCCTTGCTGTCTAAATTTTCATCAGTAACTTGAAATTGGGCCTGGGGTGATGACTCAGTTGTCTAATCCTCCACCTCAAAGTGACAGTATATCCTATACGCCTGCGTATATTTCCTGGCTGCTCCACTTCCCATCCAACTCCCTGCCTGTAGCCTGGGAAAGCAGTTGAGGATGGCCCAAGGCCTTGGGCTCCTGCACCCGTGTGGGAGACCCAGTGGAAGTTCCTGGCTTCTGGTTTCGGATCAGGTCAGCTTCAACCATTACAGCCATTTTGGGAACGAATCAGTGGATGGAAGATCTTTGTCTCTCCCTCTCTCTGTAAATCTCCCTTTCCAATAAATATGAATAAATCTTTTTTTTTTTAAAGTTAAAATTGTCGTGAAAATTTGTGATTGACAATGGTAGCAACAAAGCAGTGGTCCTTAAAGGGACTTGTGGTTCCCATCCCTGCTGTGATATACTCCTTTCATGAGAATATGTGGCTTATGAAAGAACTAGGCAAGCTATGGGTCCTAAAGGTTTGGATACTTGACGGTTAATGTCAGCTGTCTAGGCATACACTCCGCTGGTCGGATGGACCCACAGGTTTCACAGTTCACGCCCCTCTGGGCTGCCCCCTCCAAACGGGCTGGGGAACATGTTGATCTTTGTAGGCTGCAAATAGTTTGTAAGATACTTTTTGTATGCATGTATGTTTTTACAAGCCTTTAACCATATAAAAACCATTCTCAGACTCCATACAAAAGCTGCTTTCACATCAGATCCTTGTGCTATAATTTACCATCCCTGTATTCAAAACTAGAACATGGAAATTACTAAATATCTGCTAACAGAATAAACCTCAAGAGACTTAGTAATCACTTTATCCTTCCTAGTGTTAATAGAATATTGAGAATAAGTGACTTAGATGTTCAGATCTAGACTCTAAGAAACAAAAAAACAATTTAAAAGTTTTTAAAGTTTTGAACAGAGATAACCAAGAATTGATTCTTTGAGCAACCAATAGACAATATTTGTCTACTCTGATAAGCAGAAAATGAAAAGATATATGTACATTCTAAATTTAGGGCATGAGAATAGTGATATGAATACCATAGAGCTTTGCAGCGATTAGTCAAGGCCACAGAATGAGCAGCCAGCACAGAAAGCGCAAGGCCTGAGCAGTTTCCTTTCATTGAGTGAGTGATGACCATATTAGTTAAAGTATTTTAAAGAAAGGGTTTTATGGGGGAAAAGTAGAAATTTTCCTAATTTACTTTCTTTTTTAAAATTTTTTTTTTTAAGATTTATTTTATTTTTATTGGAAAGGCCGATATACAGAGAGGAAAGACAGGAAGATCTTCCATCCGATGATTCACTCCCTAAGTGAGAGCAACGGCCGGTGCTACGCCGATCCGAAGCCAGTAGCGTCTCCCAGGTCTCCCACACGGGTGCAGGGTCCCAAAGCCTTGGGCCGTCCTCCACTGCTTTCCCAGGCCACAGGCGGGGAGCTGGATGGGAAGTGGGGCTGCCGGGATTAGAACCGGCGCCCATATGGAATCCCGGAGCATTCAAGGTGAGGACCTTAACCACTGCGCCATCGTGCCGGGCCCCTAATTTACTTTCAAATTTAATATACCCTTCATGTCAAAACCTTACATAGGCTTCCCAAAATTTTGATGGTTATGCAAAAACTCTACACAAATTTTTGGAAAATTGGATCTGGCTAAATTTTAACTGTTATCCTATGCTGAGGGAAATTTTCTCAGAATTGTAGCTGGAGCCAGTTGTGCCCATTTCTTCCCAACTGTGAATTCAATGGCATCATGGCTGTAGATTGAATTCATTCTTGGTAGGAACATTTATATCATGGAAATCAGCAAATGTTACATATCAAGGCATCTAACATCTTTTCAGCTTTCCTGTGAGTTTGCTGTTGATCACTTGCCAGCAAAATCATTGAGGGAATGATATTGGTAAAGATATTGAGAAAATTCAGAAATGCAAGGAATCTTTTTAAACATGAGGGGAAATGTATACAATTAATAGTTATTAGCAGTGACTCATAGGATACATTTTCATTATTGTCAAAATTAAGAGACTGGGGCCTGGCGCGGTAGCATAGTGGTTAAGGTCCTCGCCTTGCACACCCGGGAACCTATATGGGTGCCAGTTCTAATCCTGGCAGCTCCACTTCCCATCCAGCTCCCTGCCTGTGGCTTGGGAAAGCAGTCGAGGACAGCCCAGGGCCTTGGGACCCTGCACCTGTGTGGGAGACCCAGAAGAAGTTCCTGGCTTCGGATTGGCTTCGGATTGGCTCAGCACCGGCCATTGCGGTCACTTGGGGAGTGAACCATTGGACAGAAGATCTTCCTCTGCCTCTCATCTCTGTGTATCTGACTTTGGGGGTTTGCATGTAGTCTACCTGCATGCCTGTATGTATGTATTATAATCACAAAAGTATATTTTGTCCCTACCTTGTAAATGCCAATATATTTTTATTTTTTAGTGAATGAAAATTAAGAGAACATTTTTTGTCAGATCAGGCTTCGTATTATCTATGTGGAATTGTGTTAATTTTCTGCAAAAGAGGTATGTCTGAAAGTGGAATTGCTTTTTGACATCACTGCATGATTAGATTTGTAATTATCGGATCCATTTTCCTTGACTCATGTATGTTTTGCCATGACGAGATCTAAGGCTTTGAAGCAACTCACTGGCTTTGAGGCAGCTAATCCAGTTGTAACTGAAAGGCTTTTCTGCAGAAAAGGGGTGGCTGCTTCAGGGTGGAAAGATTTAATTCCTCAGGCAGAGGAGGGAATTCGGAAGCTTGCAGGTCTCAGCCTTCGCCATGCAGCTGAAGTTCCCCATCCCAGATCTAAGATTTCCACTCCTCCCGACCTGTGCCCTAGTGCGTTGGTGCATTTCACTGGCACTGCAACTCTCTCATGCTTGGTCTTCTTGTCATTTCTGCCACATAGGTAAACCCTGTCACACTACATGATTGTACAGGATATTTGCATGTATATGCATATTACATATATATATATTACAGTATATACATATTACAGTACAGAGTATGCAGGGTCCATCTTGATTGTACATTTAATTGTACAGCTGTTCCTTTTGTATATGAATGTGCTTCAAAATGTTTATGGAAATCGTTTTAATTGAATTAAAAGTTTTATGTTGGTGCAAGTATTTCTGAAACGTACACATACACATAGTTTTTTTGCATAATACATATTTTCCATGAGTTTTTGAAGACCCTGCATATACTGATAATGTGCAATTCCTTTTTCTGTATATATACCTTTTAGAGATGTAAAAAGAAGACAGTTCGCTCTAATCAAGCGATCCCACAGTTGATGCCACAGCAACAAAGTGCGTTACAATGTCTACAACTCATGCCTAGCATCATTAGTGATCACCACTGATCACTCAATATCCAATCTTTTTCTGTTTCTTGAAAATATTAATATAGTCTTAGAATTGCTTTTTGAGAATGTTTCCCAAGGCTGCTTCTGATACCAATTACCGTATAAAGCAGGATTCTAACAAGGAACAAGGCATACTCAGATTAGTATAATTTGGGACAAGTGTAATAAAAGTACTGGTTAGAAAGGTGAGGCAGACGTTTGCCAACCTTCAACCCACAGGGACAAGGAAAGGGAATGGAAAGCTAACGGAGATTCTTGCAGTGGCCTGAATACATGACCACAGAGTCTTTTTGATATTTATTTCATTAGGAATTAAGATCTGTGTCTTTTGCCCTTAAGTCTGGGTTAGATGTGTCATTTGTTGATGCTGCAAAACTTAGCAGACTTGGTCAGAGATTTATCTTATTAGCTGTAGCACTCACATCTGGATCCCCTAAGATGACACTGAGGACCCAGATATTATGCAGCAGAGAGCAGCTACCTACTGTACCCTATTCAAAGTCCTGGACCCACAGAATCTGAACAGAACACGATAATGCTTTTTATGACACACAATTTTGGAATGGTTTGGAAATCAGCAATAGTAACTGGCATAGGTAGAGAAACGCAGTCTGATTGGAGCAGTGACTGTGAATAGAGACAGCTAACTTCTTTATAAGGAGGAAGTAAAGAATAGCTAGCAGAGTCTCACTTTTCCCTCTCCCCCTGATCTGCTAGTGCTCCCTATTGGTGAAATCTAACTAAATCTAGAGAATTAAGTATTCAGGCCTAATTCATGGAATAAAAATCAAGGTCAAGAAGCAGAAAAATAGATCTACAAGGGCAGAGGAAATTATTTTGTGCAGGATTATGTGAAGGTCTACTCTGGAGATAACAGAAGAAAATGCAAAGGTTTTTGTTAGACTGAAAATATAATTATTCTGAAAATTACATACAACTTTTATTGGAGAAGAAAGTAAAAATGGGAGAAGACCAATTAGGGATGTAATATATATTAATGATGTGTTCCTGGGCTGTGGAAACAGAAGGAAGAGATATGAGAGGCACTACAAAGGAAGCATTGACATGATTTGTGGATAAACTCATCAGGAGGCATAAAAGTAAAGGAACAGTAGACAATGCTGCTAAAGTTTAAGCCTGTTTAATTAATGCTCTTGAGCTCACCTCTATAGAATTCAATTATCAGGTCTTCGCCCTTCTTTTTTTGTGGAAAACACAAATCTTTATTTCCATTCATGGTTTTGCCCTCTAAATTCCAGTCTGATCTGCTGCCTGCTTCTTGTTCCCACCTGATTGGCATATTGTCGCATCACACCTAGGACATGCACAGAAAGCCTACGATCTTTTCGACCAAGTCCTGAATCATTTATTTTTGTTCATTGAGAATCTCTTCATTTTTATCATGCATGAGAGCCTTGATGCAAGTGCTGTTTGTTCATAGATCCAGAATATGTTCTATTGCTTACAGGTGCAAAAATCTTTTTAGGGTTAAGCTTGGAAAAACCAGGAGTATTTTTCCAATATCTGAAACCTTTCTTAATTGTTACTAATATAAAAGAAAATGTTGGAGATGGTCCCTGTATCTCTGCATGCTACCTGGTGGGCATGGCTCACAGCTTACCTGCCAAAGACCTGAGACACAGCTTCCAGCTGTGTGTGAGGAACGTGACCTCTGACATGACGGGAGTGCTTAAAGGGATATACGTGTCTTCTACTCAGTTACAGTGTCATTGTTGGGTGGAGGACTGTCGGGGACCACCCTTCTGCCTTCTCCCTTCCTAGTCTATATAACTTTGTGCTCTCTTTACAATAAATGGACATGCCCCCACCAGACTGTTGCCGGTAATTCTTGTGGCTGAAGAACACTGTCGCCTCACCCACTTGGTGGTCTCGGGGCCTGCTAGCAGGAAAAACCCTCAAGAAGAAAAGATCTCATGTATTCCACATATTCAATTATAAGAAGATAGCATACTTTCCTCACTTTCTCTCCCTCAATTTCCCTTTCGTTCCCCCCCTTTGTTTTTGCAATAACATCATTTTAATTTACTTTATAATGACAGGCTTAATTCACCACTGACCATAATGAAATCTTTCAATCACTTTTTAAAAGACTGATGCATTTGTTTGAAAGGACTACATACCATTAATGTCCCAGTAGAATTCCCTCGATAAGTCTGCCACTTCTTCCCATCAAGACTATACATGATGATAAATTGAGAGATGTAAAGACTGGACAACTTCTGACGAGCACCCTGGGTCTTGATGCCATGAATAATCATTGGTGTCAATAGATCCACCTACAAATTAAAACAATATTTTTATCCTGGTTTTAAATCCATGTTACCTCCTAAAATTAATTTTTGACTTAGAAGAATCTACATTGCTACAGATATCTCATAATACCTTGAACTGATCCAAACATAGATAGTGAAAGGTGGATTTGTGTTAACTTCTGAGATAAATGGTGGAAATGAGTACAAAAAATATATACCAAGTTCTCTGCTTTCCAGTAAACCAAGCCACAAATAGAGTCATTTCTTCTGCATTCACATTGTGCTACATTTAATGAAACCCACACAACCTAAGCTTTTGCCTATACCTCATTTTTGATCCAGTCAAAGCCAATTTCTTCCTGTCTGCCTAGACTACTAGGTCTATCCCAACATGAGTTCTCTCTGATAAAGTGCTACATCATCTTCAAGTGTTAGTTGAGGAACTATTTCAATTGGTTATCCTTCCCCGACTAATCCAGACAAATTTAGTGCTACTTCTATGCTTTCACTTCATTTTGGATATAACCTTCTCAAAGCAGAATATTGCACCATATATTAAAGGTTGTTTTGCTTGTCTTCCATCATTATAAGACTCACTTATTAAGGCAGTGGACCGGTTTGGGTCTTCTAACCTTTCTGTCTCCATGTGCTTGCTCATAGAGATAATATCAGTGTTTATCTCAAAGGGCAACGGGCTGAGGCAGGATCTGGCATATCCTAAACACTCATTATAGGCTATCTTATAGGTTCTCTCCAGCTCCAGTACATGATATAGTATCTTGAAGTAATACTGGTGCATTGAAAATGCTTTGCAATGAATGGATGAATGAATGCTGCAGAATGGTTAGAATGAGTTGAGCAAGAGACATGTAAGTTTCACAAAGGTGTCATACTCTAATATGCAAGTCAAAGTTAACACACTCTCATAGATACCTAATGAACCCATATTGAATGGGTTAATGAGGGTTTCCTTAAAAAACTCATTGACGGGCCCGGCACGGTGGCACAGTGGTTAAGTCCTCACCTTGCACGCCCGGGATCCCATATGGGCGCCGGTTCTATCCCGGCAGCCCCTCTTCCCTTCCAGCTCCCTGCCTGTGGCCTGGGAAAGCAGTGGAGGCGCAAAAGCTTTGGGACCCTGCACCCACGTGGGAAACCCGGAGGAGGCTCCTGGCTTTGGATCGGCGCAGCACCGGCCGTTGCGCTCACTTGGGGAGTGAATCATTGGATGGAAGATCTTCCTCTCTGTCTCTCCTCTCTGTATATCCGCCTTTCCAATAAAAAAATATATAATAAAAATAAATCTTTAAAAAAAAAACCTCATTGACTCCAAGAATATTTTTCTACTTACTATGTGTTGATATTGCTACATAGTTGAGTGTTAAGCCTGTGATTGTGAGTTGAAATGAAAATATGTAAACATTAGGGGGGTGGATAAACAAGGGAGGAGGGGACACAGACAGGAGAGAAGGTAGAATGGGTCTCTCTATGCTCCTAAATCTGTATTGTGAAATATGTGAAAAGTGTTTACACAAATACAGTTTTGAATGAAATAAGAAAGGAAAAGTATTGTAGGATCGAAGCTAAGAGTAGAATGGTAATTACCAAACACTGGAAAGGGAAAGGGAGGTGGAGGGTGGCGAGAAGTTGATTAAAAGATACCAAATTATAGGAGTAAGAAGTTATTGGGTTGTTTGGAAAGAAGAGTAATTATAGTAATGGCAATATACCGTATATTTCTCTATTGAAAAACCTAGGCATAGTTTTTTAATGTTTTGCCACAACGAAATGTTGTATGTTTAAGGAGACAGGCATATTACATCATGATTAGATATTACACAGTGAATAAATGTATCAAAACATCACATGGTACTCTGTAAATATGTACAATTTTTGCATCTGTTACAAAATTGAAACTGTGGGCCAAATTTAATCTATCGCAATTTGACAGAGTATAGCATTCAGGGTCTTGGTTATGCATGAACAAGACCCGATGTGCTAGTCTGATCAGATTGTATCCAGTGAGAGATGTAATTCCTCAAACAAAAATGAAACTGTTATTTACTAAAAATTAAATAGAAAGATGGGGCACAGCTAAATATGTAAAAATGTCTGCTGTATAGGGATCTGAAAATTATAACTATAGAAAAAAAATGGATGGGCCCAGTACAGTAGCCTAGTGGCTAAAGGTCTTGCCTTGCACCTACTGGGATCCCATATGGGTGCCGGTTCTAATCCTGGCAGCTCCACTTCGCATTCAGCTCCCTGCTTGTGGCCTGGGAAAGCAGTGGAGGATGGCCCAAAGCCTTGGGAACCTGCACCCGCGTGGGAGACCCGGAAGAAGTTCCTGGATCTTGGCTTTGGATCGGCTCAGCTCTGGCTATTGCAGTCACTTGGGGAGTGAACCATTGGATGGAAGATCTTCCTCTCTGTCTCTCCTCCTCTTTGTATATCTGACTTTCCAATAAAAATAAATAAAGCTTTTTTTTTTAAATGGAAGCTCCTCAATTAAAAAAAAAAGTCATAAAAATGGAGAATATGTATTTTGGCCAAATCACAAATCAAAAAAATAATTGGAGATGAAGGCAGTGAGCTTAAATTGAGTTGTAATTGGCTTTGTGTACCAAACAGTTGCAAGAAGATGAATAGTTTTGGCATTAGGAGGAATGCTGTTTATGTCTGCTTATCGATAACCTGTATTTTTCTCTGCTCCTTATTTACTATTTTATTCTTAGAAAAATACAGAAGGAAGACATGTAAGAGAATGTAGTCTGCCAACTAAGAAGAGCTGCTAGACTGAGAACAGGACGGAGGTAGAGGTGGCACTGCACGTATACATTAGTTTTTCTCTGAACTGCAAGTACCAGAAATAGAAAACATATTAGATAGCTTAGCAGAAAATTAAAAGCAGAAAAACGTTCTCCATTTCTTCTTTGGGCCTCTAGAAGAAACCTCACCTGTTTAGGCAAAGAAGTGCGTGTGGTATTGAAAGGACCTAAAGTTCTTAGAGATCTCAGACCTGATTGATCTCATGTTAAAATAATATTTTTGAACATGTTGGGTTAAATGAAATGTATTATTAAGGTGAAGTCAGCATTTTTTTCTTGTGACCACTAAAAAATGTAAAGTTACAAGTGCGGTTTACATTATGTTTCTGTTGGGCTACTCTACAGAAAATGGAGAAGTGAGAAAATCTGAAAGACAGTGTCTTTTAAAAGCAACAGAATTCACCTAAAGACACTGTCTTAGGTATTTATTCAGCAATGGAAGTCATGATTGTTTTGTACAAATCATAAGGACATTTGTGTTTCAACAGAAGCTCTTCATTTGTTTGACGGGATAGCTGCAATACAAAGGATATAATATATACACGTATATATTATAATAACAGCATACATAGACATTGATATAATCAGTAAATGATTGGTTAAATGTGGTATCTTTTTCGCTATTGATTAAATTTCTAACCTTGATCCAGGAAAAAGGCTCTTTGGTGCTCCAGGCATTGACTGATCCGGAATAATGAAGTCTGGCCAGCTTTGGGGCCCACTGTCCTTTGCCCAAGAAAGAAGAGAGAGATTAAATTCAACTGGATTGATACCAGAAACTTGGGAATAAAGTCACTGTTTTTAAGATTTATCTTTTTATTATTGGAAAGACAGATTTACAGAGAGAAGGAGATATATAGAGAAATATCTTCTATCTGCTGGTTCACTCCCCAAGTAGTCACAACAGCCAGAGCTGCGCCCATCTGAACCCAGGAGCCTTCTCCAGGTCTCCCATGTGCGGGTAGGGTCCCAGGGCTTTGGGCCATCCCCTACTGCTTTCCCAAGCCATAAGCAGGGAGCTGGATGGGAAATGGAGCAGCTGGGATACAAACAGGCGCCTATATGGGATCCTGGTGCATGCAAGGCAAGGACTTTTAGCCACTAGGCTACCATTCCTGACCTGAGAAGAAAGTCAGTTTTTGATAAAAATCAATCCTAGCTGTGGAGAAGATAGAGAAAGGTGTAAAGATTTTATAACATAGCAATACTTATTGTTATCTAAGGTTTTGCTAGTCCTTCTTACCCGTTGTATTTTTCTGAAATTTAATTAAACAATTCTCAAACCTCTTTTTCAGATACTTTAAAGTGGAAAGCTATCATATTTCATATGCCAAGCAAAACCAAGTGGCAGGCTGGATTTGGCATGTGGGCAATACTTTGCACTAAACCAATGTCCAAGAACTCTATATAGATTCTGTCAAGCTTTGTAATTACTGCTCTTGCACGGTGAAGAGAAAGAACTCAAGAGGAACAATGCTGAGTGTAGGGAGAGCATTTAGGGAGGCAATGGTCTTGTCCAGGGAGATTAAGGTAGACAGAGTTAAAATGCTCACACTGGGAAATGAAGAGGAGGAGATGGATTTGAGAGACACCTATGAAGTAGAATTAACATAAGCATGGAAGCAGATTAGTTATCTGAAGCTCTCCAGTAGGAATGAAAGAGATAAAATCATCGAGGTTCTTGAAGCAAAAATAGAAACACTTACCGTATTGTCCTGAAGCCGTAATCTGAAAATCTTGAATATGTCCAGAAGCCATCCCCAGAGGAATCTGACAATCTGAAATCAAACAGGAGGAGCACAGTAGCTAGAAATGCACAGAATTTAGCTTCTTAAATGTAAGCCCAGAAAAATAACAGAACAATCAAGGAACACTATTGTTTTTAGTGTTTACCATGTGCCCCAAACAGTACTAAATATTGTACTATGCTATATCATTTATTGTAACAGTTTAGTGCTAAAACTATTACTATTTTGCAGCTTATGATTAGAATTCGTGCATAAGTAGATTAGTTGACTCTTAGGATTAATACCCCCCACCAAAACTTTCTAAGTAATGTTTGTAAATTATCTGTAGTAACTCTTAAAGCTAAGTTCTACACTCTGCCACTGGAGATCTTGGAGTTTCACCAAGGTAAAAATAGGGAGGTTTTTGTTTTGTTTTGTTTTTAGCACTAATTCACAAAATGTTTAGTGTTTCAAACTGTTCAAAATGCAGTTGTCCTTTCCTGAAGATTCTGACGGTTTCAACAATATTCTTTTTAGATTTTGTGATTTTGTGTTTGTTTATTGGCAAAGCCAAGCAGCCAATCCAGCAAGGAGGGAAGTTGCATGACAGGCAGCGGGGTGGCAGGGAGCTGGGTGGCAGGGAGCCTCTGCTCACGACGACACTCACTCTTGTTGTACACCAGGAAGAGAGTGCTCATTCCGGCTCGCAGGTGCTCCCCAATAAGGCATTCGACGCGCCAGATTCCAGCTTTGGATGGTAGCATTTCCACTGTCTCAAAAGCACCTCATTAAAACCAAAACATAATGCGTTTCACTAAAAATGAGCATGTTATACATTGATCCACACAGAATACCAAGAGAAATATGCAAATTTTAGTTCCATAACTCCTGAATCCTTTAAACCCAAAGTGGTTGCCATGTGATTCCAACAGTTGGAGACACTGTAGATTAAGTTCTGACCTTCCCTTTCTGGAAAATCAGACTGAATAATACAACTGCATTAGGATTGATTCTGCTTCCTGGGTTTTTCAGAGGGACTACTGGATTTCCCATTGATTAAATCTAGGTGCTGAGGGAGACATAAGTCAAAGTTAGGTGTTCTTAGATCCAGTTCATTATGGCCGCTTAAAAGGGGTAAAATCCTCTAGCAGCAGGAGGAGGAAGGACTGAAGAATGGAGATGGAGCCAACCAGGTCAAGTGACTTCATGACAAAGGGTCCCAAAAGGGAATCTGAAGGATCCCTGAAAATTCATTACCTTAAGTACGTGCCAGTGCCAGCAGGGCGAAGCTAGCTTGCAGCGATGGTTTCTAGCAATAGGTAAGAACTGCTTTATTCCCTTACCTTTAACCGATCAAAGCTCAAAACAGCATTTAGCTAGGGGTTCAGAGAAGCACAAGCACTAAGAAAATTCAACTACTATGTCTCCTTTCTCAATGCAGTCTTCTAGGTGGTGCAGGCTCGAGTTGGGGGAATGAAAATTGAAGTTAAATAAAGTTCTGCATTTTGATTAACATTTTGGAAAGGACTTCAATTTCTGACTTGAGCTGTGCTCATTAATTAAGAATCAGTAGAGACTTAAGAGTCACATAGTTTGTCAGAACTTCGGTGAAGAACCATAGAAAGTTTCCCTTCACTATTAAACCTGTTTTAAAGAGACAACAGATGGCAAACAACGCCATATCTTGATTAACACCGTGAGTAGTAGTGTTTAGTCACTATTCTGGTTACATACATACAAACATATTGTTATTTTCATACTGGCGTCATGTGGGATTTGAGATGGAAAATAAGAAAATAAATAAATTTTTCCTAGCAATGTGCAATGACATTAGGTACCCATTTGTGCTGTTCTATTTGCTTTACAGCAATTTTTATGCATCTGAAATTCTTTTGTTCCTTTGCTAATTTCTTTCTTTGTATAACATTAAAGCTACTTGAGCAGAGCAGTTATCTGAGAGCATGGAACTTGTCTTCTTTGTTTATCTGTTGTGTCCTCAGTGCCTAGACCATTGAAAATAAACACAGTAGGCAGAAGAAAGAGCACAAACTGGTACATACCTGGATAAAGGTTGTAAACTGCCATTTTATATTCTTCCTTTTTCCGGACAGTGAACACATGCCCACTAAAATGAATAGAATGGATGTTTTCATTGCTGCCCATGCTGAGTAGATACCACCGGATCCTTTGATCCTGAGCCATCACTAAACCAGGTAGTGTATCCATCACATAGCCATTGATTGCTGGAAAACACAGAGAAGGTTGCTAAAATCCGTTGTAGAAATTTCTTCTCTTCCACTTCACCAAAAATGCTGATATGTATGAGAATTCTGCTCAACTCACAGTTTTCAAGTCTCTGACTCAAGGCCCATTTATCAAAGTGCATGCTACATTTGACAGTGAGTAATTTGTGTGGGGGATATATTACCATGGAAACGAAAATTCTCTTTAAAAATAGGATCTTCTATCTGGTTGTTACAGGGGGTCCTGCAGTTCCTTTCCATGTTTTCAATGAAGTACCAGCTCTTGGTCTCATCAAAGATAGTGAAAAACAGAGCAAATTCCTGCACTGTCACCTGTCTTCCATGAGCAGGATTCAGTGTGTTAGCGCGGCAGATGAGAAGGGGTCCAATCAAACCCGAGTGCATATCTTTTTCCTATGAACCAGAGTGGATTTTTCATCAGCCCTTATTGTACTCCAATCTGCTTCCCATCTTCCCAGAGTACAATTCATTCTTTTTGCTAGATTCTAGAATGACAGTTCTAAAACACAAATATGATATCACCCCCTTTATTCAAAGCTTTTAATCACTCTTAAGATAAATACAAAAATTCTTAGTAGACAATATAAAAAACATTCTTTTAAACTAGAAAGTGGCCAGCACTATGGAGGTCAGCTTACCAGATCAACATCAGAGAAATAAGCCCAGGCCTTGCAGTCAAATTCATCATTAGTGGGTGCCATGTGATGTTGCACTTCCCAAAAGTAAGTTTTGGTTTCATTAGGCTTAACAAAGTTTTTCCTAGGCTCAGCTCCTTGCCTTTTATCTTCCTTATAGGAAATCAGGCTAGAGTAAAAGGAGTAGGGACGAGAGGCCTGATTTTTGAAAGTGACCTGCATAGCAAAACAAAAAATGAGCAAGGAAACCCACAAGGATTATCTTTTAGATATTCTCAAGCCTTTTGCTTAAGGTTTACATTTCTAATAAGAACACTCATTTTTTAAATCTTTATTTGCATTTTTAATACCATGGAGAAAGTAGTACAGTGGATGGCAGCTGTTAGAAGTCAAACATAAAGGTCTATACAGGAATTCTTAAAAAATTTTTCAAAGATAGAGTGACATAGGGAGATGAAGAGGGAGAGGAAAGGGAGATTCCTTCCATTTGTTGGTTCACTCTCCCAAATGCCTGTATCAGCCATAACTAGACTAGGCTGAAGCTAGCAACCAGGAATTTTATCCTGCTCATTTATCTGTGTGGCTCAAGCACTGGCCATCTTTTGCTGTCTTCTCAGGTACATTAGCAGGTAGCTGGCCTGAGTGTCGGTGTTGCCTAAGTAGTTGTGCCACAAGGCTGGCTCAGGAGTTCTGAATTCTAAATTTAAGACATGAACTCAAGGTTGCAAAGGAGAAAGACTGAAGCATTTACAAACAACTCTGAAGTAAAAAGAAAAGATTCATGGGCTACTAATTAAGAATTTAAACCAACCATATTGCAAAAACCATCCCATAGAACACTGAAAGACAATAAACCTGGAAAAACATTTCACTAAAATTATCAATGGTTCATTTTTACTATATAAGGCTATATCACTCATTAGAAGAGTATTCTACTCTAAAAGAGATAAATTTACAAAGAATATTGATAGATAATTCATAAGAGAAAGAGGACATTCATGCATCTTTCATTCTGAGTATTTTATCCTAGGAAAAGGATTGTTATTAAAGCCTTATTAATGTAGTGAAAAAAATGGTTAAGTAAACCATGGTTTTGTGAATTCATATTATTATATAGCCATTTCAAAATAATAGGAAGCATTTTGAATGACACAAGCATTGTGCATGGCATACTATGTTGTGAAAAATAAGATGCAAAATTATAATTGGTATCATTTTTAGAACATGAGAAAATACATAGAAGAAAGGATACACAACAAAATTATAGATTATTTTATAATCAGAAATAAAATGAATATATTACAGTTTTCTTACGATTATATGATCCTTAACTCACCACAATATTGTCTTCAACTTCTGCTCTTATATATGGTCCCAAGATTCCTAAGTGTTCATTTAATTCTCCACGATATAAGGACTGAGTGAAGGAACCATCGGTAAATTCCTGGAAAACTACCTTCTTGAACTGAAGGGCACTGCCCCCCTGAACACTGGAGAAGAAGCAGAGGAAAAGCAGCATCTTGATGGACCAAATGTGTATAAATGCTTTACAACCTTTCCTTCCTTGTATTTGGGATAGATTTAATAGAATTGATGATAAACTGCAAGTATAATGGGGCAGGAAGGAGAAAACAGGAATGTAATTCCTTTAAGGTAACTTCCATGTTCCTAGTTTGAGCCAATGCATTTCACTGAAATGGAGAATCACACAGGAGGAGTAGGTTGGGATTCATTGTTTTGAACATATGAGATATCTTTGTGAGTTAAGATGGGAAACAGAGATCCAGAGTTCATTCACAAGAGATTCAGATGAAGATAATCTATATTTAGATCGTATTCAGGTAATACAAAAGGCTTATCAAAGAAAATGGTCAGTTTTTTAATGTACTTTGTTGACTTGATGTCTAAGAAGAATTTTGCATAGTTAGAGGGCTCCATCCTTATTAGCTACTGTAAGTTCCATAAAAGCAGGGGAATTTGATTTTGCCTGCTTTGTTCACTCTTGCATTCTCAGAAGTTGAGAATATTTGTTGAATGTTGGATGAATACAGAACTTAGAAAATACTTTAAATGTAAGGCAGCCCTAGGGTATAGTCCATGGACTCCTTTATTTACTAATTTTTATTAATATAAAGAGAACAGGTTTCAATTAGTTTATGGATACAACTCTAAAATTACAGTAGCTCACGCCATCCCTCATTCCTTCAAAAAATTTTTTGTGATAACATTATTTCTTAATTCACTTTATAATCACAAGCTTAATGTTCCACTAAAGAGTTCAAAATGTGAAAACTAGAAAGACCACTATTCCACAGGAATCTAGACAAGGTCTACAAACAATAATCAAATCCAAAGATATCAATTTCACTCATATACTTAAGGTGTGGCTTTATTGCTATTTTTGTAGAAAATGTGATGTTTATCTTGTTGGTATTTGGCTTATTTCAGTGTAATGATCTACAGCTGCATCCACTTTAACGCAAATGTCAGGTACCAGAGTCTGTGGGTTCACTGCACAGCATGAGGTAAAGGTGTGAATAGGTGTTGGAGAATAGCTGGGAAAGTGTTGGAGAGTCAAGGAAAAATTGGAAAATGTAACATAGAAAGTCAAGAGCAGGAAGGTCGGTTGACTGTATAATTATTCTCTGGCGTTTCTGTAGCAATAAAGGCACATAATGGTAGAAAGTAAGGTGAGAAAGTGACAAGTAATTAAGGAGGTATACTCTTCTCTAGGACCAGCATTATCTGATTGCTGCTCCTCTCTACCATCTTAGCTCCCACAACTCCCTGCCTGCCTGAATTCCTCCCTGTACTCCCTTCATGCTTGTCCTTGCTTGGTTCCTCAAACATGCTAAACTTGTCCCATTCTCAGGGCCTGTTTTTGCATTTTTTGACCCTGTCTATTTGGAAACATCTTCACTCAGAATTTCATCAGTCGTCCTCTTAGCATCATTTAGGTCTCCACTCCACAAGCAGAATTTATATGATCATCAATTACTTTCCACTGTATTATCCTAGTCCATCTTAAGAATAGTACCAATGATATTCTCTTATCTTTACACTAATCTCTTGCTGTACCCGGTAGAATATAAACTCTTATTTGCTCTACTCCAATGTCTACAGCTATTTCCAACATATAGTATTCCATAAATATCTGTCAACTGAATAACTGTCTTTGTGTTTATCTTGCAAATTTTTCTGTGCTGTCTCTTTCCCTGCCCAACCTGCCTCTGCTCCTGCATCCTCAATTCTTTATTCACACATTTCACTTTTTCCTTGCTGAAGGCTCAGGGAGTACTTCTATAATGCCAACAGATTGGTAGATGAAACTGACTCTTTTCCTGATCTCCACAGCATCTTCATGATCCTGACTCTTCCACCCCCTTGCAAACCCCTTTCCTCTCCATACCACCAGAGTAAGACTCATTCCGTTTGCATTTACCACACTTGCTCATTGTCATCATCACCTAACCTCCCATTTACTCCTCACTGCTATGTGGTTCTCAGTGTCCACTACAATTTTATTGCTGCACATCGGTTATCTTTCCTACCATTTAAGCATCCACTAAGTCAAAAGATAAATAATCATACCTGTTTCTTACAGCATGAGGGGATGTACCCATTCCATAGTCCCAAAGCCGTTCCACTGCAGCGATAAAATAGTGTCGCGTTCTCTTTTCAAAGCTGCGGGGACCCAGCTTTTCATCCTCACCATAAATGTAAAAATCTTCCCTCTTCATTTCAGATGAGATAGTATCATCATAGTCAATTTCTTCTTGCTGGGACTGTAAAATAATAAAGATTATTTCACTTTTTGGTAGAGTTTGAGAGCATAATCTTCCAGAGGTTTTTTTTTTTTTTTTTTTGCTTCGCCCAACTGGCTTCTTTTAGGGGCCTATCTTGTCCCTCATTTATTGTTGCTATTGCATAATTATTATTGTCCTTTGTCTGAAAACCTGTGTCTTTGGCGACTTCTCTGGGGGATTTCCAGCCTTATTTTGTTTTCCGAGTAACATATTGGCTGTCCCAATCAAGAGGGATCAGCAGCTTGGAGTATGTCTTTTCAGATGTTTCCCCATCTCATTCAGAAAGAGCACTTTTCCAGCTCTGTCTTATTCCACTTAACAACTCCCTTTGTTTTCTGAATGATCTGTTCCACATGATATAGGTGACCAGGAGATCCACTGCTAGTTACTTTAGGGAAAAGTTCCTTCTGATGAATAGGAACTTTAAAAAACCAACTCGATATTGCTAACTCGGGTAAGCCTGGCTGCAAGGGCACTGTATTATCAAACTTCTTGTACATGGCTGAGTTTGTGGCACTTGTCCCAGGAAGCCAAATCACCTTTAATAGTAATCCAGAATCACTTCTTTGGATGTTATGACACTTCATTGGACCATCTGATAAGGGAGACTGAATACCAACCCTTTTCTCCTCTTCACAGCAGTCCATTTGGGTGAAATATTTCGTGTTCTCAGACTGTCGGGTTGAGGTGTCCTCCACAATTATTCCATTTTGAAGTTTTGTTTCTTCTAGTGAAAGTCCAAATTGTTTCAATGTCTGTTTACCATGTTCAGCAATAGAATTCTGTAGACTTAGATTAGGAAACATTCTTAGGCTGTTGACATATTGATCTACCATTTGCCTGGTTTGACTTCCCAAGCCTTTTAAGTAGGTTTCCTCTTCTTCCTTTCTTTTTGAAAAACGGGTGATCTGAATTTCTGCTTCATGTGTTGAATCATTTAATGATCTGGTATCATCTAGGCCTAATTTTTGGCTAATGCTCAGTAAGAGAAGGTTTTTAAAAAAATTCTTAGTGTCATTCATTGTGTATTTTTGGTGAACCATTTCAGCATTTTTTGATGAAGTAATTTTATTTAACATATGATTTAGTCTTAAAGCTGTAGCATTTTTATCCACAAATATATCACCATAAATCAAAGATGTCACTTTTTGAAACTCAGTGTCATTTTTTAGTATAATGTTTTGCTGGACTGATGTGCTATTCTCAATCAGTAATTCTGGGCTATCAATGTGAGTCTCTCCATTAGTTGTGGAGTTGTTAGATGATTCAGTTTTTTTAAACAAAGTGGTATGAATCTTGAAGGAAGTGTTATCACTGACCAGTGAAGCAGATTCATGAGCTTTTTTCCCTTTAAATAACTTCTTGTTCTCTATTGATGATGCATTTTTTCCCAGTGAAGTTTCTTGATTATTCATTAAGTCTACCTCTAAAACCATGGAATCATTTCTATTTTTCAAATTCAAAGGCATACTAGGCTTAATAAGGATGGGTGATTTTTTATCAGATACACTGTTGCCCAAATGATTACCAAAAGCAACTGGCATATTTGGGGGTTCTAAGGAACCTGTCTTTTTATTTCCTGCTAAGTCATCTGATGTAATTGTTGGTGGAGTCATTACAGTATGTGACGAGCTAGAAGCTTTTAGATGAAGCTCATTAAATTCTACTAGTGTGGTTGTCTCCAAATTCTCATGTAGTCTTAACTGGAGTCCTGTTCCAGGTGTAAATGCTGGGCCCCCACTGGGATGGAGTTCTGGCCTGAGATAGAACTCTTTATATGGCTTTTCATCATTATCTAACACTCCAAGTGAATGAGCATCAGGAACAGCCTCATATATGGATTCTTGGTCTTCTGCTAAGGATAATCCATGTGGGGTTGAACTTTGTCCCAAGAGCATCAACAGATCACTGGAGGAGACATTTTGCACTTTAGCCATCTGTGTTTTCTGTTCAGATGGATAGTCAATATTATCTACATCTTTTTGTGGATTTGTGGTGGCTGTGAATTGCTTTTGCTTGGTTCCAGGACGCCTTGAATTCTGGGAGAAGCTTCTGGGTTCAATGCCATTGTATTCCTCTATGAAGTGTGTTTCAGTATCTTCGTCCTCGTCATAATCACCAGTGTTGCTGTCACAACTATAAACCCTTAGTAAGGCTGTCATGCCTCTATTCCGAAAGTCGGAGTTGTGGCACCCTATAACCCACAGACCTGAAAAGGAGAGAGAATATGACTGCTTTACTCATAACCCAAGTTGCAATAAGGTTCTGTGTTCAGGGCTCTCTCCCATTCAAACATAAATAAAACAACACTAACAAGTTATGGAGCTAAATCCCTGACACATGTAACAGTTTAACAATGGCAGTTAAGCTGGTTTTTACACTAGTGTTATACTATGTCTGTTTGTGACAACCCCCCCCCAAAAGGGAAAAAGGAAGAACAATAACAACACACACACACACACACACACAACCAAAACACCCCAAAAGAAAAAAACTCCAAAACTATGATTAAAAATCCCTTATTGAGATAAGGATGGAGAAATTCTAATAATAGTGCAAGGTCTTGAGACTCTCCACATATCATTCTCTGATGATGACAGTAACTTAATTCAGGGAGGTTTTTATAAAGACTAGATATTGGGCCCGGTGCCATGGCCTAGCTGCTAAAGTCCTCGCCTTGAACCCACCAGGATCCCATATGGGCGCCGGTTCTAATCCTGGCGGCCTCACTTCCCATCCAGCTCCCTGCTTGTGGCCTGGGAAAGCAGTGGAGGACAGCCCAAAGCCTTGGGCCCCTGCACCCGTGTGGAAGACCTGGAAGAAGTTCCTGGCTCCTGGCTTCGGATGGGCATAGCATAGGCCATTGTGCTCACTTGGGGAGTGAATCATTGGATGGAAGATCTTCCTCTCTGTCTCTCCTCTTCTCTGTATATCTGACTTTCCAATAAATAAGTAAATCTTTAAAAAAAATTAAAAAATAAAGACTAGATATTATTACTGCATGACATACTAGAACAGGTTCTAGAGTCAGATTTCCTGGGTTTAAATTCTCTCTGTAGCATTTTCCAGCTTTTGAGCAAGTAAGACCTATGAGTTGCTAAATTTCTAAATGAGATTAATATTCTATGCCATCACATGATGCATTGCGATCACATAACACTGTATGTAGCATTCACTGTAACAATTTTGCAGGATAAGTAAGTACATAATCTAGAATCTACCTGACACAGTGGATTTACATTGGTGAAAGAAATGCTCATTTCTTTTTTATTTTTTTAAATTTCATTTATTTATTTATTGTTAAGTCAGATATACAGAAAGGAGGAGAGACAGAGAGGAAGATCCTCCATCCATCCTCCATCCCAAGTGACCACAATGGCCGATGATATGCCCATCCGAAGCCAGGAGCCAGGAACTTCTTCCAGGTCTCCCACACGGGTGCAGTGTCCCAAGGCTTTGGGCCGTCCTCCACTGCTTTCCCGGGCCACAAGCAGGGGGCTGGATGGGAAGTGGAGTTGCCGGGATTAGAACCGGCGCCCATATGGGATCCCGGAGCGTTCAAGGCGAGGACATTAGCCGCTAGGCCACGCAGCTGGACCAGAAATGTTCATTTCTGACATGAACAGGATGAGCTCAGTTATGAAGGCAATGAAGAATAATAGACAGCTCCATCATGGTGAAGTATATCAGTGACTTTGTTGAACCCTTTCCAATACAAATATGAAGAGATAGAAAAAAATGGAACCTAAACAAATAATCATATTCACATGCAGCTTTTGAAATATAAGTCAGTTTTGTAAGTGGCAAAGCTGAGGAAATGGATTATGTAAATAAGTCTATAACTTTGATCTTGATGAACTGAGAAGTCAAGTCTGAAAAATAGAAAAGAATTCCTGCTAGCTAGGAACTAAATATTTTATGAAGTTTATTTAGAAGGAACTCGCCTTGGTGATAAATAGTAGCAAAAAGGAACAAGACACTACAATATAGAAGGAAAAAAGATACATTGTATATTTCATATATGAATTTGTCAGTTCACCCAACACAAAGCATCAAGGAATTATTCAAGTGGAAATAGGTCAATAGAAGTTAAAAAATCAGGGGCTAGCACAATGGCTCAGCTGGCTAATCCTTCACCTCAAACCATCTCAAATGGGCACCAGTTCATGTCCCAGCTGCTCCACTTTCCATCCAGCTAGCTGCTTCTGGCTTGGAAAAGCAGTAGGGGAAAGTCCAAAGCCTTGAGACCCTGCACCCTCGTGGGAGACATGGAGGTGGCTCCTGGTTTCTGATTGTCTCAGCCTCATCTGTTGCAGCCACTTGGGGAGTGAATCAATGGATGGAAGATTTTTCTCTTTTTGTCTCCTCCTCTCTGTAAATCTACCTTTCCAAAAGAAACAAATATTTTAAAAAGAAGCTAAGCAAACAGAAAAAAGTGGGAAAATGGTGAGAAAGAAAAAAAAATAATAAACAGCCATTACAGCATACTCAATATTAAACAGCATAACATATATATTATTGAAATCTCAGGCAGGGACAAGAAATAGAAACAGTTTAAGAAGAAATATCTGAAAAGCTGAATGACAGATATGGCTCCAAATGAATGAAACAACAAACCACAGACTGATAGTAGAGAACGTTAAACAAAACACACACACACAATATCCATGCTTAAACACATTATATTCCAAGTGCTGAAAACCAAAGGGAAATCTTCAAGGAATCCATATTTTTAAAAGATATATCATGTATAGATGATCATAGTGATCATAGATGAGAGCATATGAATGGCTACTGAAGCAATCACAGATATTAGTAAATGAATAATGTAACTAACCTGGGTTTTCCATTGACATGAAAACAGTTTCTCCTGAGAATGGGAATAGGGTAAGCGTATCTTCATAGACCATCTTGTGTTTGAATGTATATCCAGAGAAGAATATAGATAGGAAGTCAGTCTGTGCTCCTACACTTAGAATGTACCAGTATGCCACCTCGTGCAAGCAAACTGACAACTGTAGACTGGCAAAGACATAGCCATTGATGCCTGCACAAGAAAAGGAAAGCAAGAGGGTTAGCAGTATCCCAGAATAATTGTTTTGAGTTGTGATTGCCATAATTATGTTATTAAATAATATAAGTATTATCTTGTACCCAAGAAGAGATAGCTTTATACCTTCCTAAAAGTACATTGTTAATACTTGATCAGTTTGCCGCAAATCCCACAGTAAGGTACAGATCTTTTACCTTTTTGGTTAAATTTACTCCTAAGTATTTTTGCTATTAAGATTGTTTCCTGGGACTGACTCTGTTACATAGTACACTAGGCCTCCACCTATGATGCTGGCATCCTACATGGGCTCAGGTTCACGTCCTGGCTACTCTACTTCCAATCCAGCTCTTTGCTTGTGGCCTGGGAAAGCAGTGGAGCATGGACCAAAGCATTGAGTCCCAGCACCCACATGGGAGACCCGGAAGCTCCTGGCTCCTAGCTTTGGATCGGCTCAGCTCTGGTCATCGTGGCCATTTGAGGAGTGAACAAGTGGATGGAATATCTGTCTTTTCCTATCTCTGTAAATCTGCCTTTCCAACAAAAATAAGCACACAAAAAATAAACATTGGTTTCTGTGTTGCTTTTTTGGATATTGCACTGTTGGTGTAGATTTTGCAAGCTCATTTTGTACTCTGCACATTTACTAAACTTGTTTATTCTGAAAATATTTGGATGGGAAGGGTTTCCATATACGAGATCATGACATCAGTCATAGAATTTCCTCCTTTCTTATTTGGATTCTTTCATTTATTCTTCTTATGAAATTGCTCTGGCCAGTGTCACGTTGACTAGAGCTTGAAATCTTGGGCTTCTAATTTTGTTCTTGATGTTAGTGGAAAATCTTGGGGGCTTTTTGCCATTGGATATACTGTTAGCTGTGAAGCACTAACATTTACTGTGTTGAGATATACTTCTCCCATTCATACTTTACTAGACGTTTTATTATTATCATTATGGTACAGTTCCATAGATCTTAGGTCCCTGATATGGGGCCTGCTCCAAGGGCACTGCTCAACTGGTTTTGAGAGTTCAACAGTTCTGAATTGCTGCCAATCTCACCACTCTAAGCACAATGAGGTCGTTGAAGAATCCACTGATTGACATAGTACATCTCCGTTTGCCCAGTTTTTCACTGCCAACATATGGCTGGGATAGTTGATTGATTTGTTCTGTCCTCTGTTGTGGTGCCAGGTGTCCTCTGCAGGTTCCGATGGACTGCCGTATCCTCCATGTGCACCTGGTTATGCTCTCCACTGCTCCATCTGAGCCGCTGAGGAGGCTCGGCTCTGGCACTTGCACTTCATGGCAGATCATGGGTTCTGAATCTGGCAGTTCGACTGGGGGATCCCCAAAGAAACTTTGTCTGAGGTGATTCCAGGCCAGATTCTTGTGTGTACTAGCAAGTACAGGGCCTGGTACAGTCCACCGCTGTAATCAGCTGGTGGTTGCAATTGCCGGATCGGTTCTGTTTCCATCCCTGTCTTCCACTGGAACCAATGGGTGTTGCAGTCCAGCCTGATTCTGTCCAGCACACATTCAGCCCTCACATAAACCAGTGGGAGCTGCAGCCTAGTCAGAGTGACCCACCCCATAACCCCCACCAGGCCTGCCCCCTGCCTTGGTTCCCATGCTTGCCAATATGTGCTGCAGACGAGTCCAGGCCGTCCCACATCCCATTTGGCTCTCATACATGTCTTTGGTCATTGAAGCCTAGTTCAACATAACCAGCTCACTATCCAGGCCACACACATGCTGTTGGTTGCCCTTTTGTCTAGCCACCTCTGACCCCTGCTCTGCAGTGGGAGTGGTAACCCAAGAGGGAGGAGTTCACTATTTCCCCCCAGGCCACTCCCACTCCCAGATTATGCACTCTCCATGTGGTTCTGGAATTTAACTTGACAGATTTAGCGTCCAGTGCCAGCCCCTGCCAGCTGATGCTGCAGCAAGGCCCAACCAACCCTCACTCACTCTAATTTTTGCTTGCATCAGTCAGAACAGTCAGCCTAGCCTGGCTTTTCCCTTATCTAGCTCATGAACAACTTTTGGCTAAACAAGAAAAAACAAAAAATATATCTCAGGACAAGTGAAAATTAAAACATTATATAGCAGAACTTGGGAGTAGAGCTAAAGCAGTTATAAGAGAGAAGTATGCAGAAATAAATGATTACATTAAGAGAAAAGAAGAGCCTCAAGTAAGCAAATTTTAATCTCAAGGCACTTTAAAAAGGACAAAACAATTCCAAATTTATCAGCAAGAAGGAATAAGAAAGATTACAGTAATAATAAAATAGAAAATAGAAACAATATTTTAAAGGTAGTTGTGTTTTTGAAAGGAAAAAATAAAATGGACAAGTACCTAGACAAGCTAAAGAAAACTCGACAAGGCTCAGATAAAGCAAAATTTTAAGATGAAACATTTAACCAAGATCACAGAAATCAGAAGAACCATCAGAGACTGTGAACATGTAGACGCCCAAACATGATGCCCTAAAAGAAATGGAAACTTCCCAGCAATATGCAACCTATCAGGATTAAATCACAAAGAAATAGAAAATCTGAGATCTCTACTTGTATATAGACTGAATTAGCAATCAAAAGCCTCCCACCAAAGATACTTTTTTATTTGCTTTTTAAATTTGTCAGCTGATCGTAAATTCTAAACAAAAGATCAAAAGATTAGAAAAGGCCAAAAAAGAAAAAGGAAAAGGGTTATGATTCAAAGAGTTACTCTTCCAAATACTATTACTTATAAAGCTTTGATATTTGTGACAATTTATCATTGAAACACAAATGGGCAAAATAATATTACTTAGGGAGTGCAAAATCATGCACTGTACTTTTAGTTTGCTCCGCTGTATTCTTAATTTCTGATATATCAGCTTTCATCTGATTCATTTCCAGTGTGACATATTCCTTGAATTCCTTGAATGCCTGCTTTACGTGCTCGTCGTTGTTGATAAGAAGCTTTATAACAAGTGTTTTGAATTCTGTATCCCCCATTTTCTCAATGTCTTCCTTAGTGAACTCTGAAGTTGGCAAAGGGTTTTGCTCCTTTGCAGGGGAGTCTTCAGTAGTATTCATTGTGCCTCTGTCTCTTCTTTTGCTCTTGGTCATTGTACTTCTGGTTAGCAGAGTCTTCTCCTTGGGGCAGGTTTCCAAGCTGTGTCACCCGCAGGTCTGCAATTTGATTTTACTTACTGTGGTTGGTCAGGGCTCTTTGTTTGCAGTCACTTGTGCCACTCTCTCCAGTGAGTTCCAGGTCTGGGTTCTTATGTTAGATTTCTACCATGGTCTCCATAGCCCCAGCTCCTGGCTCACCACTCTCCACTTTCTGTGATGCCGTGCTGAGGCTGCACGGTTGTTTGTGCAACCTTTCTCCCACTACTGGTTGGAGCAGGTCCTGGAATTAGGTAGACACCATGTGTCCTATATAGCTAGGTTGTTGTTGTTGTTGGTAATCTTGCCGCAACCTGTCAGGTGTTATGTCTGGGGGACACATGGAACTATTTTGACCCATACAATGCCATAGTCGGTATTATTTTCCTGTAGGACCACTGCAATGCACTAGTTGAGTCGCTCCCAGCTCAGCGCATGTGCAGCTCACTGTTGTCCCTTGCAGTCTTAACTTCCTTGGCACACCGTACAAAATTGCACCTGATGTGCCACTAGTGAAGTTCTTGATCTGCTGGCTGTCAGGTCTAAGGGCTACCTGGATCCATCTTGGGTGGAACCTGTAGGATGCCACGTTGTTGCACTTCACTGAGCCAGAAATGAATTCACTCCCAGCTCAGTGCATGTGCAGTCCTGCCCCATAGGCCTTGCCTCCTTAAACCAAATGGCGCCTGATTTGGCTCTAGGAGGTGGACTGGGCTGTGAAATCCACCCTGTTCCCACACTGCCCATCTGGGATCTGCCACTCTATCTCTGCTCCTGGTCAAATCAAACAGACCAGCAGGACAAACAGTTCTTTGAATGGGTTCACCTCCCATGCTCCCAGTCAAAGTCCCTTCCCACCTGGTTGCTGGTGGAGTTCTGGCTGCAGGTGCAGTTCAGATCCCTATTAGCTGAATGCTGCTGGGGTGTCAGTCACTGCAACACCACACCGTTGTGTCCGCTGCTTTCCTGTGTCTGTCAGTCTCCAGGTACCTCTCTACCACTGTTCATCTTCTGATTCCTAGAATGTGCCCTCTCTGCTTCACACTGGCTAATGTTTCTCCATCCGTTTAAATGTGTCTTTACCCTGTTCTTTCATCTTGATTCCCTAGATAATTTTTTATCATATAAAGTGTTGAATTTTGTTGAATGCCTTTTCTACATCTATTGTGATGATCACATGATTTTGTCCCTCATTCTATCAATATTTTGTTCTACATTAGTTGATAGTGTGTGGCCAAACCCTTTTCATATGATTTAGGTTTCATATCTTGCAAAGTGTTTCTCATGTGCTTTGTCCTTTTTTTCTGTTGTCTTTTTATACTGACTTGTAGGAATATTTTATATATTCAGAATATAAATTCTTTGCATGGTAAATGTATTGACAACATCTTCTCCCCATTATGTGGGTTATTTTTGCTTAATTATTAGGTTTTAAAAAAATTTTTAAAGGTTTATTTTATTTACTTTAAAGGCAGAGTGACAGAGAGATAAAAAATCTATATTGGGTGGTTTATGACTCAAATGCACAGAACTGCCAGGTCTGGGATAGGCTAAAGGTAGGAACCAGGAGCTCCATCTAGGTGTCCTACGAGGATGCCTGCTACTTTCTTGGGTGTCCAGCGCCAGGAACATGAATGGAAATGGACCTCAGACATTTTAAATAGTGGTTTAATCCATTGTGCCACAGCATCCATTCATAATAGTATCTTTCAATGAACATTCTTAAGTTTAATAGTTTAACTTATTACTGTTATTTTGGTTAATATTTTTGTGGTTTCAGATAAGGTTTTAGTCTAATCATCTTTGTTTCACAAGTAAGGTCACCCTCAAACTGCCTATATGTTATCCAGTTTCCTTGTAAGGATTTAAGTGTTGTGAACTTCCACATCTGGTAAGTTAACGACAAAAATGTTATCAAAGTGCTATTTGACAATCAGAGTTCCTTATTGATATTCTCCTCTTACATAGTGACAAAGACACCTTTCTTAATTTTCCTCCCATCTTTCTAGTTACTCTTCAGTATCAAGCAGATTCATTTTCTATTGTTGATTGCTGTTAAAACTCAACCTCACCAAATTCACTGTGCCAGCAAATGAACTCCTTATTCCATCTCCCAAATTGGCTTCTTCTCTATTTTTCACCTTGTCAATTCAATAAGTGGCACAAGCCACTCTTAGTTACCAAAGTCAGAAAACTAATAGTCACAGTTGAGTTCTTACTCAACATACCTAATCAGTTCTAAATTCTATGAATTCCTTCTTTAAACAAATCTCATACATCCCTTCATCTTTATTCCTTCTTTAATTTTTCTATTGCTTGTGGAATCCATCTACAAAATAAACCCCAATCCTATCACTTTAAAAACACAAATAACAAAGCAAACACATATCTCTCAAAACCCTTATTATCCTATTCTCAACCCCTTTGATTTGTTCTATAAGCCACTGTTCATTTGGCAGCATATTATTCAGGCTCCAAGTATTTGCATATCTTCTGGGGTATTTTGACTTCTTGGTCTCCAGCTTTGTTCCATGATATACCATGCTGATATTTAAAAGACTATACAGTTATCCACTAGTATTGTATGAGAATGTTTTACACATAAGGCCACTAGTATTAATGTTCTTGTAATTTTGTGAGTCTGATAGGTATAGTGTTATGTCATAATATTATATTTTTGCATTACTCTAAAGTAAAGTGAAATTGAAAATTTCTATCACATTTGTGAACATTAACATGAGTATGCAGAAACATACAGAGGGGAAGCCATGTGAAGATGCAGGGAAAGTATAGCCACCTACAAGCCAAGGACAGAGGTCTTAGAAGAAACCAAGCTTTCTAACACTTTGATCTCAGACTTCTAGCTTCCACAATTGTGAGATGATACATCTTTTGGCACAGTGATATTTTGCTATGGTAGCCCCAGCAAACTGATAGAATGTATGGATGTATTTATATGTTATTATATTCTCATGGAGAAAATATGTTTTAATATGAATTACCTAGGATAAACTGGTTGATGGAAAGAAATAATATATAAGGAAATGGGGGAATAGGAAGCAGCCAAGTAAATATCTAAAAGAAAAGTTTTGACTGGATTTTTAAGTATGCATTGTCAGATCACAATTATGCATTGCTATGATTATAGACTATATAATTCTTGCATGGCATATGGATTCATTATACTACTTGGATATTAGTTTGGTGGTGTTTGATTCCTCTTTATCCAATATTGATAGGACTCAAGTGCTGTTTAACTCACTGTGCATAATGTTGGAGGCTTGGAACTCTGGATCTTGTGGTTGCCCTCCACGTGCCTCAGGGAGAAAGCGTTGCATATTCTCTGTGAAGTACCAACTCTGATTCTCATCAAATACAGAAAACAGGATGACATTTCTCTTGTCTGACATCATCTGTTAATTACATATATTTTTCATGTTCATCGCAGAAGTATTAGCCAAGAAATTCAACCAATATTATCTTCATCAATTGAAAAAGAAAGAATGTACATATAATCTTTGGTATTTATACACAGTGGAATACCCTTTAGCTATTAAAAAATAGATGAAATTTTGTTATTTGTGAAAACATGGATAGAATTGGATGTCATTATATTAAAAGAAATAAACCAGGAACAGAAAGACATACCATTCTATCTATATGAAAAATCTGAAAAGGTTGATCTCATAGAAGCTGAGGAGAAAACAGTGGCTACCAGAGGCTGGAGAAAGTTGTCAGCAAAGAGAGATGGCAAAGGCTGATCAGTGCAGCTCCAGCTATTGTGGTCACTTGGGGAGTGAATCTTTCTCTCCTTCTCTCTATCTGATTTTCCAATAAAAATAAATAAATCTTGAAAGAATTAAAGTTGGGCATTTGATGAAGTGGTTGGGATGTCTGAAACTCATGTTGGAGAGCCTAGGTTTGAGTTTTGATCTACTCCCCACTTCAATTTCCTGTTACTGTGTGCCCTGGGACGGGCGGCAGGTGACAGCTCAAGTACTAGGGGCCCCTAATACCCAACTGATAACCCAGATTGCGATCTCAGATGCTGCTGAAGGCATTTAGTGACCAGCAGATGGGGAATGTTTCTCTCTCTCTCTGCCCCTTTCTGAGTAATAATAATAATAATAATGTAAAGGAACATTACATATATCTTAAAGTAGGAACTTGTTGTCCATGATAGAAGTGATGACATGAACACTTACTTCCATTTATTCTTAGGATTACTATGGCATATACCAGAGCTGGAAGTGGGAGGGTCTCAATTCTTTTGAAAGATTTATTTATTTTTATTTAAAAGCAGAGTTACAGACCGGAGAGACAAAGAGATGTTCTATCTGCTGGTTCACTGCCCAAATGGCTGCAATGGCTAATCTGAATCCAGAAGCCAGAAGCTTCTTCTGGGTTTCCCACATGGGTGCAGGGTCCCTAGGACCCTACTTTCCTAGGCCATTAATAGGGAGCTGATCAGAAGTGGAGCAGCTGGGACATAAACTGGCACCCATATGGGATCCTAGTGTTGGCAGGTGGAGAATTAGTCAGTTGAGCCACCATGCTGGTAATTATTAAGTTCTTAAAGAAGCTATTTAAATATGACTGATACCTTTCCTAAACTAACATGTGGCAATTGCCCTTCCACAATGCTACCAAACTACAAAAAATAGAAAAGCAGGAATCCAATAACAGAGATAGAGAGAACTGGGGCCAGCCATATGGTCACCGGTTTGTGTCTCAGATGATTCACTTCCCATCCAGTTCCCTGCTGTCAGTCGCCTAGAAATAGGTGGTAATGTGAAACTAGGCAGGATCAACTAGAGAAAGCTAAACCCAAGACTGAAAATGAGTAATATAGAACAACTTTCAGTCTCAAAATCTAGCAGATAAGTTTATTATAACAAATTTAAATTCAGTAGCAGCTGAGCAGGACCAGGCTTAATTCCCTTAATTACCTATAGTGTAGACTATGTTATCTTCTGTTGGCTATGGGGAGACACAAACATTGAGAGGTGATTGAAATTATATGGTGGTTCATATGCATCTCCTTCCATTTTCAGCTTCAAATTCAGCACTTAGAAAAGGAAGAACATACCTGATTTCCTCGCTGATCTACAGATTCTTTGTAGCATATGAGGAGAGGACCAATGAGTCCTGAGGCTAGATCTCTGTCTGGATTGATGAAACTAGAATAATATCTTGTCAGGCACCGAGGATCTGATTTAGTTGGTCCATCTTCTATGGTCACTTTCCATTTATACTTGAATATTTCTCCTGGCAGAATTGGCAAATCCTTCAAATGTTTTATGCCTATCCACATCCAAACCAGCAAATAGTTCAGTTAGAGTATAATAAACTGCATGTTGGTAATATTAAATTAAATTAAGATTTTCTTGAAGCTTAATACATATATTAAGTTTGGCTCCCAGGTATTTTCAGACATAGTAAACTGTACCCTAATCTAGACATAAGTAGAGTGTAACCTAATATGAAGGTACATCCTTGCAACAAATAGAATCTCAATCAAAGCAGCCAAGTCTCCAGCCCATTAGAATCTGATGTGAAAATATGACCATATAAGGCAAATGCTGACTATAGTCAATCAGGTTATTTATGTTTGCCATTTCCTATTATCATGCACAAGAGCTAAGGTACACATGTTGTCTCTGTTAAAAAAAAACGCTGCTAAATTTAATTTGTAAAGTTTTCTTTGTTAACAGTAATGTTGTTAACGTGACAAGGATTTACCAGCAATTGGAAATTGAAATTTTACCCATTTTAAATTTAAGATTAACACATTTTTTCCCAACACTGGAAGTGGGTTCAAAATGAAGGATAAAAACCATACAATTGTCTCAATGGATGCAGAGAAAGCATTTTTTAAAAGATTCAAAATTCTTTCATGACAAAAAAATCTTTTAAATATTGGATATAGGTGGTGGGTCTCAGGACGGGGCGTCTCATGCCTGGATCCCGGACAGCCGCCATGGGCACAGCCGCCATGTGCTGAGCTGTCCCCGGGCCTGCTGGTTCCGGGGGCCGCTTCCTTTGGGGTGAGTAGACCAAGGGGGAGGCCTCCGGGACTGGGCAGGCCCGGGACCCACCCGCCGCCCTCATGGGGCGGTGAATGGGATTTGGGAGGGGCGCGACCTTGGGCCTGGGTTATTTAAACCTCCAGCAGCCGCCTGGCAGCTGGTGGGTCTCAGGACGGGGCGTCTCATGCCTGGATCCCGGACAGCCGCCATGGGCACAGCCGCCATGTGCTGAGCTGTCCCCGGGCCTGCTGGTTCCGGGGGCCGCTTCCTTTGGGGTGAGTAGACCAAGGGGGAGGCCTCCGGGACTGGGCAGGCCCGGGACCCACCCGCCGCCCTCATGGGGCGGTGAATGGGATTTGGGAGGGGCGTGACCTTGGGCCTGGGTTATTTAAACCTCCAGCAGCCGCCTGGCAGCTGGTGGGTCTCAGGACGGGGCGTCTCATGCCTGGATCCCGGACAGCCGCCATGGGCACAGCCGCCATGTGCTGAGCTGTCCCCGGGCCTGCTGGTTCCGGGGGCCGCTTCCTTTGGGGTGAGTAGACCGAGGGGGAGGCCTCCGGGACTGGGCAGGCCCGGGACCCACCCGCCGCCCTCATGGGGCGGTGAATGGGATTTGGGAGGGGCGCGACCTTGGGCCTGGGTTATTTAAACCTCCAGCAGCCGCCTGGCAGCTGGTGGGTCTCAGGACGGGGCGTCTCATGCCTGGATCCCGGACAGCCGCCATGGGCACATGTGGTGAGCTGTTCCTGGGCAGCCAGTGCGCCATTTGCTGCCAGGCTCTGCCTGCTGGCCGCCCGGCTGGGGAGCTCTGGGGATTTGGTTCTTTGAGTTGCTGCTTAATTCGCTCCAGGTTGAACCCATTGTGTTTCTTGGACCTGAAACAGGCAGTAACTCTTCCTTAGCAAAACTTTCAGTCACTAATAATTCTGAGCACCAAATAGCAGTCATGCAGAAGCTAGGGCTTGGGGCCTGTCCTGCAAAAGTAGCTCCAACAGTTGGCCAATGTGTCAACTGGTAATGGAACAGAGTAGATTAGGCACGACTGAACAAACCTTAGCCCACAAGTAAAACTAGAAACCAGGAGGGAGCAGAGGTCTTGCCGAGCTAGGTTCTTGTACCTGCTGGTCTGTTGGAGCCAGGGACGGTAAGCCACAGTGTCTAAGGCAGAGGTCGGGACAGGTGAGGAGCTGTGCCAAGCTGAGTCAGAGCATCCATTGGCAGGCAAGTGATCTATGGCTGGGAACAGACCCAGTTGGGGAGCAAAGGGGACAACCCTAGCTGGGCTGAGGTTCCCACCAAGAGGCACATGGCCTGGAAGGGGAGCTGCGTTCTGATCTGGAAACAGTTGTAGTCTCCCTTGGCACAAGTGTGGACTGGGATTGGATGCACCGAACCGGGCCGGACCCCGACTCCCCCTGGTGTTCTGGAGGACCAGGGCAGATGTGGGATGGACTAGGCAGGGTCTCAAACCCCTACTGAGCCATGTGTGAGCCATATGTGGGTATAGACAAACCATGGCTGGGCTGGAACATCCAACAGCAAGAACCAGATTGGGTGGAAGGCCAGTCAGGAAAAGCCACAGTTCCTGTTATTACAGGAGGTGGACTGAGTAAGGTTGGCTCATGGACCCACTGGTAAGCGTGAAACCTGGCATTGGGAGAGGTTCTGATGGAGGAGCCTGGGCAACTCCTCTGGCAGGACACAGACCCGGCAGGTAAACGCAAGAAACATGATAGGAAACAGCCCAGAAAAGGCCATGGAAAGCTACCCACTGGCATACAATTGGCTGACGTGGGGGCAAGACCAGGCTGAATCTGTCCACATCATCCACTGGCAAATCCAGGCACCAGTGTGGGTCGACCTAGGGTTGGTCGCAACAAAGACTAGTGCACATTATGGAATGCTGAGGTGAGGTGGCCTGTACCGGAAGGGACCGCAGTGCCCTACCAGCCTGAGAACAAGAAAGGAAGTGGGCAGCGCCGGCAGGGGAATAAGGGAGGGTTCCTTTGCAGGACAGCTACTTCCGCAGGAGAGCATGGGCTGGGATGGGGGCAGACCAGACTAGGCAGAGCTACCACACCTGTGGGCTTCGTGCGGACCAGATCAGGGAAAAGCCGGGCTGGGTGGATTATTCCTACTGGTGCAAACAAAATTAAAGTGGGCGAGGGTTGTTTGGGCTTAGATGCAGCATCAACTGGAATCTGGGAGTGGGAGAGGCCTGGGAGGGAAGTAGTGGGCTCATCCCTCTTGGGTTACCACTTCCACAGGACATAAAACTAAGATAACTAAGATAGCGGCTGGGGTGGAATGGGGTGTGGGACAGACTGGATTACTGCTACACTTACTGGCAAACCAGGGTAGGGGGTGGGCCTGGTGGGGGTTATTGTGGGTCGCTCCAACCTAGGCTGCAGCTCCCGCTGGTTTATGTGAGGGCCAAGTATGTGCTGGGCAGAACTAGGCTGGACTGCAACACCCATTGGTTCCAGTGGAAGTCGGGAGTGAAAACAGAACCAACCCAGCAAGTGCAACCACCAGCTGATTGGAGCGATGGACGGTGCCGGGCCCTGTACTTGTTAGCACATACAAGAAGTTTCTTTGGAGATCTTCCTAATCTAAATGCTGGACTCAAAACCCTAACGAAGAAAAGAGAGAAGACAGAACGGGTCAACCAACCATCTCAGCTATGATGGACTATGTCAATCAGTGGATTTTTCAAAGCCCTCATAGTGCTTGGAGTGGCAAGATTGACAATGATTCATAACTGTTGCAATATCAAAACCACTTGAGCAAGAACCTCAGCGCATGCCCTACATCCGGGATCTGGGGAGGGTGGGAAGATGGGTGGGCCTTCTCCCTTAAATAACCCCCTTTAAACATGAAGATAACAATATGGAAAACATACTAGTCTTATCCACTTTCCTGTAGCCCTTGAACCTTCTTACCCTAATTAACTATGTAAAGAATGTCAAAATAAAATTTTATAAAAATTAAAAAAAATAAATAAATAAATATTGGATATAGAAGGTATATACTTCAATACAATAAAGACAACATGAAACAAGCCCCACAGACAATGTAGTAATCAATGGGGAAAATCTGGAAGCATTTCCACTAGTATCTGGAACTAGACAATGTCTGCTCTCATTATGTTATAAAATATAATTCTGGAAGTTTTAGGCAAAGCCAGAAAGTAAAATGGAGAACTCCCAAGAGGATATAAATTGGAAAAAAATCAAGTTAAAATTAATCCTATTTGCAGATCACATAATATTTTAATATAGGAGAACCCAAAAAATCTGTTAATAGAATATTATATCTGATAAGAAGAACTCAGCACAGTTGTAGGACACAAAATTAACACAAAAATCATTGGCATTCTTATATAATAACAATGATCCAGCAGAGAAAGAATTCATGAGAACAATCCCTTTCTCAATAACTGAAAAACATTTAAAATACCTTGAATAAAAGAGTGGCACCTGCCGGCATGTGTGTGGACTGGATAGTGGGGCTGGTTGGGTTGAACTAGGCTTCAATGCCCATTGACATGCACGAGAGCTGAATGGGATGTGGGACAGAATGGACCAGTCTGCTGTACATATTGCAAGCCCATATGGGAACCAGGGCAGAGGTGGGCCAGATGGGGATGATTGTGGGTCACTCCAACTAGGCTGCAGCTCCCACTGATTTACGTGAGGGCTAAGTGTGTGGTGGGCAGGATTGGGATGGGCTCCAACACCCATTGGTTTGCATAAAACACGGGGTGGAGTCAGAAATGGCCCAGCAATTGCAACCACCAGCATGAGCGTAAGTTGATTGGGTTACAGACTGTGCCAGATCCTGTACTGGCAAGCACACACAAGAATCAGGTCTGGGATCACCTCAGGTGAGGTTTCTGAACTGCTGGACTCAGAACCCCCAGCCATGGAGAGAATTGCAGCTTCCATGGTCTGACTATGGAGTGCATGTGTCAGAGCTGGGCCTCCTCCGTGGCTTCAATGGAGCAATGGACGGCATATCCAGGTGCACATGGAGGACATGGCAATACACTGGAGCCTGCAGAGCACACCTGGCACTACTTCAGAGGACAGAACAAATTGTTCAACTACACCAGTCAAGCATTGACAGTGAATAGCTGGGCAAATGGAGACTCTAAGGTGGAGTATGTCAACCAGTGGATTCTAGAGAGATTTCATCATGCTTGGAGTGGCAAAATCAGCAATAATTCAGAACTGTTGAACTATCAAAACCTCTTGAGCAGGGCCCTCAAGCTTGCCCCACATTGGGGACCTTGGGATGGCATTGGGTGTCTGTCCCCCATCCCCGGATATGGAGGCCGTTAGGAGACTGGCTGTGGCTTCTCCCCTTATTTCCCTCCTTTCCCCATAAGCAAGAAGGAAAAAAAGGGAATGTGGAAATAATAGTCTCACCCACTTCCCTTTACACTTGTGCCCTAATCAACTATGAAATAATCATCAAAAATTAAAATAATTATCTTTTAAAAATACCTTGAATAAAGTTAACTAGAGATGTAAAACAGCTCTACAATTAATAAAAAGGGAAAAGACACCAAATTCCACGTTCATGGAATGGAAAAATTAATGTTATCAAAATACCCATTTTACCTAAAGCATTTTTTAGATTTAATACATTTCCCATCAAAAGTCCAATGACACTCAATACAAAAATTTTTAAAAACCCTAGAATTCATATGGAAGCAAAAATACTATGAAAAAGCATCTTAAAGAAATCTCAAACTGCAACAACAAAGCTGGGAGCATCACAACACCAAAATTCAAGTCATATTACATGACTGTTATCACTTAAATGGCATGGTATTGGCATAAAATTGGAAATGTGGACTACTAGAACAGAGAACCCAGAAAAAAACCCCATGCAGCCACAATCAAGTAATTTTTGACAAGTGAGCTAAGATCATTCACAGCAGAAAGAACAGTGCTCTTCAACAAATCAGATCTCCAAATATAGAAGATAGAGACAAGACTCCTGCTTTATACTTTAGGCAAAAAACAAAAACAAACAAATCAAAACAGATCAAAGAGCTAAGCCTAAGATCCTAAACAGTCAAACTGCCAGAGGAAAGTTTAAGGAAAGTTTCATAAGCCTCCAAAAGTGTAGATTGAAAAAGCAAAAATAGACAAACGGGACTACATCAAGCTAAGAAACTTTTGCACAGCAAAGGAAACAATTAACAAAATGAAGAGACAACAGACAGAATGAGAGAAAATATTTGCAAATTATGTGTCTGAATAAGGATTGATATGCAGAATATTAAAGGGGCTCAAGAAACTCAACAATAAAACAACAAAATTAAGAAATGAGCAAAGAATATGAATAGACATTTTTCAAAGAAGTACAAATGGCTACAGACACATGAAAAAAAATGCTCAAGATCACTAGCCACCAGGACAAAGCAAATAAAAACCACAATGAGGTAACTATCACCTCACTCAAATTGCAGGGCTATTATCCAAAAATTTAAAAATCACAAATGGGACACAGCGTGGTAGCCTATTGACTAAAGTCCTTGCCTTGCATGTGCCAGTATCCCATATAGGTGTCAGTTCATGTCTCGGCTGCTCCACTTCCCTTCCAGGTGCTTGTTTGTGGCCTGGGAAAGCAGTAGAGGACAGCCCAAAGCCTTGGGACCCTGCACCCATGTGAGAGACCCAGAAGAAGTTCCTGGCTCCTGGCTTCAGATTGGTTCAGCTGCAATCATTACAGACACTTATGGAGTGAGCCAACAGATGGAAGATCTTTATCTCCTTCTTGCTGTAAATCTGATTTTCCAATTTTAAAAATCTTTTTAAAAATCACAAATGATGGTGAGTTTGTAGAGAAAAGGGAACAGCAATGCACTGTTGATGAGGACGTAAGTTAGTACAACAGTTTTGGAAAACGGTGAGGTGATTCCTCAAAACTCTAACAATACTTCTATACGACCCAACCATCCCACTCCTAGGAACATATCAATGCGAGTTAAACCACCATATAAAGAGGTACCTGCACTCCTATGTTTACAGCAGCTCAATTCACAATAAAGGATATGTAATTGACCTAGATGTCTGTCACCTAATGAGGAAAATGTGGTGTGTAGATGATGAAATATTACTCAGCCATAAAAAGAATGAAATCTTGAAATTTTCAATAAAATGTTGGAATTAGAAAACATCATGCTAGATTAAAGAAACCAGATTTAAAAATCCAAGTATCACATATTTCCTCTTATATGTGCAAGCTAATATAAATAGATCATACAAATTGCTTGGCTGTCCTATTATTTGGTATATTTTCATAAATATTGCTATCACTGATTTATACTATCTAGAAGACAATAAATCTCTTTTCTTAACTTGATGATATATGTGTACATACATAATTCCTTCATTTGAAGTGCATGTGGCAAAATGTTAAAAATGTTAACCTTAAACTTTAAAAATCCAAAAAGAGATTGCTTATCAAAAATATGCAGGCAGCTAGAAATTATATTCAGAGAAAATACTGACTTGAAATGCCAACGCCTCTAGATTTTAGGACACTTGTATCAGTTGCATTGTGTTAGTTGAACATCAATAGGAATAGTTACCTTTTGGCAATTTCCCTGAGTGCAAAGGACTCACATCAGTGATCCCATGAGGGTAGATGTTATATGGTCGAGTTGCTTGATTCTTAAATATAATCTGAAAGTACAAATGAGATCAAAATCAGGTCCTAGAGCAACTGGGATCAGTCAGAAAATTGTGGCTTATCTCTGGAAAATCAAAAGTTTTCAGGAAGTAAAGCCTACATAAAATTCAAAGCATTATTTCTGTGAAATTGCTCAACAATATACCTTTAAGGCTCTTTTTATTTTTTTAATGCATTATGTCAAGGGTCAGCATTGTGGTATACTGGATTAGACCTCCACCTGCAATGCCAACAACCCATATTGGTGCTGGCTTGAGTCCTGGCTTTTCCACTCTTGATCCGGCTCCCTACTAATGTTCCTGGGAAAGCCACTGAAGATGAACCAAGTGCTTGAGCCCCTGTATCTACATGGGGGACCTGGAGAAATCTCCTGACTCCTGGCTTCAGCTTGGCTCAGCCCTGGTTATTGCAGCCATTTGGGGAGTGAAGCAGTGGATGGAAGATCTCTCTCCCTCTCTCCCTCTCTCCCTCTGTCTCTCCATCTGTTCCTCTTTGTAACTCTGCCTTTCAAATAAATAAATAAATAAATAATGAAGAATGAAATTCAGAATGTCAGGTGTTAATATTGTAGTAAAACAGGCCAAGCTGCCACCTAAAACTCCAGCATCCCATATAGACACCAGTTCAAGTCCTAGCTGCTCAACATCTGATCCAGCTCCCTGCCAATGTGCTTCAGAAAGCAGTGGAAGATGGCCCAACTGTGTGAGCTCTTGCCATTCACATGGAAGAACGAGAAGAAGCTCTAGGTTCCTGGTTTTACTTTGGAGAGTGAGCCATTGGATGGGAGATCTCTCTCTTTCCTTCTCTTTCTGTCACTTTATTTTTAAATAAATAAAACAAACCTAAAAAAATCATAAAAATACATGCAACAAGATCTTGACTAGGTAAAAATGAAAAATATTGTTAGGACCAAAGAAATTAAAATGCAAGTAGCAAATTGAGAAAAATATTTTGAGAATAAATAGCAATGTGCCAATATCCATAATGTATAAAGGCCTTTGAGAAATAGAAAGGGAATCATACAAATAACCAACAAACAATTTTACAGCTAACCAGGAAAGATAGATGGGAACATGTAAATATTTTGCTTAGAAAGTTGGAGAATTTTCTAAAGACTTATAATATGTGTTACTGAGATTAGTGTGGGAAAAGGGAAAGAATTGTTGAAGTCTTTTATCTAGCGAAACTCCACATGTGAGAACCCTTATGGCATTTTTGAGCAGCAATTGATGTAATCAATCTTTGATCTCAAAATTTCTTATGAAGAAAATAACACTGTATTTATTTGATCCACTGTTCATTAACTATGGTACATTATAAGGACCCTAGGTCATGGATTAGTAAACATTTTCTGAAAAAAAAGTTGGAGAGTAAATATTTTAGCAGTGGTGGCTTAATAGATAGCACTAATTTTTTTATGGTATGCATTCATGTGTAAAATGTTGATATATTTATTTATTTGAAAGAGAGAAAAGAGAGACAGATCCTTCACCCACTGATTTATTTCCCAAATACACTAAAATTTTTAAAAAATGCCATCAACATTTTAAAAGATTATGTGTTTTGGGGACAAGGTTGAGTTATTTGGTGTTTTAAAACTCAAAAAGCTGGGTCTGGCATGATGACTTACGAGCTAAATCCTCATCTTGCATGTGCCTGGATCCCTTTTGGATGCTCGTTTGTGTCCCAGCAGCCCTGCTTCCCATCCAACTCCCTCCTGTAGCCTGTGAAAGCAGTGGAGGACGGCCCAAAGCCTTGGGACCCTGAACCTAGAAGAAGTTCCTGGCTCCTGGCTTTGGATCGGCTCAGCTCTGGCTGATGGAAGATCTTTCTCTCTTTGTTTCCTCCTCTCTGTAAATCCACCTATCCAATAAATATAGATAAATCTTTTAAAAGAATTTTTATATTTCAGGCTTTTTCTTCTTAGCCAATGTCAGATAAGTGCAACAACTTACCAACAGTGTGTCTCCAACTTCCCCATAAAGTAAAGGTCCCAAGATTCCTGATTCATATTGCACAGTTTCATGAGTCTTGAATGTTTCATCTGTATACGGCATAAATCGGACTTTTTTGTATTTCCTACCAATCTGTTGAGGACCATTGTTCAAATACTCACTTTGATAACTTCTATATGAGAGATAAAAAGTTGAGACATTTAAATGGAAATCTAAGTATCTAAGTAGAATAAAAGCAAGCAGTAAAATAGCTGATATGGTTTGATCAAAGGCTAGGGTGAGAAAATGCATTGCTGATGCGTATCTTCAGATACATTATGTTAATCTCTAATTCTATCAATACCCTTGCCATTTTATTTCCCAATTGTGCATATCATTGAATATGGCTTATGGATTCGTTGGTTTGAATAACTCGGAAGAACCTTTTGAGTAATGGGAAGAGTGCCAGGCTCTTACTTGTCATCAGGTGTAGGAACTGAAGGAGCATAGTCCCAGTCCACCTCTTCAGCAGCAATGTAATGTATCCAAGTTTTTGGATGCTTCTTGGCAAATGAGCGGATTTGGATAAAGGAAGCAGAGTTGTCATCATCAAACGTGAACACGTGCATTTCAGAATCCTTGCTGTTATAATCCTCCTCTTCCTTGTGACTTTTCATCTGCAGTTGGGGTTCCTCTGGACAAGTGTCAACTTTGACATAAGCTTCCATGCCATCTGGAATCACACAAACTAAAGCTAAACTTCTGCTCTTGATTTTTTTTTATTTTGTTTTAAATTCTAAAACTTTATGTGAAGGGAGCAAATTCCATACATTTCATATACATGGTTTTAAGAACATAGTATTTCCCACCGTATCCTTTCTCCTACCCTATCTTCTCTGTCCTTTCTTATTCTCCTTTTAATTTTTGCAATTACATACTTTCAAATTACTTTATAATCATGTTTAACTTGCCACTAAATAAGAAATTCAGCAAGTAGTAAAAAAACAACAATAACAACAAAACACCATGCCTCAGGAGTATAGACAAAGGCAATAAATGATAATCAGATCTCAACATGTCCCTTTCTGACTTGTTTCTCTTAGTTGACCTTCAAGGTTCTCTCCTAAGTGTTCTCCTTTCCGCACCAATACCACTTCTTGTCATCATCTTGTGTAGATTTATTCCCCTCTGCCTGATTCTTCTCCATGTATGCTTCATTCTTTTCAGACCTTGTTCTGTGACAGGGTGAAAAATTATGGAGTGCATTCAACAGTAGCCAGTTGGGTTAGATTGACCCTCTTCCTCTAAGGAGGAACCAGGTCCTGGGAACTGAGCCCTAGGAAAAGTGGAACCAACTTCTAAGAAGTTAAACTGTAACTATAACTACAGAATTGCTCCTCTTGGCTCTAACCTGCTTATTGTAGCTTCTGTACCCTTGCTTGCTTGCCAGCATCAAGGCCACCAGGACGTGGCTTTCCTTTAAAAGCTCACTACAACGACAGCTTGGGACTGTCTCATTCAGACCTGTCCTCAGTGGGGGCAGTCCCTAACTGGCTAATAAAGACAGACTCCCCAAATTCTAAATTGGCTTGGGTGGTCTTCATAACATTTCATTTGCCTTCATAATACACAAGAATATTTCATTTCTGCTTGGCTTTAAGTCTATTAATCTTCCACCTAAATTTATAAACCAGGACACTTAAAGAATTACTTATCTTCAACACTAGGGAATGTAACCTAAGCTAGCACCCTGTCCCCAGAGGCTCCTAATGATTTCTGTCTTTGCTTGATTGAATTATAATGCAAATCACTGATATAATAACATCCTATCAGGAAAGATATTAGTTGGAATAAATTTCAAGACACATTATAATTTTACAAATACATGAAAGCATAACTTTTAAAATCTATGTATTTTAGGAGAATAAGTAGCCTATGACAAGTCTATTCAACATTCTTAGTCTCTTTTTCATGTAGGTTATAATAATCCATTTCCTATCTATATCCTAGGGCTATTTTGAAGACCAGATATGAAGGTACTTCAAAGAGTTCATGGAAAATAGAATTAAAAATAAGTTTCTGGGCAGGCATTTGGTATAAGTCATCAAATTGCTTAGGATGCCTGCTTTCTATATTTGACAACTTAGTTCAAGTTTTGCTTCTTTTACCTCCTCATAGTTCCTTGCTAATGCATACCCCCGAGGCAGCAAGTGCGCTGTTTGGGATTCTTGGGAGACCTGGGTGGATTTCCCAGTTCCTAGTTTCAACCTGGGTCCCCTTCTGGCTTTTGTGGCAAATGAAATAAGAATAAACATTTTGTGTAAACAATTTTGAGATTCGTGTATAATTTTTCATAAAACTCATATTAAATGAGCCTTTGGAAGAGCTGTCACACATGTAAGATGCGAGACCTGATAACTGGATTGTGAAGAACAAGCAGGATTCGGGGAGTAACAAGCAACCAATCCTTACACATAATTCAATATGGATAGAAATAAAGACTGTCATGGAAATAACAACCAAATGCTTTGGTTTAATGTTGTGTATCTGTTGAAATATTTCATATACCCCACAAAAATATGCACATATTGTGTGTCAACTAAAAATTTTAAATGATATAATTTTTAAATGAGAGTTTTTGTCTAAGGCCAAAATATATGAAGCAATTTTTTTCTGAAAAAAAAAGAGAATTTTAATCAGTGGAGATATGCTGTTAAAAGATGAAAACAAAACAGACAATAACTTTTTAAAATTTATCAGGCTGAAATTGGACAACGACAAGTAGTCAGGATTTTGTTACTGCGGCAGCTTTCTGTTCATATTTCTAGGGCCATTCTTATCCAGTTTGACACTTTGTCCCTTCATGTCTTGACAAAGTTCCACAAATATTTTACACATTGAAAAAATGATAAAATCATATTTTTATCTTGTGGGTGGGCTTCTTGTTTTTCTTGACTTTGTTTGCCTTTCTGCATGTCATGACAGCAAGAAGGCCTTACCAGATCCTGCAACCTTAATATTGGACCTCACAGCCTTCAGAACAGTGAACCGATACATTTATGTTCATTCTAAACGACCCCATCTGCCATATTCTGGTATAACATCAAACTTTGGCTAAGACAGACTTCAACGATCATAACAGAAGAGCAAAGAGAGATAATAGATCGATTTGAGAAATTTCTGTTTTTCTGTTGTTGCTTTTGTTTTGTGGCTTTTCACTTGGTGGGATTTATAGTGATTGTGTAGTGGAGACTGACACGTCCAGATGTGAGGATATGGTGCAGTGTGCATCTCTACTTCTGGATTGAGGATGAATTCCCAGTGGAACTGTTGGATGTGTCTTGACAATGGGATACTGGACTCTGCCATTGTCTATGCCTGCAGTGATGGACTTATGACTGTTTATGAGGAACTATGCTGTTGTAATGATATGGGAGAGGTCAGTGGGGGGGGAGGGACCTGAGAAGGAGGTAGGGGAAATCCCAGGGCCTCTGGAACTGTATTGTAAAATGGTAATAACAAAAAAACGGGAAAAAAAGAAATGTTAAATAAAGAGTTAGTAGAATAAATACACGAGAAGACAAGTGAGAGTGAAATGATCTGTTTCTTCTCCCCACATTCACCATTTCTTAATTCCCCTGGTGTCTCTCAGCTCCTGCCAGGCAGCTACAGAACATTTCAGCTGTCTGGTGTTTCAAAGGAAACACGGTACTGCTCTGGGTGTCATTACTGATATCCTGAAGCTCTCGTGGCTGCAGCACAGGCAGTGTTCTTTTTGCACTAGCTTCCTCACAGAACACCTCTCCAACTGCAACCTGAAGTCTCTGCCTTCATAGATTTTTTTTTATCTGCTTTCCTTTATCAGCGGCATTTATCTATAGATCCATTATCACTGTGAATACTAATAACCTCTGAAACCCATAGAATCTCATTCTATAAAAGGCATCCTCTGCAACACACCATATTCTTGTATATTTCCAGTGCATTCCATTAAAAGTGGAACTAGATATTTTACAATACTTATTTTTAAGATTCAAGAGAGTACCATGTTGGTGTGAAGAGATATGACAAAAAAGTAAAAACTGTCCAAGATCCATTAGGAGTGTCTGAGCAGTGAGGAAGGTTATCGGTGAGATCTCCAAGGAGGCCTGGCGATGATTCCTCACAAGAAATGTATGACCTTCGAGGAATACTGAATGCACTTCAGGAGTAGTGCCCATTCCAATCACATGCCAATAGACTTGTTTCCTGTGGCATCCAATCAGACCTGCAAAAAGAGAATCCAGAGCTATAGGTAAGAGGTAAAGCATAGTAAACAAGTGGACCAAGGAAATTGGGATTATCAAAACAACAATTTGTGCCTAGGTAATCAATGGGCATTCCTCCTTGAAACTCCCTCCTCTTGGACTGTAAGCCAACATCTTTCTAGGTTTTGTTCTTATAATGTTCAGATCACTCATTTCTCTTTTTCTTTTTTCATTATTTAGAGAACACTTTATTAGTTCTGTAATCAAACCCACATAGATAAGACCTTACATATTTAATAGAATGTGTTACCTCTGTACAAATGGGAAAACTTAAGTTTAACATTTCTAGATCAATATGGCTTTTAATTTCTGTACAATGCCAACTGCACATGGTAAATTGGGATTTTTTTTGTCAAAGTTAACAGCACAGAATTTCTCTTTATCTTAACTGACCTTTCCTGAAACTACACCTGTATAGCAAATCACTTTTTCAACATTTCCACCTATATGTCTCACAAAATCAACATTTCCCAAGCCAAGTTTACGGTTTTTCTCACCGCATCCTCTTCTACGTTCCTTATCTCAGTGAATGATATCATTTTACATTCAATTTGCATGCAAATAAGTTATTCTTGGCACAAATCCTCAACTCCTATAACCAATACAACACCAACCATGGCAGTGGAACTAACCCACCTAGCCATATACCCAGCTCCCACAGCATTAATTGCAAGGGTACAGTTGTCTTTTAATTTGGCTCTCAAAACTTTCCACTACAGTATTCACTCTCGCTAACACCACCATCTTAATGCAAGCTGCAATTAAGTCTTGTCTGAGCCACTGAAATGACTTGTTTATGGTCTCCCTACCTCTGGTCATTTTCCCTTCCAAGCCTCTTACCCACCAGAAAACTGGTGCAATATTTTTTTGCAATTCAGATTTGACTACAGTATCCTCCACTCTAAAACTTGTCAGAGGTTGTCATTATCATAGTGTCAAAACTTTCCACCAAGGGATAGGAGGCCCTGATTATTTTGATTCTTGGTTCCTCTCCAGGGTCATATCACATTGCTTCATTTGCCTGTCATTGATACCATTTCAAAGCTCATTAAAGTGGCAGTTTTTTCACAGATGCTTTCTCTGATTCCTCGACCTAAGTCAAATTCCTAAACCATTCACTCACAGAAAATTATGTACTGCATGATCTCATGTCTGGAATCTGAAATCACGTTCTTATGTAAGTTGAAGGTTACCAGAAGCTGAGGAGGGTGTGGAGAAAGTTGCTTAAGGGCGCTAAGTCACAGGCAGGAAAAAGTTCTACTGTTCTACAGATCACAGCAATGCGATAGTTGTCTGCTTCTAAACATGTGTTGTAGAATGTGTCAAATGTAGCTTTATACAAGTAAAATTCAAAAGGTAAAAGAAAGGATTTTTTAGTGTTTAACCATTAAAGAATGATGAGGGGATACAGTTACCCTGCAGTGGCATCACAAATGTGTGCATGTCCCCCAAAATAATATAATTTTAATGTCAAATAAATCAAACTTGTTTTTCTAATTCTTAAAGTATGCACATCCATTCTGGAATTACTGGGAAATATGCAGGAATTCAGAGGAAAATATCCCTCCTCATCTTTCATTATTTTCTAATTCTTATTCTTCCAAATATTTCATTTACTAATATCAAGTGGCTTCTAAGGCCATCTAAAAATACTTTTATTCTTCCCCCAAAGCTGATTTATAGTTTGACTACAAATTCTCTTTGTGCTGTGTCTGAAATTACATGATGATCATTTTCGGTGGAGAACTGTTGTTTATTCTAATGGGAAATTTTAATATGAAGACACATCTTCTAATTACAAATATTTTAATTCTATCAGTTCTGGTTTTTAAAACTTTGCATTTTATTTAAGAGGCAGAGAGAGACAGACAGAGGCAGAAGCAGAGATGGCGAGAGCATGTTCCTATCCGCATGTTCACGCTCCAAATGTCTTTGGCAGCTGGAACCAAGGGTTATCAAGCAATTCATATCTTTTCTTGTGGGTTCCAGGAATCACATTATTTGAGTCACTGCCTGTTGTCTCTTAAGGTGCACATTAGCAGGAAGCTGGAATCAGCACACAGAGCCAGGACTCAAACCCAGGCACTCCAACAAAGAACACAGACATCCTATTTTTTTTCAAACGCTCATCTGAAAGGCAGAGTTACAGAGACAGAGGATATGGGGAGGGAGAAAGAGAGAGATCTTCCAATGCTGGTTCACTCCAAAAATGACCAGAACAGCCGACGCTGGGCCAGGCCAAGATTAGGAGCCAGGAACATATTCCAGGTCTCCCACCTGGGTGCAGGGGTCTAAGCACTTAGTCCATCCTCCACTGCTTTCTCTTGTGCATTAACAGTGAGCTGGATTTGAAATTGAGCAGCCAGGACTTGAAACAGTGCCCAAACGGGATGCTAGTACTAGAGGTGGAGGCTTAACCTACTGTGCTATGCTAGCTCCAACACAGACATTTTAAGAGCATCTTTACCCTCTAGGCCAAACGCATACCTCTGATTCTGAAGTCTCTTTTAAAATATATTCTCAAACCGTTTTTGTTTTACTTTCTGGGACATATTCTGTATTCCACTTATCTGTATTCCACTTGAGTTTTTATTTTGACAATTGCATTCCTTTCTTTTAAAATATTTATTTATGCGAGAGAGAGGAGAAAGAAGAGGGGAGAAAGAGAGAGAGGAGAAAGAGAGAAGGGGGGAGAGAGAGAGAGAGGAGAGAGGAGGGGAGAAAGAGAGAGAGAGAGAGAGAATCTTCCATCTGCAGTTGGGTGGGTCTAAACTCAGGAGCCAGGAGATTCTTCAGGGTCTCCCATATGCGTGTACAGTGATAAGGCTTTGGGCCGTCCTCCACTGCTTTCCTGGGCCATAAGCAGGGAGCTGGATGGGAGTGAGGTATCAGGACATGAACCAGTGCCCATATGGGATACCAGCACCACAGGCAGAGGCTTAGCCTGCTACACCATGGCACTTGTTCATTGTTTTATTTATTTTCCTTAGCATGGCTTTTTGATATTTCAAGGTCTTCTTGAGTGTCTGTTCACCCTTGCTGGTCCACTCCCATTTTCAGCAAAACGGAAGGTAAATCTAATCGTGAGTGGTGTGTGAATGAACAGGCTTTCATTTTCAGATACCTGAAAGAGGAAATGTCCACTATAGTTGTAGATCCCAAGAGGCCAGGATTTAGTGGGGTGCACAGCTGTCTGAAAACCAAAGAATCCCTGGACTTGAACTCAGGGAATGCTGGGGGTCATTGAGCATGCAGTACGTACCGGGCAAAGACCTGTTGACATAGCCGTTGACCGTGTGCATCTTGGGCCACGCCTCAGCAGTTGCAGACTTCGCAGGCAGAGTTCCTGAGTGCCAACTTTGCCCTGAAGAGAGAAGAGGCAAAGCAAGGTTTATCTCATGATTGACTCTGCCTTTCTCTCTTGGGACAAAGATGGCTGCCAGCTTTAAGCATGCTGTCACTGAAGGAGGCACCTTAAGCATGAAGCAAAAGACCATTCACAAAAGGTAGACAATTCTTGTTCAAATTGATGCCCTCTTCCTGTGGAAGAATGTTCAAGAAGTTCATGAAATATGTGAAAACATGAAATGAAAAACTGCGCATAGATTTCAAAAATCGTTCACACCAAAGTAAGCTTTTCATTCCATTTTCCATGGACCTTTCCAAGTCCTCTCATATTTGTCTACAAAAACAGGTGGGGAGGGATAAGGACAAATAATAAGCCAGGGAAGGAAGACTATTTTTCAGTGTGTGCCATGATGATTTATGTATTGAAATCCTTCTAGAGTTCTAGGACTGGAATGACAAGTCTAGGTCTACTTTGGTGAACTTTCCCTAAATGCTGCAGTGAAAATGGAGTGTCACCCTTGGAGCACTCTTCCTCAGATCCAGGTTTCCAGGGTTTTATGACAGCTGCCCCACCACCTGTTTCCATGTGCGGATGCAATTTGACAGCAAGGAGACACAGGAAGAAAAAAAAAATTGAAACATTTATCCCATCCACCTTCTTCCATATCCTAATCAGAGACCCACATGGACATGCACCCTTCTCAACTATGTAAACCCAGTTAAAAATAAAATTAAAACGTTTTAAAGAAAATGAATTGGCAGGAAAGAGAAGATAGGGGCCCTGATGAAGAACACGGCAGTGTAAGTGGATATATAGCGATAGCAAGACGATGTCATTGAGAATTGTGTGAGAGGAGGGATATGGGGGCAAAAGTTCTAACAAAAATAGAGGGCTTACACTTGGAAGCTCACAAACCTTCATCAAATACAGCAAAAAGCAGTACAAATTCGTGCAAGGTCTGACTCCTTTCCTTGGCCAGAGTCCCTGAAAGAAAATGGGAGCTTTTTTAGAATTTTATCACACGAAATTGCCACTAGGGGAAGACATTCTTCATCAACTGCTTTCACCAGGAGCATGTATCAGTACAAAATGGAGTTCTTGCTGTTTGCTTTTGTCTCTTGTTAACTTTACCACAACATTGTTTATTGGGTCTCTAATATCAGTCTTTCTAAAACTATGTAGAGGAAAAAGCAACCTATTTAAAAGTCAAATTTCTTGCAGACCACTACTTTTACACAATATAATAAAATGAATTTCTAGAAAAATGAAATTTGAAAGACATGCAAATTACAGGCCCAAATAAACACACACACACACACACATATCATAACAAGAAAGGAAAAGAGAAAAAAGAGAAAGTTATGAAAACTGTTCATGGAAAACATGCATATATGGAATTAATATAAAGCACTATTCCTCTTGTAACTGTTTCACACTTCTGCAATTATAAGTAAAATATTATAAGTGAGCTGCAATTGTGTACATTATTCATGCACACTCACATTTTAAATTAGATATGTCTAAATTTTTAAAGGTTTTGATTTAAATGAGGTTGCTTTGTGCTTTCAGTGGATGAGTTTCTCTTTGTATGTATATTTGTGGGAGGTTTTGTTGGCATGCTTATTTTGAGTAAGAAGTTCATTCTTTATGATCACAGCCCATCAGAAAAGTTGGAAACCATGTCAATGCCAATGAGATATCCCATCCTTTCTTATTTGAATCACTTTGAAACATAAAGCTGATCTGAGCTTAAAGCTCAGGCACCAAGCTTCAGCTAAGGGCTGTTAGGGTTGAAGAACTTTGAGTGAGGCATAAAGCAAGCAGTTTTTACAATATAAACACTGTACATTTTTTAGATGATCTAAGTTTTTAGTTTTTAGAGCAATACTAAAACATTATTCTTGTTTAAATTTTATGTTTTATTCACTAATAGTACATGGAATATAATTGAAATTTGTGTGATATCACATTTCAGTTATTATAGGAGTTTTTTTTCAAAAGAGATTTTTAGAATTTTCTTTATGGCCAACCATATTTTCTGGAAATATGCTGTCTTTCCAATGTAGCCTTCCTTAACGTGAATTAGCACACTGGCTCAGATTTCCAGTACTGTATTGAATAGGAGTAGTTCAAGTTTGCTAATCCTGCCTTGTTTGCAATCTTGGTTTTCACAACTGCAATGTGGGCACTCTAGCAAGCAGAGAAATTTCCCTTCTATTCCTACTTTGTTGAGAGTTCTTTTTTAAAAGTTTATTTAACTTATTTACTTATTGATTTGTTTTGCAGGTACAATGAGAGAGAGAGACAGAGAGATTGTGAATGGCATCTTCCATCTGCTGGTTTACTCCTAAAAATGGCTGCAGCGGCCAGCTAAGGCCAGGCTGAAGCCAGGAGTCAGAATTTCCATCAAGGTCTTTCATACAGGTGGCAGGGGCCAAAAACTTGAGCCATTATCTGCTGCCTCCCCAGGGTGTGCATCAACAGGGCATAGATCAGAACAGAAGCATGAACTAGAACTCATATGGCATGCTAGTGTTGCAGGAGGTCAGGTTAATTCACTCTACCACAATATCCACCAAGAATATTTTTGTTTGTCTTTAATCATGAATGGATGATGTTTTTGTCAGCTGTTTTTTCAACTGCATAGATTGATATAGTCATGTAATTTCTATTCTTTATTTGTTAATACCATGAGTTGCATGCTTGTTATAACTTCTGAATCAGCCCTGCATTCCTTGTGTAAACCAAAATTTGATATGATAATACGTTGTGTCTTACTAGCTAACTCTTTTGTTGAGAGATAGCATGTCCAAGTTCATGCAGGATATTTATTTATATCTTTGACTTTGCTGTTGGACCTTGACGGCTTGTAAAAATGAGTTGAATTTAATAGAAGTAATCACTCCTCTTTGATTTTCTGGAAGAGGTTGTGTAGAATTGATTTTATTTTTTTTTATGAATTTGTGATAAAATCTCCCAATGAAGAAATCTGAAACTGGGTAATTGTTCCATGTTGGGATTTTTAAAAATTATGTGCACACTAAATATTATTTCCATTATCTTTTTAAAAAAGATTTATTTATTTTTATTGGAAAGGCAGATATATATAGAGGAGGAGAGACAGAGAGGAAGATCTCCCATCCAATGATTCATTCCCCAAACGACCACACAACAGCTGGAGCTGAGCCAATCCAAAGCCAGGAGCCAGGAACTTCCTCCAGGTCTCCCACTGGAGGGTGCAGGGTCCCAAGGCTTTGGGCCGTCCTCCACTGCTTTCCCAGGCCACAAGCAGAGAGCTGGATGGGAAGCAGGGCCGCCAGGATTAGAACCGGTGCCCATATAGGACCCTGACACGTGCACGGTGAGGACTTTAACCACTACGCTATGGTACTGGGCCCTATTTCCATTATCTTTAAGTGTGCCTTTCAGTAGCACTGAGCACACCAGTGTGTGCTTCCTATGGAGTGACTCCATGTTTCTATCTCCATGCAGTTGCCAATTCTGAATATTGCACCTAAATTGTCAATAAGTCTGTGCCTTTTATTTTGATTTCTTTAGCTAGCTAATATTTTCAAAGTACATTTATTATATGCATAGTGCCAGTACTTCACTGTCTAAATAACATTCGTCATATGGATTTACTCCAATTTGCTTTCCCACTCATCAGATGCTAAACATTTGTTTATACTCTTCAGTTATTGTGATTATGCTATTATCATACATACATACTTTTTATTAAGCCTCTTTTTGTAGTTCATTCACATACGAGTAAAACTGTTAAGTGGTACAGTAATGGTATGTTTGATATTTTGAGGAACCAAGCAGCTGCACCATTTTACATTCTTACCAGTAAAGATTGAGGTTTGAACTTTTACTGCATTCAGATCAATACTGGTTTCTTTCCCTGTGCTTAAATAAACCTTAACCCAGGTATGCGCAGGGTGGTGTATCATACACCTTTTCACTGGTTCGTGTCCTGGTTGCTTCACTTCCCACCCAGCTCCCTGCTTGTGGCCTAAAACAGCAGTAGAGAATGATCCAAGGCCTTGGGATCCTGCACCCATGTAGGAGACCTGGAGGAAGCTCCTGACTCCTGGCTTGAGATTAGCTCAGCTCTGACCGTTGTGGCCACTTGGGGAGTGAATCAGAGGATGGAGGAATTGTCTTTCTTCTCTGCAAATCTGCCTTTAAAATAAAAGTAAATAAATCTTTAAAAACAAGCAACTATACCCATCCTAGTGAGTAGAAAGTGGTATTAATTTGCACTTTCCTAAAATTCTTGAAGTTGTACATCTTTTCATGTGCTAGTTGGCCATGAGTGTATTTTCTCTGAAGAGATATTTATACGGAGTCTTTCCCTGTTTAAAGTAGGTTGTGAGAACACTTCAAAAAGTTAATGGTGGGGTGAATATTTGCCTAGTAGTTAAGAAGCTGGTTTGGGTACTTGCATTTTATGTTGGAGGGCTCACATTCAGAGTTTGAAGCTTCTGTGAACACAGGCCTTTGGAGGCCCAAGTGCTTGGGTCGCTCCCTGCCACCGAGGTAGGAGACGTAGATGAGTCCCTGGCTCCTGGCTTCAGCTTGGCTTAATCCTGACTGTTGCAGGCATTTGGTGGCCTGAACCAACAGATAGGTGTGCTCTCTCTCTCTGTCTCTCTCTCTGCCTTTCAAATAGAAATAAATATATTTTTAAAAATTGGAAAAAGAGGATGTCAAATTACTTATGTTTGCAGAAGACATGATTCTGCATTAAGGCAAACCAAAAGACTATACTAAGAGATTATTGCAGCTCATAACAGAGCTTGGCAAAGTTGCATGATATAAAATCATCACAAAAAAACTTAGTACCCAGGTTGGGCACCCATACAGGACCTGCGACCCCACCAGCCACTTTTGCTTGGTAGGAGGGGCACAACCTAGTTTTCCAAGCCAGGAATTCACAGCATTGACTGCTTAAATGCAGCTGGCGCCATCCTGGCTTTAGCAGCCGGAGTGTCAATGGTGCTGGTAGAAGCCTGCTGGCCTCCCAGCAGCAAGCTCTGGGGCCTTGGGGTGACAAATTGCTGTCTAGGAACATCCATGGATAAGTGTGGATGCGGAATAACTCCTGACAGGGCCACTCTACTTGCAGGTAAGCAAGGGGAATGAGACCTGGTGGTTTGGAAGGGAGAGACCTGAAGATGCATACCGGTCTGACTGATGCATCAGGCCACATGGGAGTCCTGAGTTGGGCTTGTTAGCTGGAATATTGCTGACTGCCACATGCCAGCCCACATGAAAGCTAGGGCTGGGGCCTGTCTGGCAGGGCTAGACCCCAGTACCTGACTAAGTGTCAGAACAGGGGATGGGTCACATTAGGCAAGGCCATTACACTAACCAGCATGCAAGAGAACTAGGTCTGGGGATAGATTCTGTGGGGGAAGTGTGGGCCCAACCCTGTGGAAATACAAGTCCTACTGGTTAGCTTGACTTGGGGTGGTCTTGTGTAACTGCAATCCCTGCTGGCACGCCCAAGAACTTTAGATGGGAACAAGTCTGCCTGGGGAGCTAAGGGGACACCCCAGCTGGGTTGGGATTCCCACCAGTGACCATGAGAACTGGAATGAGGGTGGCAGGCTGGCCTGGCCATGGCTATAGCCTCCCTCAGTGCGGGTGTGGACTGGGACTGGAGAGTGACAGACTGGGCTACGCTGCAGCACCCAGTGGTACTCATGAGTAACCAGGTTAGTATAGAACAGGCTGGGCTAGGTCTTGACACTTGCTGAACCACATGAGAGTTGTGTCTGGGCATGAGTCAGGTGTGGCTGGGCTGCAACAACCAACAGTAAGAATCAGAATGCCTGTGGGCTAGTTGAGCAAGGCCACTGTTCCTATCAGAACAAGAGGTAGACAAAATCAACCTGGGCCAAGGACTCACTGCTGTGTGCGAGATCTGCAACTGGGAGGAGACCAGACAGAGGAGCTTGAGAAACTGTTCTGTCAGGATACAGTCCCTGCAGGTGAGCACAAGAACCAAGTTTTCAAAGGATGAAATATAAAATATAACTGGCCATCAAAAACACAAATACTCAGGATCACCAGCAATCAGGAAAATGCAGATAAAAATCACAGTGTGGTTTCACCTTGCCCAGTTACTATGCCATCACCCGAAAATCAAACAAGAACAAATGCTGGTGAGGATCTGGAAAAAAACGCACTGTCATACACTGTTGGAACTGGTACAGCCACTATGGAAGACAGCATGGAGATTCCTCTGAAATCCTAAAATAGATTGATCATATGACAGCCATTCCACCCTTGGCTGCTTATCCAAAGTTAAATCCGAATATAAGAGGATTATTTGTACCCTCATGTTTATTGAAGCTCAGTTCACAACGGCTAAAATATGGAATCATTCCAGATTTCTAATAACTGATAACTGAATAAAGAAAATATGATTTATATGCACCATACTCATTGAAACAAGTTAGTTCCTTGTTAATGTCGTATGCTTTCCTTGCTAATATATGCACATGAGATGATTAATGTTTACAGCCCTTTTAACATATTTTTGAGAAACAACGATTTTTCTACTTACAACTTGTTGAATTCTTTATTGAAAGGTTAAGACTGTCACTGAAAAATAAGTTGAAAGTATGCTATTGTAAAAGTTAACAAAAATAAGAAGAAAAAGGGAGAGTAAGAGCGGGAGTGGGAGAGGGGAGGGTAGGAAGTACCGTTACACTCTTAAATATATATATGTGTGTGTATGTATATATATATGCATAGATATATATATACATATTTCGTTCACCTTATGCAATTAAAAACATGAGAAAAAAGCTAAAATTTCCTCCAGTTTGGTGGTATTTTAAATTCTAGTGTCTTCTCTGTGTCTTCCTGTTGTACTTTCTTTTCAGAATTTTCAGGGAGCTGGGAAGTATATTTTGTCAAGATTATATCAATGAGTTTAGTGAGTGATCAATGGTAGAGTGTGTTTATTACATCTTACCTGAAACTATAAATTCTGTTTTCTTTTTAACTCAAATTTGTCAAAGAATTATTTTGATTTTAAACTTATTTATTTATAAGTCATTCAGAAGTGCTTATGATTCAATGATTTTATTTTTCATTAGCCTTTAGATTCCGCAAACAACATGCTGTGATTTTAGCACTTTATCAACTAAGGGTATGAAATTGAACTCAGTATGTGAAAATACATGAAGTGGCCTTAGAGATATGGTCTCAAAGACAGATGTTGGAACTGAAGTTGCACTTCAACTTGAAGAGCCAGCATCCTATATAGAACCATGGGTTCAAGTCTTGCTGCTCTGCTAATGCACCTGGGAAGGCAGCAGCAGATGGCCCAAGGGCCTGGTCCCATGCACCCGTGTTCAAGACACACCAATCCCAAAATGCCAGATATCATATATTTGCCTTAATATAATACTATGTCAAATCTAAAAATTATATCTTATCACACTTCCTAGCTGTCTATACCATACACAATAAGATCTTGTCATGTAATCTATTAATCAATAATTCATAAGAGACTGATTGCATATGTTCACCTGAGATTGTAAATACCCCTTTAAGCACTGTTATTACTACTACCCATGGGTAATGATGATCTAGTCTGTACTATATTCCCATTAGAACCACACGGGTTATACGCTAGCATGAATTTCTGCAGGAAGATACTGGACACTCTTTTGCACCACCCTAGCATCACATTGATACCCCTGCTATGAGTTTGACAACACCATGGAGATGAATAGTCACTATTTTATCATTTTTTTTCTTATTTTCCTTCTCATCCCGAGGGGGATAGTACTTAAGGGGAGGTATAATGGAAGTGCCGCAGAAATAAATATGTGCATAGGCAGAAACAGAAGTTTATCCCTGTACTTCTAATACAATGATGGTTTCACAGCGAAACAACAGATAAACCCCTACATTGTTGGGAGACACCTCAATGGCAGTGTGATGGGCTGCTGAAGGCACTACTGAAAGACTGGCGGGGAGAACGATGGGGGCAGGGGAAACCAGTGCTTATTGAACGGTGTCATAAAATAAAGAAATTTTTAAAAATTAAGAAAAGACACAGATGGAGTTCTGGGCCTGGCTTTGGCCTGCTCCACCCCCAGCTCTTGTGGCCATTGGAGGAGTGAACGAACAGATAGAAGAGAAGTCACTCAATTGCTCACTCATTCTCTCCTCTGTTTGGCCTCTACCCCATGCCCAGCACTGACCACTCCCTGCCCCGGCCCCGTGGCCAGTACTCTGCCTTTGAACTACATATATTTTCAAAAAACTAATGCAGTAGAAATATTACTACCTAATTTTGGAGGATGATACAGATTTCAGTGGGGACTTTGGGAGTGCATTAGGATTAGAAAAGTCTATTAGGTTGGAGTTCCCATGATTGGATCCTGGCAGCTGTATAACGAGAGAGGAAGAGAAAGTAGTCTCTGTCTCTCACCGTGCGATGCTCTGGGATGCCTCAGGAATCTGCCATCCAAAAGGCTATCATTAGTGCAGCTCCTCAACTTTTTATCTTTAAACCTCTTTGCTTTTATTAAAGTACCTTGCCTCCAGTATTTTGCAATAGTAATAAAAGCTAATACAAGGATTCTCTTAGTTCTGGGCAACTTCAGAAGATAACCTGGAAAAGGCCACTAAGTCAAGACATTTCCAAATTTCATGAGACCCACAAAACTTAAAGATTACGAATGATTATTATTATTTTAAGCAACTAAGTTGTAGTTGGAACAAGAAAAAAGCTCACTGAAGCTTATTACACCATAAAGAAACAAGATTAAAACAGATTATGCAAGGAGAAGATGATGGCAGTCTACACAGGAGTTAAAGTTCCTCATCATTTTCGCTTGTTGGAAGAACTTGGAGAAGGACAGAAAGGAGTAGGTGATGGTGTGGTCAGCTGGGCCTCACAGACAATGAAGATATGACACAAGGTGGACAGGCATAATGGGGCCACCAAGGACACATTACCAGAACAGGATACAGAGCCTGAAAGTAGAGTGTGGGCCTAACTACCCAGAAGCTCCACGATCAGTTATATTTATGACAAAAATTAATATAAATGGGACAAATAATATCACTGGAATGGTGGATGCACAGAGCAAAATTCCAAGAGCAAAAAGTTGCACTTCAGGAGCTGAGGTGTCTAATGATGTCCAAAGGAAATGTGAAGCTTCCACAGCCACCCGAAGGACAGACATACAGTAATTCATTTTAGTGGCTCTCAAACTTGTCTTAAATCAACAACCTTCTACTCATAGTAATGTTTTGATTAAACAGCACAATGCAAAATACCCACATATTCAGTAAGGAATTCCAGCTGGCATACGTAACCAGGATATTTGTAAGAATATATTTTAAATATATATTTTAAATACATATATATATACCCATTATGTTTTCAGGTAATAGGAGGAAAAATATGGCACAATTTGTCTTTCTCTTGTTGAGGCACCGTCATTTAAATATAAACCTGGAGTGCTCCAAGTAGGATTCGGGTTTACAAGATGCAAGCATGGTGAGACGTGCCAAATGGCAGTGGAAATAGGTGTTTCTGAAAAAGAAAACTCCCAGGAAGGACAAGCAGCAGTGACATGTGCATCCATCCTGCTTAGTGACAGAGCTGCAGCAGGAACTGTGTAAGTAGCAAGTACAGTGAATGCCGTCACAAACTGTTGAGTTTTGAAATGGTGTGAGTGCTATTAGTGGTATAAAAATATGTTCAGAATTGTTTTTGATACCTGCATTTATAAATTTTAAATTTATTATAAAGTACCTGTATGTATAACAAAAGCTGTTCCTGTGTGTTACACATAACAGACATGGTAAATATTCTTTCATATACTTTGCTTAACAAACCATGCATTTAAGTTTAAGAAACATCAACAAAAAAGGAAATAAATGTGTGGATATGTGATTTTGAGATTAAAGCTAGTCCTAAAATGTAAGTAAAAAGTGGAATGTGTCCTTGGAGGCTGAGCCATTTCTATATGTTGGCACAGTTTATGTACAATACCTTGTCAAGTAGGAAAAATTATAATTGTTGTAGTTTTCATTTATAAGCACTTTTTAGTATAGTTCTATTTTGTGTATTTCTTGTGATTTGGAATTTGCAGAGTATTTCACAGAACATATTAATTTTTAAACTACTTTTTGGGCAAGGAAGAATCCCAGATATTAGAATTTGAATTTTATCTCACCAGAAGCAATACTAAAATTATTTTTGATTCCTAACAAAAAAACAAATTATGCAAAATATATTTCCTAATTTGGTTTATGCTGTCAATTCTGTAAGTTAAGAACAGGCTTGGATAAAAGTTTTTCTTTAGAATAACAAGTTAATAAATAGAAGTAAATGCTTACCTTTCTCATATTTTTGTATGTTTTCAGTGTACAGGTGACAAACTAGCTACCAGACTCAGTCTTTATGTAACCCTAAATACTTTTTGAGTAGAAACCTCATTCTGGAACTTGCCGGCTCTTGTTGCCAGCTTAGCTCATTGTGGTTGTATACAGCGGACAATTTTTTCCTCTCAGTTTACTTTCCATTACATTTGCTTACTTTCCATGGACAAGATGATAGGAGGAAGAAGTCTCTTCCAGAGGAAAGAGCACAATATTGTTATGAATAGATTAGGTTGTTTGTACTTCTCTGCCTATTTCATCTTAATTACATGCTAGTTAACACTTACCTTCTCTACATACTAACAGGGCTCCAATCAGACCTGAATTCAGGTCTTTCACTAAGTCCACATGAGAAAGATACGAGTAGGTGAGACATGGTGGGTCAGAGGTCATTGGACCATTCTCTTTCAGGATCTGCCACACATAGGTATGACTCCCACCAGGAAAGATTTTATCATCTTCTTTCTCCCTTTCACTGGTCTGATCATTGTATTCGGCGCCTAAAGCAAAAAAGGATAAAATTGTGATTTATAGTCTTATGGTGCACTCCAAGAAACACATTATGGTTATTGTCACCAATAGATTCCATATAAGAATCAGATTTGCTGCACAACTTCTTTTGAAAGGCTAGGATGCGTGCTTCTTCCTCTCCAAAACTGAATTACACTCCTTTCCTAGGAAAGAACCCCCTTTGCTGTTATTTTGGCAGCAAACATGCAATTTCACATAAACGAATTGTCCAACAGTTATAACATCACTCAGATTAATGTAAAGTCAATTCTAGCCAGTGTATAATTTCATTATGAATAATTATATATTCATCTGCATGCTACAATGCAATCACTGCAAAATTTAAAAAGTTAGTATAAACCTAATGAAACTCCAGTGAATTTCTTATATATAGGACATCCACAGTAACTAAAGATTCCATTTCTGCAACTAGCAGTTTCACCTGTAGTCATATAGGAATTTACATGAATAAGAAATGAAAATGGTGCCCAGCACAATGACTCAATTGGCTAATCCTCCCCTTGCAAGCACTGAAATCCCATGTGGACACCAGTGCATGTCCCAGCTACTCCACTCCCCATCCAGCTCCTGTTTGTGACCTTTCCAGCAGTAGAGGATGGCCTGAAAAGCCTTGGGACCCTGCACCCACGTGGAAGACTGTGAGAGATTGTCCCTGGATCTCTACCTGCTTGGCCTATGTGGGAAGCCACAGGTATGTGACGCACCATGTCCCCCGGGGGAATCCCCTGACAATGGTCTTGACTCAATGAGATCTCAAGCTGGCCTGACCGCTGACCATACAGGCAAAAATTGTGGGCTGCACCCTAGCCTCCCTTCTCTGCCCTTGTATGGGCTGTGCTGGGACTTCCTTGATAAGCAACTCTGAGAAGTTAAATGAGACCCACAGCCTACCTGCCAGCCACACATGGTGAATATGACCTGAGGCATACCTGTGAGCCATGCATGTTGTAAGTGACCTACTACATGATTGGAGGGTCCAGAGAGATTGGCATGCCTTCTAGCCAATTACAGTATCATTGTGTGGGAGGACTATTGGGAGATAAGACACCTTTCTGCCTTCTCCTTTCTTAGTCTATGTAAGTTGCACATGCTTTACAGTAAATGGACATGCTCGGTCAGACTAGCCCCAGTTGTTCTTGCTACTGCTAAACAATGTCACCTCACCTCCTCTGTGTTTTGGGGGGCCTGCTGCTCAGGAAACCCCTGAGAGGAGACCCAGAAGAAACTCCTGGCTCCTGGCTTTGGATCAGCTAAGCTCCGACTAGTGAGGCCATTTGGGGAGTGAACTAGCAGAGAGAAGATCTTTCTGTTTCTCTATAAATCTGCCTTTTTAATAAAAACAAATAATTTAAAAAAAGAAACACAAATGAGTTTTTGCATTTTATACTTATCTAAAATTAATAAAATGATAAACATGACAGGTAAGTATATCGTGTACAATTAGGTACTTTGAGTTGGAAACCGCAGTGATTTACATATTCACAAGTTCACAGATTCTTCCCCAGCAGCAAATATTTCAGTGTATCTAGTCAAAGTCTTCCAGGATTCCTTTTTTTTCTTTTTACCAATTTTGTTTCTTACAATTCAAATTTTCTTTTGGCCCAAGATTTTATTGCAAATATGTCAGCTCATCTGTTAGCAGCTTTTGTTATTTTATTTGCTTAATGTATTTTTCTACAACTTGTGGGTTACAGTCTTCATATTTTTTAGCTTCTGTTTTTAGCTGTACACTTTGTTCCCACAGTGGAAAAAAAACCTCTTTTGCTCTCATGGTTCATGTCAGCCACTTTTAGTGCTCTAATGTTTTTCTGTAGGTTTGTATGCTCTGGCTTCCTCAGACAATCGAGATTCCAGAACCTCCAAGTTACTTTACCTTGCATGGAGAGCTTTGCTGGCAGAAGCCCTCTCACAGTCAACTGAGTTTTTGCCATCATAGCAGTAATGATTTTTTTGTTGGGAGCAATCTTCTCCATGTCTTTTAGTTGAGATATATCTTTTATCTTAGAAGAACTATTTCCATCATACAGGGTCTGTTTTCTTGTGCACTCAGTCCCTTTTACTTTGACATGTCACTAGCAGCTGGGCTTCTGAAGGTTGGGTTAGTTCTGCAAATTAGTTTTTAATATCCTGTTTGCCCCCAACTGTAGGCTGCTGCCCAGGTTGCAGTGTACCTAGACAACTGTTACACTGCTGGCAGAAAAACAGTCAGGCCTGGGTGTTGGGCGGGCCGGCCAAGGCAACTCCACTTGTCAGCAAGTATATGGGTTGGTTTGGGGGGTTCGGGTGGGGGCAGGGATGGGCCAAATCTCAGCACACTGGCATGTGCGGGAGCCAGGCTAGAGTGCAGGTCATACTGGACTAGGCCAGGCTATCTCACCTACTGGTTTGCATAAAAGCCAAAGATGAGGGGCAGACCTGGCAGGACTGTACTGCAATACCCACCAGTGAGAGTTGGGACTGGATGTGGACCATATAAGGCCAAGCTGCAGCATCTGATGGCAAAGACCAAGACAAGAGACGGGTTATGCTGGGCAGAGCCAGAGCAACCACTGACATGTGCAAGATATCTGGCTGGAAGTGAGCTTGCTTGTGGAGCTAAGGGGATGCCCCAGCTGGGTTGTGGTTCCCACCGGTGAACATGAGAGACAGAACTGGGTGGCAAATTAGGTTAGACATGACTGCAGCATGCCTTAGCATGGGTGTAGACTGGGTCTGGGATGTACCAGACTGGGTTAGGCTTCAGCATCTGCTGGTGCTCACAGGATCCAGAGTGGGTGTAGGATGGATTGAACTAGGACTGTGCACTCACTGAAACATGCTGGAGCTGGGTCTGGGGTGGATCAGGTAGGAATGGCTGGACTGCAACATCCAACAGTAAGAGCTGGAATGGGTGTGGACTGGTCAGGCAAGGCCATTGTACCTGCCAGGACAGGAGGCTGACCAAATCAGGCTGGGTCAAGAATCCACTGGTATGTACAAGATCTGCAACTGGGGGGTGACCTGACAGGAAGCTTGAGAAACTCCTCTGTCAGTACACAGTCTGCAGATGAGAACAAAAATCAAAGCTGGGAGCAGCCCAGACCAGGCCAGATTATAGTACCTGCCAGCATACAAGTGGATCAGGTCTGGGGGCAGGCCAAGTTGGACCAGTTTATAGCATCCACTGGCAGATTTGAGAACTGGGATGGGGTGCAGGACAGGTCAGATTGGGCCTGTCACATTAGGGCCAGGACTGGGGACTGGTTGGGCTGGCCTAGGCTGGGCTAGGCTGGGCTAGGCTTTAGCACCTGCCAGTATGAGCTGAAATGGGGCAGACCAGGCCAACCCAGGCTACAGCACCCACTGGGGAATACCAAGGTTAGGTGAGCCATGCCAGTCTGGACCACAACACCCACCAGCACAAGTAAGACCCAGGATGTGGGGCATGCTTCATAGGGTATCCGTGGGAGCTCCCCTGTTGGGCCACTGTTCCTGCTGGTGAGTGTGAGAACTGGAACTGGGGGCAGACAAGGCTGGCCAGGACCACAAAGTACACTGGCCTGCATGTGAGTTAGGTTAGGGGGACAGCCAGGCTGGGCTAAGTGACCATATCCACAGGTGCATGCATGAACCAAAGTGCAGGCTGGTTGGGCAGACTAGACCATAGAACCACCTGAACAGTGCAAGATCTGGGGCTGGGAGTAGACCCAGTAGGGAAAGTCTGGGTACTCTCTGATGGGCTGCAACTCCCACTGGTGAGCATGAGAATCAGGGCTGGAGATGGGCATGACTAGACAGACAGTGGCACCTGCCAGCATGTGGGCTGAATGGTGGGGTTGGTTGGGTTGAGCTAGGCTCCAATGCCCACTGATGTGTATGAGAGACTAGTAAGATGTGGACAGACTGGAACAGTCTGCTGTACATACTGACATGTGCAGAAATCATAGCTGGGAGTGGGCCTGGTGGAGGTTAGTGGGGGTAACTCCAACTAGGCTGCAGTTCTTGCTGATGTGTGTGAGGGCCGAACGTGTGGTAGGCAAGGTTAGACTGGGCCACAGCATCCATTGGTTTGTGTATGAGATGGGGCTAGGGACAGAACTGAACAAGCGACTGCAACCACCAGCGTGTGTGTGTGTGCACTGATGTAGCAGTGGGCTGAGCCAGTCCCCACACTGGCTGGCACACACAAGAGTCAGGCCTGGGGTCACCTTTGGCAAGGTTTCTTTGGGGATACGCCCAACCCCCAACTGGACCACTGGACTCAGAACTCCAACCACAGGGAAAATCACAGCGTATGAGGTCTGACCATGGACTGCATGTGGCAGAACTGGGCCCCCTTAGTTGTTGAATCCTGTACAGCAGACAGCACACCCACATGCACATGGGGAACATGAGAACCAGTTCACTGATGCCTGCAGAGGACATCTAGTAGCATGGAGGGCAGACAAGATTGGACAGCTCTCCCAGTCAAGCTTTGACAGCGAGTATCTGGGCTAGTGCACACTCTGAGGTGGACTCTGTCAGCCAATGGACCTTGGAAGGATTTCCTCAACCTTGGCGCTATGAAACCAACAGCATGTCAGAACTAGCAAAGCTACTTAAGCAGTATCCTCGGAGCATGCTCCACATCGGGGACCCTGGGATGACATCGGGTGGCCGTTCCCCATCCCCAGGTACTGATCCAGTAGGGCTGCTGGGGCGTGGCCCTCTTCCCTTTTCTCCCCACTTTTCTCTGATATGGGAAGAAAAACAGAAATTGGAGGCAGCTGTCTCATCCACTTTCCCCCATTCCTTGACCTTCCCCACACCAATCAATGGTTCCTACGGGCATAGCATCCCTTTCAATTATGTAAACATCCTCAAAAATAAAATAAATTTATACTTAAAAAAAACACAAAAAATCATTTGACAGTCTACTACGGTTTATAACCACCTTCCTGTTATTTAAGATTCCCATTTCAATGATCATTCTAATATCCTTTTTAACTGAAGCACTTCATAGTTTTCTGCTTCATCTATTTGCATACTGTGTGTTTGTTTAAAATATTCTCTTTCAGACATGCATTTATATTTTGTATCTATCATACTCTACTGTAGGTGAAATCTTGAAAAATCAATAAGATATATACATAAGAACATATGGATGACTATATTCACAAGATTTAAGGAATCACAATATAACTCACACTTCACAATGCTCATCAATATTTGATGAGAAGTCATCTCATCTGTTAGGTTTCATTTCATTACTGCTGCTTTTGATTTGCCAGCCATGTAGTCAGCTCCGTAGCTGCTTTCCAGGGGCTTGCAGTGCCTCTGTTATGCTCTCCACGATCATCCTGGGCATTAACAAGGCAGGATGTTCCCAAGCAATCAATGCAGTTAAAACATTCACACTGTTTTCTAAAACCACAAAACACTGGCATTTTTATAATAAGTAACCTCCTTTTTCAAGAGGCTTTTCATGTGAGGTCGAATTACCTTTCCCCTCTACTGCATGAACATGCCATAGGCTCAGATTGTTTTGTCTGAACATTGTTTTTGCTAAGGTAACGTAGAGGTCCCTGCGCGGTAGCCTAGTGGCTAAAGTCCTTGTGTTGCATGTGCCAGGATCCCATATGGATGCCGGTTCTAATCCCAGCAGCCCAAACACAAACAGGCACTCATATGGGATCCTAGCATTTGCAAGTGGAGGATTAGCCAGTTAAGCCACAGTGTAGGGTCTATTGTACTTCTAATTTAAGTTCTTTAGGTTCCACATATGAATGAGATCATGTGATACTGGTTTTTCTGTAGTTGAATCATTTCACTTAACATAAAACCTCTAATTCCATCCATGCTATAAATGATACAATTTTGTCTTTCTTATAGTTAATATTTCATTGTGTTCATACCACATTTTCTTGTTCCATTGATCACTGGATGGACACTTGAATTGGTTCCCTCTCTTGGCTGTTGCAAATTGTGCTTCGATACACATACAAGTGCAAATGTCTTTTCAACAGATTGATTTAATGCCCCCTGAATACATAGCCATGAGTGGACTTGCTGGATCATACGGTAGTTCTAATTTTAGTGTTTGAGGGAGCTCCCACTGATTCCCACAGTGGCTGCTCTAATTTACATTCTTACCGACAATGGCCAAGGTTCCCTTTGCTCTGTATTCTCACCAATACTAGTTATCTCTTATCGATAACAGTGTGAGGTGAGATGATAGCATATTGCAGTTTTGATTTGTATTTCCATGATGACTTCATGTTGAGCATTTTTTCCATGTTGGACATTTGCATGTCTTCCTTTGGGAAATGTCTATTTAAGTGTGCTGACCATTTTTGAAATTTATTATTTGGTTGTTTTGCTACTGAGTTGTTTGAGTTTCTTATATATTCTGATTATTATTTCCTTGTCAGATGTATAACTTGTATTTCCTCCAATTCTATAAATTGTCTTTCAACTCTGTTGATTGTCTCATTTTTCATCCAGAAGATTTTTAAAGATTGATTTTATTTATATTAAAAATGGAGTAACAGAAAGAGATGAAAAGAGAGAGAGAGAGATTTTCCATTAGCTGTTTTGCTCTACAAATGACTGCGACAGCCAAGTGGGCCAGGCCAAAGTCCGAACCCAATGGCTTCTTCTGGGTTTCCCATGTAGGTGGTAGGGTCCAAAGCACTTTTATCATCATCCACTACTTTTCCAAACTGCTAGAAGTTATATGTATCTATCAGAAATAGAGCATCAGGATGTGAACTGGTATCCTTATGAGATGCCAGGGTTGCAGGTGATGATTTTACCCACTATGACACAATGCAGAAACTTTTTAAGAATTCAGGAAATTTGATGTAATTTCATTCTTCTATTTTTGCTTTTGATATGTGTTCTTTTAATGCCCTGATTTACAATGTTCTGAAGTGTCTCCTTGATGTTTTCTTCACAGTTTCAAATTTCAAGTCTCACACTTAGGTCTTTAATCCATTTCTGAGTCTTTTTTCTTTGTTTTCTTTTGTTTCTGCCCTGATGAGAGATAGAGGTCTAGTTTCTGGATTGAGTTAGACTCATGCTGCCTCTCTCTAATGCCCCCATAGTACCCAACGCTACGAAGCACTGAGAAAAAGCTTTTCCCTACTCATAACCCTGGAACTTCCAGTGGTTGTATTTGTCATTATCCTAGAATGTCTCCCTTGAAAATGGAACCAAAAAGAAGGAAAATAGAGCTGAGATGGAAGGGGGAAAATATTGCAGGTGCATAATTTAAAATTATTTACTGATTTATGAACCTTATTTAGAGGAGGGAGACTATCTCCCATGTACTGTCTACTCCCCAAATAGTGCAACAGCCTGCACCAAAGAAAAATCAGGAAGTGAGAATCCATCCAGGTCTCGCACAGGGCAAGGGGTGGAGGTACGGTTCTAAGCACTTGAGCCATCATCTGCTGCCTCCTAAGTCACGCATGAACAGGAAATGGAACAAAAACTGGAGCTGAAACTCAAGCCAGGCACTCCAATATTGAATCACTTAAATCTTTGTATTCAGCTATACCCTGCTGATTTCATTTATATTCATTTTACATGAACAAAATTTAACATAATTTATATGTATCACAAGTATATGTATCATACCTTTATATGTATGACAGATCACAAGTTCTGGAATTACTATAGGTTTTAATCCTCTACAATCTTGAACTCAATACATGCTAGTCCCTGCTGAGGATGTAATTCCAGGTGTGAAACTGCAGTGAGGCTTGTTCCTCAGTGTGATGGGACTGAACTGGTTATCACAAAAACAGGTTGTTACTTAAAAAAAAAATAAAAAGAGTCCAAGTTTCCTAGATCATACAATTCCTCTCTCACACAGAAGCCCCTGCCATTAGGTCCTGGTCAGACGCTGATTCTGGCACCATACTCTTGGATACCCAAACTGTGAGATACATGTATCTTTTAACTGTAGAGTGCTCAGTTGCAGATACTTTGTCAACAACACAAAATGGACAAAGATAGACACTATCACAAACACACATCTCAATCTTCCAGTGCTTAGAATGACAATAATAGGATATTTGACTCACCCTCCGAAACTTTCCAGTAAGACACACCAACAGCATGAAGACTAACAGGATGAGAAGCCATGTTCTTGAGTATAATGACCACTGTGTCATGAACCTCAGCCTGAATGGTGGGACCCAGCAGACCTGCAAGAATACGATGTTGTCAAAGGGCAATACAGAAAACCTAGTATGACAAGAGTGAACAGCAAAGCCACAGTGGAGAAGCATGCAATGCCACAAAGAATGCTAATTAAAAATGAGTTACTTTTTAAATTTTACTACTTTTTATTATTATCATTTGATGATACAGCTACGTAGATCCTGAGATTTCCCTTATCGCATTCCCAAGTCCCTCCGCTGCTCACTGAGTTCCCCTATATGATTGCTGTAGTATCATTCTTCATACACAGTCATGTGTCCATCATTGCAGACATGGACAATGGCAGAGAGTCCAGCATCCTATTGTCAAAACATAGTAAACAGTTTCATTGGGAGTCCATCTTTGTCTGGAAGTAGAGATGCATACTGCATTGGATCCTCACATCTGGATATGATAGTCTCCATCACACAGTTACTATACATCCCCTTAAATGAAAAGCCACAGTACAAAATAAACAACATCTATTTATTGTCTAGAAGAGACACACTTCACCAACAAAAATCAATGGAAACTATTTTGCATGTATTTTGTTGTTTTCTGTTGGTTTCATCTCTTTAAAACACTTTATTTTGATTAAATCACTCAATGACTCATAGGTCATACAGCAGCATCATTTTCTTCAAGAAGGTTCTTGATTTTCATTTCTTCAGCTACACATTGAGCATTTTGTAGTATATTATTTAACTTCTTGGTGTTGTTAATTTCTTTTTTTTCCCTTTCTATTGTTTATTTTGTATTGTGGCTTTTCATTTAAGGGGATGTATAGTAGCTGCGTAATGGAGACTGTCATATGTAGCAACATGTCATTTAACTTCATGGCATTGTAAATTTCTATTTTTCTCTTTATTGTTGATTTTGTATCATGACTTTTCATTTAAGGGGATGTGCAGTAGCTGTAAAATGGAGACTAACATACCCAGATGTGAGGATACAATGCAGTATGCATCTCTACTTCCAGACAAAGATGGACTCCCAATGAAACTGTTTACTATGTTTTGACAATAGGATGCTGGACTCTCTGTCATTGTCCATGCCGCAATGATGGATATATGACTGTGGAAGAAGAACGATACTACAGCAATCATATAGGGGAACTCAGTGAGGAGGGAGGGAATTGGGGAGAGGATAAGGGAAATCCCAGGGCCTATGAAACTCTATCATCAAATGATAATAATAATAATAAAATGTTAACAAAAAAAAGAAACAAGACACTCATTTTCATGATTCACATTCTATATTTTTCATTACCCATCCAGGGTGTCCTGGGCTTGGCGACATTGAAATGCTGATCTGTGAACTCTACAAACACAGTCTTTTTGTAGATGACTGACTTGTTGAATGGAAAAGATCTCGGCATTCTAGGAGGAGGAAATCTGTATGGAAAAAGGAAACACTTATTCACTCTGTGGATTTTTACTTGAATCCATTTTTCCCAAATTATGTCAGACACCAGCTTCAGGAAGGCCAGAGAATATCGAAAAGAATAAATTCAACCCCCCCCCAAAAAAAACCCAACCAAAAAACTATGATATTCAAACTTCAGAAAAAGTCTTGTAGGCAACTAAGGGGAAAAAGGAATTCTACCTCAGAGGGCCTGGCACAATGGCTCAATTGACTTTCTCCCTCCCCCCCATCCCTGCCCAATAGCACCAGTATCCCATATGGGCACCAGTTCATGTCCGTGTCCTGGCTGCTCTACTTCTCATCCAGCTCCCTGGTTGTGCCCTTGGAGAGCAGTCGAAGACGGCCCAAAGCGTTGGGACCCTGCACCCACGTGGGAGACCTGCAAGAAGTTTCTGATTCCTGGTTTCTGGCTCCTGGCTTCAGATCAGCTCAACTTTGGTCATTGCGGCCATTTGGGAAGTGAACCAGCAGATAGAATATCTTTCTCTTTCTGTCTTTCCTTCTTTCTGCAATGCTGACTTTCAAATAAAATAAATAAATCATTTTTTAAAAAAATGGAGAGCAGAGGAGTATACATTTCTCACAGAAGCTAGTCATGGCTTCTGACACCGGCATCCCACATCAGAATTCCTGCACTCCAGTTCTGGCTGCTTTTCTGATTCAGGTTACTGCTAATGTGTGTGCCGAGAGGCAGTAGATAGTAGTTTAAGTATTGGATCCCGGCCACCCCTTTAGAGACCCAGATTTTCTTTCTTTTTACAATTATTTTTAAATTTTTATTTTGTTAAATTTTTTTTACAATGCACTTCCTTAGGTTCAGGGATTTTCTTTCCACTTCCCAACCCCCCCTTATTTCTACTATATTATTTTGATAGGCACAAGCCCATCATCCTGCTATTTAATTTTATCCTAGACATCATAGGTATAGCGAGCCTAGCATCCTATTGTCAAGATGTATTTAACAATTTCATTGGGAGAACCAGATTTTTAAAAAATTATTTTCACTAGTTTCCATGATACAGGTATAAGGGACTCCACCATTTTGCCCTTCCGTTTCTCCTTCCCGATTTTTCCTTTCTGCCATTTTTTCCCCATATTATAGTAGTACAATTATTTAGTAACAGTCACAAGTTTAACATTCAGCTATTTAACTGCATCATGTCATTGAACAGAGGACAAAGGCAGAAAATCTACTATCATATTGTGAAGGTGTATTTAACTACTTCACTGGAAGTCTTCCTTTTATTCTGCAGTAGAGATGCCAACTGCAACATATCTTCACTTCCAGGCTTGCTAGTCTCCAAAACATATTTGCAGATTGAATTTTATAAGTATTTATTGGGAAGTCAGTCAAGAAGAAGAAAAGAAGAGAATAGTTTTTTTTTTTTCTTGTAGGCTTTAAGAACTTATAAAATCACCCAAAGAAGTACTTGAAAACGATACCTGTAAAAGTGTTCATGTCCCATTTGCTTTTAGACAATTTCAATGTATGCTAGGACCATTGCCACACAAGCTGAGCAGACACAATGGGCAGTAAATTATTGTTTTTAAGATATGTGACTGAGAGAATCAAGATGGCAGAATAGGGTAAGAACACGTTTAAACAGATGGAGAAACATTATCCAGTGTGAAGCAGAGAGGGCACATTCCAGGAAATAGGAGAGGACAGAACAACAGCAGAGGGGTACCTGGAGACTGACAGACACAGGAAAGCAGCGGACACAACGGTGTGGTGTTGCAGTGACTGGCACCCCAGCAGCATTCAGCTAATAGAGATCTGAACTGCACCTGCAGCCAGAACTCCACCAGCAACCAGGTGGGAAGGGACTTTGACTGGGAGCATGGGAGGTGAACCCATTCAAAGAACTGTTTGTCCTGCTGGTCTGTTTGATTTGACCAGGAGCAGAGATAGAGTGGCAGATCCCAGATGGGCAGTGTGGGAACAGGGTGGATTTCACAGCCCAGTCCACCTCCTAGAGCCAAATCAGGCGCCATTTGGTTTAAGGAGGCAAGGCCTATGGGGCAGGACTGCACATGCACTGAGCTGGGAGTGAATTCATTTCTGGCTCAGTGAAGTGCAACAACGTGGCATCCTACAGGTTCCACCCAAGATGGATCCAGGTAGCCCTTAGACCTGACAGCCAGCAGATCAAGAACTTCACTAGTGGCACATCAGGTGCAATTTTGTACGGTGTGCCAAGGAAGTTAAGACTGCAAGGGACAACAGTGAGCTGCACATGCGCTGAGCTGGGAGCGACTCAACTAGTGCATTGCAGTGGTCCTACAGGAAAATAATACCGACTATGGCATTGTATGGGTCAAAATAGTTCCATGTGTCCCCCAGACATAACACCTGACAGGTTGCGGCAAGATTACCAACAACAACAACAACCTAGCTATATAGGACACATGGTGTCTACCTAATTCCAGGACCTGCTCCAACCAGTAGTGGGAGAAAGGTTGCACAAACAACCGTGCAGCCTCAGCACGGCATCACAGAAAGTGGAGAGTGGTGAGCCAGGAGCTGGGGCTATGGAGACCATGGTAGAAATCTAACATAAGAACCCAGACCTGGAACTCACTGGAGAGAGTGGCACAAGTGACTGCAAACAAAGAGCCCTGACCAACCACAGTAAGTAAAATCAAATTGCAGACCTGCGGGTGACACAGCTTGGAAACCTGCCCCAAGGAGAAGACTCTGCTAACCAGAAGTACAATGACCAAGAGCAAAAGAAGAGACAGAGGCACAATGAATACTACTGAAGACTCCCCTGCAAAGGAGCAAAACCCTTTGCCAACTTCAGAGTTCACTAAGGAAGACATTGAGAAAATGGGGGATACAGAATTCAAAACAGTTGTTATAAAGCTTCTTATCAACAACGACGAGCACGTAAAGCAGGCATTCAAGGAATTCAAGGAATATGTCACACTGGAAATGAATCAGATGAAAGCTGATATATCAGAAATTAAGAATACAGTGGAGCAAACTAAAAGTACAGTGGGGAGTCTCCAAAATAGAAAGAAGGAGGCAGAAGAAAGAATCTCAGAATTAGAAAATATTTTCTGTCACCAGGGGGAACCAATCAAAAATCTGAAAGCAGAGCTGGATCAGGCCAAAAAAAGTATTCAAGGATTGAAAGACACTGTTACAAGGCCAAATATAAGAGTTATGGGAGCCACAAAAGGTGAAAAAAGAGAAGCTGGGTTTAAAAATGTATTTAATAAAATAATAAGGGAAAATTTCCCAAATCTAGAGAAAGAATTGGGAAACAACATCCAAGAGGGACACAAAACTCCCAACAGGATTGACCAAAAAGCGATCTTCACCAAGACACATGATCATCAAGCTCTCCTCAATCGAACATAAGGAAAAGATCTTTAAGTGTGCACCTGAAAAAATCAACTGACATATAAAGGAATACCAATTAAACTCACAGGAGACCTCTCACAGGAAACTCTACAGGCCAGAAGAGAATGGAGTGACATATTCCAGATTCTAAAAGAAAAGAAAAATTGTTGGCCCAGGATAACGTAGCCAGCAGAGCTTTCCTTTGTCTTTGAAAATGAAATAAAATTCTTCCACAGTAAAGAAAAGTCACAAGAATATGCCTCTTCCAAACCTGCCCCACAAATGATACTTCAAGATGTTCTCTTGACAGAGAAAAGATATAGCGCCCACCAAAACCAAAGGCAAATGTGAAGAACATTCCAGTAAAATAACAACAAAAGACTAAGCCAATGAGCAACTTATTGATGAAATGTCAGGACCAAATTACCACCTATTTGTATTAACCCTGAATGTAAATGGCTTAAACTCGTCAATCAAACATCATAGATTAGTAGGCTGGATTGAAAAACAAAACCCATTTATTTGTTGTTTACAGGAGACCTATCTCACCAATAAAGATCACTGGAAACTACATCTCATGGATTCTTATTTTTTTGTTAGTTTCATCTCTTCAAAATACTTTCTTCTGATTAAATTTTTCACTGACTCATAGGTCATAGAGCAGCATCATTTTCTTCAAGAAGGTTCTTGATTTTCTTTTTGATTTATCCAGTGACACATTATTCATTCAGTTGCATGTTAGTTAACTTCATGGCATTGTAAATTTCTATTTTTCTCTTTATTGTTGATTGTGTATTGTGGCTTTTCATTTAAGGGGGTGTATAGTAACTATATAAACGAGACTATCATATGCAGATGTGAGGATTCAATGCAGTATGCATCTCTACTTCCAGACAAAGATGGACTCCCAATGAAACTGCTTACTATAACTTGACAATAGGATTCTGGACTCTCTGCCATTGCCCATGCCCACAATGATGGACAATGACTGTGTATGAAGAACTATACCATAGTAATTATATAGGGGAACTCAGTAAAGGGGAGGGAGTTGAGGAGAGGATAAGGGAAATCCCAGGGCCTATGAAACTCTATCATCAAATGATAATAATAAAACTAAGTAAAAAAGTTTTAAAAAGATATATGAGCAATGCTGGGAACACTGTGTGGGACATGCTATCCCTGCTGCAGATTGCCTGGTCAGTGGGAATGGCTGAGGGTATGCTTGACCTGAGAGGAATGACTTCTGGGGGTTTCCACAGACTGAGCCACTGCACTCATAGGAAGGCAAGGGAGCTGAGATGGGGTAGTTTAGAGGGGGAAACCAGAGGACATGTCTGGACCAAGCCAAGGGACCCACCCTTGTTGAGACCTGGACTGAGACAAACAGCTTTGCCTGCCACCCATTCCCACATGCAAAATCTGGGGCTGGAGGGGCTGCCTGACTGGGCTAACCCACAGTACCCACATGCTAGTGTCAGAACAGAGAGTCGATTAAGTCAGGTGGGCTACAGCACTGGGGCTGGCAGCAGATTCTGTAAGGAACTTGTGGGCCTACCTCTGTGTGACTGCAGCATTCATCAGTTTTCATGGAGAGTAGGGATGGTGACAAGATGATTCAGG